GTCAACCATAAAAGATAGACATATGCTGTTGCGGGATATTTTCTAGACAATTTTATGTAGAATATTTCCGTCATACATGGTTTCTATGTAACTTTAACCATTAAGGCTGCACACGCGACGGAAGCTTAAAAAATAGAGTAACTTCTCCCGTTTTTCCAATATTTCCCTTCACTACTCTGCTCCTATTGATTGTAGCGTGATGAAAAGTATACTATAACCTGCCCAGGAGTATGAAGAATAATTGTACCAAGTTTCGTTAAAATCTCTCGAGTAGTTTTTGTTTCTATAAGGAACAAACACACAGACAGACAGACAGACAGACAAAAATTTTACTGATTGCATTTTTGGCATCAGTATCAATCACTAATCATCCCCTGATAGTTATTTTGAAAATATATTTCATGTACAGAATTGACCTCTCTACAGATTTATTATAAGTATAGATGTGTGCAACATCTTTAAAAGACGTAGGTTCCAACTTCCATCCGCAGTGAAGGTATGGAACGTAAAATGTTGGTATCTTGGAAGGTCATTGATCTTGTTTGAAGGCTTAATGTATCGTGACGTCACATCCAAGCGTTCCAAAATAGCCCCGCATTTAAACTGCCCGTGCAATGTAGCTATTTTAACTTTTTTTTTGGACACTACTAATTTTATGACTTCATTTTTTTATACTGTATGTAGGTACTTCATTTTTTTATACAGATGTAGATTAAATAAAAATTTATAAAAAAGGCATGCATATTCCCTATTATGGGAGTTAAATAAATTCCGCAAACTAAGTATGCTATATTGAACTTCGGAAGGCATGTTAACCAATCGGTCCGTGCTGCATTTGCAGTCGTCAACTCCCGATCTTCAAAATGGGCTATTTCCCTATTCCTACCAAAGGTAAGGCCTGTGGCTAAATAGTGAGAACATCAATAGTAACCCCACAATTCTTTTACCTTCATTCCCATCTGCTTGTATAGTCAAAGTCAAAATAAGCTTATTAAATTCAATAGATTTTTGCACCTTGTCACTCATCCTTATTTAAATCGTCACCAAACAATCAGTCAAGAGTGTGGTTACCTACGTTTTTTGGACATTTGATTGAAGCACATTCTCTCCTGAAGGTCACATCTTGATACGAGTAAAAAATACATCAAGCAAAAACCTAACTACGAACATAACACTATCTAAATTTAAACGCGTTGATCATTTCGTACCTATGTAAGTGGGTAGGTTTTGTTTAATGCCTCCTTCCACAAAACCTGAAAGTAGTTAGCCTTGAGAGGCAGGCAGTGGGCTTGCTACTCATTCAGCAACTGCAAAACACGCTAATATTTTAATAAACAAAATAATTACGTCACATTATTGATTGACATTCAGCAGTGATTTCACCGAAATATGAGTGTTTATATTGTTTTAAACTTTCATGGTCACTAACATTATAACTATTAACGGGATTGTTACCATGTACCTTGTTTTTATGAGTCTCCGATATTTCGGCACTGTTGCAAGCGCCATGATCACGAAATAACTGAAGTAATTGCGGGTAGATGTTATTGGCAGACATATCGGTCTACCCTCTGACGTCGTCTTTTTACCACTGGTCGCATTCTCACTATTCACTCGCACCTGTTCCCGGCACACAATACTCACAGTATCAGATAGCGGAACGACACTTTTTTGATGTTATGGTTTTTACAATGTACGATCCACTGGATTGCAGACACTTGGCAATTTAAACCCATCCTCACGATTAAATTCTTGTGTTTGGTTATTTCAATCGCTTCCCTGACGAATCTTGGTATAAAGTGGCGTTCTGTCGAGATAATTTGTGGATTATGGAGCTTAATCCAGTGATTAGGACCCGAATCAATTAAATGTTCCGCGATGGCTGATTTTTGCGTATCATTATTTCTGACTGCTTTTATGTGTTCTTTCATTCGGCACTCTATAGGCTAGTTGACTCATGTCAAATTTCACTATACAAATGTTTATTTCTTATAATTTTTGGTATGAGGAACCTAAATACATCGATTTCACTTCATAAAATTAGATGGCTGTAGTAATTTCATTTGAAAAATAGTTTTTTAGTCTATGCTTTTTAAACACTAAAAACGCTGTCCACCATGATTGTGACGTCAACATAATTGACTTACCAGGTACATTCATAACCTTAAAAGTTGAAACCACAACATTTCTGCAGTTTTTAACGATGTGTTTCTTTATTCTCGTATTATACAATCATGATAATTACTATATTTATCATGAAATCTATCAGAAAGCATGGTTTTGTAATGTAAATTCAGATCCTACGTGCTTGCGAGTGTTTGTTTACTTTTGTTCCCGTCATACCATAGATAATCTATAGAGTAAAATGGCCGACAGCGTTTTTGTATGTCCATGAAAAATCTATTTTAAAATTAAAGTTTTGTAGCTTTCTAGGTAAAAAAAAATTACAATACAATTTTTTCGGTCTAATTGAACATTTATTAACCATTTAAAATATATCTCCAGAAAGTGTCAACTAGCCTATTGTCCGCTCCGTTTGTCCAATATATACGAACTACCATAACTGCAGCCGATCTTGTATGTATTATGGGCTAAGTGATTAATCGGGCATTATTCATATTGCCCAATAAGAGCGGGCAATGTGATTATAACCAATCAATTTATCACATTGTCCGGGCATTATGAATAATGCCCAGTGCCTATTGGGCAGAGTGATGTAAAGCATGTTTAATACTTTCAAATGAATACTTAGTAAGATAGCCCGAGCATTACAAGTAATGAAATCAATTATCGGGTAGAGTAATAATAAAAAAAAGTTTTAGTGTTTAGTATTTATTTTTAAAATTTAAATAATCAGACTTCGGTTTTACTTCAATCAATTTACGAAGGGCTACATTAGGAAACTATAGTCTATAGTAGTTTCAATGCAGTTTGTTTGAAAAATACATTAAAACTGTTAAATGTTTAGAATTTGTGGTTCCCTATTTTTTAGGATGCAAGGACTAGGGAAGTAAGAACCAGTACTTCTGCCTTATCTCCGGCGCTGCGGGAATAGCAGCCCCTCCGCCTTTGCGTGACAAAGTCACAAGCATCACTCCCCTTCACACCTTCGGCTTGTTGGTCCTCCAGCGTGACCAGCCTCAGGCGCTACTGGTCGCACGATCGCGCGAGCGAGACGTGTGGCGGCGTTTTGTATCGGCTCATTAAGTGGTCGGTGCGGGCCACTAGAAGCGAGTTACGACGATTTGTAGCGTGTGGCGGCCACCGGCGCGGCGGCGTACCGTGTGAGACGATTCCATATAAAATATATGAAAACTACAAGATATATGCCGGTGGCGGTTGGTTGTGGTCGGTGGCCCGTGTGCGGCGACACTAAGAGTTGGCGAAACGACCAAAGACCCAAAAAACCACCTTGCACTTCAGCCGGTACCCAGTCATAAACCCGAGTCCTGTGGTCCTGATGTACAGTTATTCAAAAGATTTAAGAACAATATTATAATAACATTGACCAAAACGACTTCAAAACTTAATCATCTGTAAGATGTAGAACGATTTGTTGTGAAAAACAGCTGCTTTACGCAAAAAACATACAATTAGCAACATGATGCACCATGAATTTTGAAGTCAATTTAATACACGGAAAAATATCGTACTTGAACTTTAAATTATTAAGGTAAACGTAAAATCGAAAAAGAATAATATTGACCTACATAAATACAAATAAAATAAAGTCGATACAGATTTAACTATAGATTTTCTAACTATAGCAAGTTGTAAACAAGTAAAAACTTTTAACGTTTTCAATGATCTTGACGGATGCATTATGGGAAAATCGTACAAAAATTAGGTCACATGCCGCAAAATTGTAAATGTGTAGACGAATAGTATTTGATTAAAACATGCTTCCTCGCGGGTTCGAATCCCTGTGGGGGCAAATGTTAGTATGATGAATACGAGCCTTTGTACCTTAGTCATGGATGTTTATATAAATATATTTATATATGTAACATTATGTATTCTTTCCGTTACTTTAGTATCCCATAACACAAGCCTTACAATGCTTACTTTGGGGCTAGGCTAATTGATTTGAATGTAGGAAAATTTATTTATTATCATTATTATTAGTACCCTCTCGATTCTTTACAATCAACGGAAAACTACTAAACGATCTTATAAGTTAAACTTTTTACTTTCGTTCGCAAAACCTAAATGAAAACATGCCCACTAACTTGATCGAGCTAAAGCTGATACAAGCATAACAGGTTCAGCTAAAACCCAGTTTCAATATTAAATAGCATCAACTTCTTCTCGATTTAACTTTGAATAAATTGTATAGTTTCTGTTTTGTATTATAAAAAAATCCGCCCAAGAAAGTCACGAGATAAAGACATTTTTATGCCCATTTAAGAAATAACAATACTGATATTTATAATAGAAATAAATAAATCAGGAATTTATTGTAACTAAAGCACATAAATAATTGACCTATCGTGTCTAATATTAAAATAAGTATGTTTTAAGTAGAATTAATGAAATTGCTCATTAGCACACTATGATCTAGTTAATCTGTTAATAATTACTTTTTCTATTATGAAAAGGCAAAACAATACGTCATTCTGTTGAATTAATTCGTCCAGTCTACTTATCTCCAAAAACTTGTATGAAATCATAACGCATCTAATCATAACAACTTCAATCTCGTTCAACAACAACACTTCAAAACATCAAGCACTCTTACATCAAGATTTATCAAACTAGACCGTACATGTTTCAAAGGCTTCTGAAACCAATCGAAAAGAGTTAAAATCATTTCGCAAGAGCCATGCAGAACGTCATCAACAAAACCAACACTGTACGCATAAAAAAATATTATTGGAGTAGCGAAACAAAATCACATTAATAAGTACCTCCAAAAGGATATTAAAATAAACTTCTTTTTCTAGTCTCACAAAAACAAAATTTCGCTTTTTTCGCACACACGATTCTTAATTTAGACTTACTTTTTTGGAGTGTCCCTTTGTCTTTGAAGTTACGGCGCGGCTTGTGTAGCGAAATATAGCGATTCCAGCGCTCGAGAGCAGCAATGGAGCACGATCAGCAAGCGAGTGGCCGTCACACGATGAGGCCGGCGCAGGCGCAACTAAACGGAAAACCGAAAGCAGCGTCCGCAGCCGCGAGAGCACAACACTTGTACAGCGTGTTAGTTTTCCTGATAATGTCATTGATTTACTTCATGGCTTGTAGTCTGCGGTCAAACTTACTCGCAGGATAACTGTTTTACCTACTGCATACCTCTTTTACCTCCAATTTTGTGTGGGTATTTATTCCAAATAATATTCTCGTGTCTTTACGCTCCTTCTTTTTCCTGTGTACCCGTGTAGTATAGAATTCCCTATGTCCCCGACCCGCTTCTGAATCACCAAATCACTGCTTTGCAACAATGTCAGTGCTTGGTGTCATTTTTAAATTGCTAGAATGACCCTTATATTCTCAAACAATATTTTGTTTATTTTTCGAGAAGCAATCTAACTTAACTATATTTTTAAAGTGAATAGTTCTTTAGGCGCGTTGGGCATTTATGTAATGTTTTGTTTTTGTAAATATTTTGCTTAGTTTAGATTTGAGTTTTCACTTCTGTCGGCACTCCTGGAGTGCCACCGCTATTTTTGTTGTTTTCAGTTTCATCTGCAATCAAGTACATCTTGACTATCAGCATCAGATTATTCTTATACTTTCCCGACAACGGGCTTGTTTCTTTTTTACCCGACTGCGCAATGCAAGAGCGCGAAGCGCGACGCGCAAACAGGGTATAGTGTTTATTACCCGACTGCGCAATGCAAGAGCGCGAAGCGCGACGCGCAGACAGGGTATAGTGTTTAACAGCCTATATATGTATGTTAGTTCCTTTGTGGCACACTAGAGACCAAACGCCTGGACCGATTTTGATGATTCATACATCAATCGATTCGTTTCAATCATGGGAGTGCTACTAAAGATATGATAGTAATCAAAATTCAATATGGACAAAATTAGGCGCCATATTGTGACGAAGTAAAAAAAATAAGTTGACAAAATATGTCTAGTGGGGTATCACTGTCTAGATAATCGAAAATCATGTTTAGGTTTCTAACACCATTTTTCATTTTATCTGCGAGCCATTTCAGCCTGCACTGCAAAAACAGCAAAAGTTACATGAATATAATGTATCGTGAAAATGTATCTCTTAAATAGTTCTACAAAAAAGTCTGCGACAGAATATATCTATTTTTAATGTGTAAGCCATTATCGCTAAAACAGTGAATCAAAAATAAAATATTATTTGCTACCATTTCCAAAATGCACATTTTGGATTAAAAAAATAGTTTTGTATTAAAATAAATATTTTTATCGCTTTTGAAATTGAAAGACGTTAAACTTTGCCTTTTACACTATGTCATTTCGACAAATGTTTAAAAATTTACAACGATGACAAAGTGATAGCGCGGTGTACTCTGCAGGAATACTACGAGAAGAAAATTTAATTTAGGTGTTTATAAACGTGGATAAAACCTAGGCGAAAAAGAAAAAAATGGGCTACTCGCAGTATCTGATCCTATACGAAGTACTTACAATAAAACTCTGATACAGTTTCTTCTTATTAAATGATGAAAAATAAATTATCATAATTGGTATTTATGATTATTGAATATTAATAAAAAACTCAGAATTATACTGTTTTTAATTTTTTTTAAGGATATTAATTAATGTTACAAAAATGGTTTACTTAATATAATGACAAATAACCCATTTTTCGCTAGTAGGTACATACTTATTGGAATCCTTGTATTTATTAATCAGCTCGCGATAATATTGGTTTGGTAATTATAAACGATGATTCTGCAAAATTCAAAGTAAATAATATAGATGTTTATAGGTAAATCACCGCTTTCATCACCCTACGCCTATAAGTATTGCGATGTTGTTGCTAAGAACCAAGTTCCCATCTACTTCTATAGGGGAATTCATTATAATCGATTTAGCTATTTGGGCACGGAAGCGCAACAAACAAACTCACTTTCGCATCTATAATATTATATTATACTTACTAGTGATCCACCCGGGCATTGTACGGGCGAAATTTATTTTATCGGGATAAAATATAGCCTATGTCATTTGGACAAAATGTATTTAAATAAAGTAAAATGTAATAATAAATAATGTAGCTACCTTATGATGAATTAATATTTGAAACCGGTTCAGTAGTTTGACAGATTGTTACAAACATACAAATCTTGGCCTCTTTATAATATTAGTATAGATAGGATAATAGTATTTAATTGATGAAAAAGATTTAAAAATAAAGTAAGTAATAGGTTTATTTGATTATATTTCTAAAAGTTACTTAGCATTTGTGCTTAACAGTGATAGTTATTCGGTATTTTTTTATACAAAAAAAAATATTTGGAAAATAATTGATTGCACTATTTGCAATACCTACTAGGCTTGTAGCAGCACGCTTGATAGGTGGAAGTACTCTTCATTCGAGCTTAACACTACCAATAAAAAAGGGTCGATCACAAAGTCTTTGACCTGTTATATTTGAACGCTTTAAAAGAAAACTACAAAGAGAACTATAAATTGATAATAAATGAGATTGCTATGGTGCTCTACCTAACGTTATGAAAATTTTATTATGCGCCTTTACTTTAATCAAATATTATAAACTTTGCTTTGGTGATTGCATAATTATTTAATTTAGCGATCTAAGGCTGTTGCCACCATTGCCCAAAACAACAGACGGGAATTACTGCTTTCTTCAACCTGCGATATAAACGTCATTGATTGGTATTGTATATAGGTAATTAACAACATTTGAAGTTAACTTCTGGCATCTACATATTGGGTTTCTGTGAATTATGTAGGTATATCAAATTATGAGACTAGGATATGACACTGCATTTGTGTATATCACAATCTTAGAGCAGGACGTTGACATGACAATGCAGCCGCTGCCAATTTTAAATAGACGACGAATAAAAGTAAATGAATTTTATATTTACTGCTAAACTTCTAAAAAGATCATAAACAAAAGATGACTTTTTAAATAAGTGCTAGTTTACTATAAAATTTAAATACCTACATTAGATATTTATGTAACGAGTTGATTTAACTTCACACATTTTTGCGAAAATTGAGGCCCATCTGCAGCCTTGACCCCGCTGGTAAAGTCTCTATATGTGTTAATAAATCAATCTTTTAGACCACCGCAAGGTACTTAATAATTCCCGCGATATTAATTCCCTTACTGAAGTAACAAGACTACGGTATATACAGTCTTAAAATACTAACTAAAAAGTGTGAAATAAAAAAGGTAAATTTATAAAATCAAGAAACCCGACTGCTTAATTATACTTCTATGCTTCAAATGCTGAACAAAGCTACTTTAACAGTCGGGACCCATTCCCGGCTGTTAAAGTAGCTTTGTTCCTTATTAACAGAATTATAGACTACTAGACTTGTTTTTTTCTTTTCAGTTTTTATTTTACCTTTAAATTTACCTTTTTTATTTATTTCTTTCTGAACAGTGTTGACTTGGTTCTTCTTTGACTTCGTTGTTAAATTGGCAACACAACGTAGTACCTATTCCATTCTGAAGACGGATGTTGTTTATATTAGGGTTACATGCGCTGTCCCATATTTAGGTATATACCAATACATTCATATTAGTTTCAATTTCGTCTAATATATTAGCAAATTGCTGTCCGTGAAAAGCATAAAGTTAAAATATTAAAACACAAGCCAGTACACACTTTAGAATCGCATATTCCACTTCTCTCTTTTGGATTTATGTGTTTTTGCCGAGTCAATCTTTTGTTGAGCGAGATGCATGCCCGTTGTTTCCCATTTATATCTTTTTCTATCTTTAAATATCTTTTTCTTAGGGTGAAAGTAACGTGTACTGATTCTCCATTTTTCCATCCAGCCACTGACTTTGTTGAGTTTTCTTTGTAGAATGTTTGAGGCTTCTGTAGGACTCGCGCTGCTTGCCAGTACTGCCAGTGCCGTCTTTGACCTATTGGAGGCCCTAGCATATTAGGATAAAGGGGCCCCTATGACCCCCGTTTGGTGATCTAACGTGTACTTGGGACTTTGTGTTTGTGATCAGAGGTGCCCACCTATCGATCACGGGGCCCTGGGCACTTGCCCAAAGTGTCCACTGGGAAAGACGGGTCTGAGTACTGCAATGTCATTAGCAAAGATCGCAGTCGTGACATCCTGCTGTTCCCAGAAGTCATACGTGTATAGTGTAAACAAGTGGATTTTTTTGCCCGCGCATGTGTACAATCCCTCCTACAATCTGGGGTCTTTTAAGAGAGGCGTGAAGAAGCATTTTTACAGGCCGGCAAGGTGAGGACGGTTGGTGTGACAGTTCATAACTGCTGTACCAGCTATCTTCGCGTTTCGACTTTATCACCACTAAACATCAGGTGGGGAAGTCGTTTGCCTACCTGGCTATATAAAAAAAGGACTGGTACAAGAACTGAGCCCTAAGGCACTCCTGCTGTTATATTGTAATAAAAACTTATATCTCCAATATGTACGGTTAGTATATAATCATCATCATGTCAGCCGTACGACGCCCACTGCTGAGCAAAGTAAAATGTACAGTTCATCATCATCATCATCAGCCTATTAATGTCCCCACTGCTGGGGCACAGGCATTCCCTATGGATGAAATAGGAAGATTGGGCCATGACCCACCACGCTGGCCCAGTGCGGATTGGTGGGCGCTAACGACCGCAGGTGCAGCCGGGACCAACGGCTTAACGTGCCTTCCGAAGCACGAAGGAACTCGAGATAGTAAATTTTTGGTCACCCATCCAATGACCGACCACTGCGAAAGTTGCTTAACTTCAACGATCGCAGCTGATCGCGCTAAAGACTTACGCCATCGAGCTCCTCAAATGGGTTCAGTCGTTTAGACAAAATTTACAGTTAATTTCATATAATCCATCTCACTTGGCGAGCATAAAGCATGAGTAGAAATGTTGGAGCCCGGATCCTGAAGATAGATATTTATCATTCACTCACATTCACTTCCATTAACTTCCCTCCTCAAAGCCAATTGCGAATAGGACTCGCACAAAAGGTTTCGTACCATCTTATAATTGCAAAACGTACCTACAGCCACCGCACCGGGATGCGTAATGCCATTATGTGTACCTACTACCATTGACACGGGTTGCTCTGAAATCGAAGGTATACAATATGTTCTTGTATCTGGGGAACTGCAGTATGCTCTCCAGCTGCAAGAACCTAAAAAACGGACGGTTACTATTTTTCTTCATAAGTCCCTCATGGACTCTCTCCATATTCCTCGCTACGTTCATGAAGCTCTTGTTCACTTATTTCATTCATTCGGTATATATACCTACCTAGTCCAGCTATAAGTTCTGTTACAAATATCATATATCATCATAAGCGATGAGGAGGTGACTAAACACCTTAAGCCTCTTCAATTACGCCGTGACGTGGCGTCACTAAGCGCGTTCTATCGTCTGTACCACGGCAAATGTTCTGAGGAGTTATTCTCTCTTATCCCACCTTCCCCTTTGCTTCAGAGGACCACGCGCGCTGGCCTACGTTGTCACCGTCTAACTGTGGCCACAATTCCAACGCGTACAAAGAAATTTGGTGACTCATTTCTGTGTCGCACTATCCGTAAATGGAATGCTCTGCCCGGTCATGTGTTCCGTCCCTCTTACAACCTGTGATCCTTTAAAAGAGGCGAGAAGAAGCAACATGCAGGCCGGCAGGGTGAGGATGGCTGGTGTGGCAGGTAGAACTGCTGTATCAGCTATCTTCGCGTCTGGACTTCACCTTCACTTAACATCAGGTGGGGTGGAGTCATTTGTCGGACCTATCTATAAAAAAAATGAAAATGAATTTTTTAATGAAGTCATGTAATATTATTAAAATTTATACCTACATATTTATTAGTCTCAGCAAAAAATAAAAATAAAAGCTATTCGAAAAGGCCACCTTTGGCTTTTATATACAACTCTTTAATCTGTTTGGCCACGAATCTATGGATTTACGCACTGTTTCCAAGGGAAAAATCGCCACTGCTTATTCTAAAGTTTTTTTAAGAGACTCAATGTCGCCATGTCGTTTAGGTCAGGTCTTGTTTTATAATACGCGACAGAGTTCTAGAATATTCTTTTCTCGCGATAAGATTTTTTGCTTTTGTGTTCCAAATTCAATTGAATAGTTGAACAAAAGAAAAGCTTTTGTAACAGTATTTATGGCCAGGTTAGTTATATATCAGTCCAGCTTCCAACCACTTTTTATTATTAATTTATATAGCGGCCACAGTGACAGGCTTTTTGTGAAAAATTCAGATGTCTATCAATTTTCATACAAGTCCCATTACAAACAGAAAGACAGCAGAGGCATTATAGTAAGGTTCCGTTCACAGAACACAGAAAGAGGTCGTTCTGTGGTTCCGTTTATCACCTTTTAAGTTTAGGTACGGAACTCGATGACGCAGTACAATGACCGTCATAGAATAGGTGTCCAAAATTTATTATCTCGAGTTCCTCCGTGCTTCGCTTAAGTGCGTTAAGCCGTTGGTCCCGGCTGCATTCGTAGTCGTAAGCACCTACCAATCCGCATTAACCAGCGGGTGATTCATGGTCCAAGCTCCATATCACATACGTGGGGAAGGCCAGTGAACCAGGCATGATCATGTTGAGGTACTGAACCGAAAGCCTACAGCCAAAAGAAAAACATCGATTTCTTATCAATATTCGGACTTATTACCAATCCGTGATTATTACAAAAATACTTAAATTTTCGCTATTGAAAAATCCCGAGATTGCATTAAAATTAAAAAAAAATGGATGCGTGTAACTTATGTACGCGCGTGAGAAGTTATACTTCTTTAGCATCATTAAATTTTTTTTTTAATTGCATGCAAATAATTAATAATTACAATAAAATAATAAACGGACTGGAAAAGGATAGTTAACACAGTCAATTAAGTTCAGTTTTAATTTGAAAAATTAAATAAATATTCAAAATATTCAATTAAAATCACTACTGAATTTAAGTTATTAGTCCATGTAATCAGCACTTGTAAGTAACTAAAACACGTTGTGTCTATATAGAAACTAGAAACATGTGGATAAATATTATAAATATGAAAACAGTGATCAGAGGCGACGAGCGTGCCAACATTGTTTTTGACAACGCGATCATCTTATGGAGCTCCGTGGATCGTTCAAAGTACCTTTCGAACAGATGTCTAATAATGGTGGATTATTAACCACTAAACATTCATAACGCGCCCGCGGCCAACTTCATGGTGTTACTATTGTGTTACAGTGATACGCGCGCATCTCGAAATTTCACTCACCTGATTTTTTCATAACGCGCCCGCGGCCAACTTCATGCTGTTACTTTTGGGTTACAGTGATGCGCGCGCATCTAAAAATTTCACTCTCATCATTTTTTCATAACGCGCCTAAAGAAGTATAACTTCAATAATCAATAATTGTTACACCGCTTTAATATTTGATTTAGGCTTATCCCACGCCTGCGTGACGAAGGTTCGAGTGGTTTTGGTACTAAAATTAGCGTTCGAACTTTGAATGAAGAACGCTCCTTAACATAAGGCAGGGCTCCTTTACGTAAGACAGGGCAGGCGGGCTGAGACACAGGGGCCCTCACAAGTTCCCTCCTTTCTAAAATCTGCGGTCCTTTAAAAGAGGCGTGAAGAAGCATTTTTGCAGGCCGGCTAGGTGCGGGTGGTTGGTGTGGCAGTTTATAACTGCTGTACCAGCTATATTCGCGTCTGTACTTCACCACTTAACATCAGGTGGAGTAGAGTCATTTGCCTACCTGGCTGTAAAGAAAACACCTCACAAATCCGGCCCTGACTGCACACACAAAATTGTTTTCCACATCCTTTTTTAGCGTGTCAAATTATCGACATATTACATTACATTTCCTGGATCTTCAATGATAGGGACTTAATTCATCGAATACGAAGATTGTAATGCATCCTAAGTTCATTCTTGTAATAAGAGTTCAAAAATTATATAACCTAGCAGGAACTCCATGTCACCTAGATACATTCCATAACTACTGTTCGTCCTTTAGTAACATTAATTAACGAATTTTGTGTAAATTAATTAAAGAGAAATATTTTTTTGGTCCATGGTTGGAAAACGCCTGGGATTGGCAATGACTAAATTGACGTCACACGCTAGTAAACTTCCGGCCAAAGTGACATTACAATGTGTCGTTTAACATTTTAATGACAGGCGTGTGACGTCACACACTGGCGCGACGCCATAATATCAAGAAAAAAGTTTTCGCGGCAACATCAAAATTGTTTTTCTTTTACTTAATTACATAACAGAAATATCCACTTTTCATGGATTCCATAAACTTTAGTAAATGACGCGAGATAATTTTCTAAAACTTGGATACTATTGGATACCTATTGGTTCAGGCTAAGGGTACTGTCATCGTGTCATCACATATTTATTTGCCACCCATTCTACCGTGAAGTAAGACCGCATACTTATAGTAAATATACGTTTGATTCCCAACTGAAAACACAATAAGGGATCTCAAAAATATGAAAGTCGGAGTCGAGTACGCCCGTATTCGTGTAAATTTTCTTTTGTTCACAAAAGGTCTTGAAATGAAGATAACTCGTTCTAAAAGAACAATAAAAATCTTCCATTCTCAAATCATAGTATTTACGAGTAAAACCCAAAAGCTTCCTTTTCTTATTTATCATTTTTTTATGAACAGCAGCGCAGGAATATTTTTGCGATCCATGTCACTATTACTAAAACACATCCAATACGGCTGACTACCGTTGAAGGTATTGTCACCTTAAGCACAACTTTGCCGCACTACATCGCATCGCAGCAATTCGCATCGCAAGTTCCTGTGATGCGACGTCGCAACGCAGTTTTGTGCGGGAGCCCTAAACGCATAAATATCAATATGTAATTCAAAAATAATACCGCCTTTCATACAATGATTTTATACATTTATTCACATTCCTTAATAACGACAATTAGCTTTATTTAATTATTGTATAAACTATCAACGGCCACATTTGAAGTTCGGCAGTAGGTACATTATGCCAGCAGTACATACAACAGGAAGAAACAAAAACGAAAACCTCATCAAATCATTAATACTTTACTTTTTAACACGAATGTATGTATGATGTGTATATATAAATAGATCAGCCACTTTTCTAAATAACATGATTTGCAATTAAGATGAATTTTAAAATAATAAACGTGTATAATAAGTATTAAATTAGTTTTTTAGTTTTATGTCTGGCATGTCACCGTCGTCCGACAAATCCTGAAAAAAAACAGAAAACAATGGTTAACTAAATCTCTAGTCAAAAACAAAACTTACAGTTAAAACAACGAGGTGTGTATAATTGTATATATTCATTCATATACATATAATGTTCACAATGTATTTAGCGCGAGTACATGTCAAACGAGCCAAATATACTGAAATAGTCTACTACATATAAGTAATACAGTATATTATTTACACAACATTTCGTTACTATAAAAGCTATAGTCCACGCACAATGTTTTGACCACACCTACTACGCGCGTTTTGCGGCATTTTCCCGTCAATCTATATTTTTGTTACATCCAAATAATACGCTGTAGAATGAGAAAGCTGCGTTAACTCCCTATACCCCAAGCCCGCAAAACTAGCTAGAATAAATAAATAAATATTTCTAACAGTCACACACCAATTAGCCTAGCCCCAAAGTAAGCACTGTAAGGCTTGTGTTATGGGATGCTAGGGTAACGAATAGAATACATGTACTGTAAATGGGTATTAAAAATAAGTATTTTTTTATAGAAATACATATTAAAGATCCATGACTGGAGTACAAATGCTCGTATTCATCACACAAACATTTCCCCCACCGGGATTTGAACCCGGGACCTCTCGGGTCGGCGACACCATGAAACCCGGCGTACAAACCACTCGGCCACGGAGGTCCTCGTGAATGTATTTATATCGCTGTCTTCAAAGTTTCTATGGAAAGAGCTAGTTTCTTCTCACGTCCGGTAGGGGCGCTGCTAATTTTCCATAGAATCTTTGACATGGCGAAACGAATGCTTTCCCGCTAGTTGTTCGTGTTCGGGGTACTGGGCGAGCGAAAACAACCCATCTTGCTTTGTAGCACAAAACAAGGTCTATCTTAGGCTTAGTTGAACGCGAATCGCTAATTCATGCAACTTTTGCTTCACCCGCTCTCAAACATATAAATATCGAATAAGTTTAATCAACGCAACGTTCCAAAGATGTGATTTGATTTTTTAAACTAGCGCGAACTATCAAAGATCGCGTATTTGCGTTTTATAAGGAGAGCGCCTAACAAAATACTGCCTTAAAAAGACATCCTTATGTGGTAATAATTAGTACCCAACTGAATCTGTGTAAGCAACGAGTTACGCGATAACTATAGCTTTTATTCTACTAGTAATATGGACTATAGCAAAATGACTACATCAAATCCCTACCATACATATTAAAATTGTACCACAATAAATATCATTCCACATCAAGACTACATGTATTACGCAATAGTATAGAAAGTAAGACAGCTGTAATGAATTATCCAAACACGCTGGCATTTGTGATAATTGACGTTTTGTTTTTGTTACTTATTCAAAGCAAAGAAATCAATCCGCAAACTGCCAAGGCATTCGGACGGCATAGAAAAGGATCAAGTCTGCAAGATCTTGTACAGGAGCGCGACCACAAGCTCTACACAATAAACAAATCATTCGACCAATTTAATGTGAATTACCTTTTGGATTGTGTCCAGAAGTTTATGTTTTTGTGGAAAACAAAATAATGGCAATATTATAATATTCACAATGTATGAACAGTTGTTGAGTTGAAACGTTTATTTAATTGTTCAAACTTTTCGTAGGCGTAGCATATGTTGGTTCAAATAATTGTAACTTAGCTTTTTTTCCTACAGTTATTTAAGAGTCAAATCTGAGTTATAGAACGTAGGGCCAACGGTGCGATGCATTCTTTGAGATTTCCCGCACTTCACTTGGCTATTCCTGCTTGCTATTTGTAAACTTGACATCAGTCTGTCCCTTTCATTATTTATACAGCATGATAAGGACAGCCTGTTGTCAAGGCAAACAGGAAATACGCATAACCAAGTGAAGCATCGACAGCATCCTGAAAATTTTTGTCTGACAACTGTCGGGATTCTGATGGGAATTTATAAACTCCTATAGCCTTGCTAGTAGACTTGTTGGCTTGTAGTTTGTGAACTGGCCCCGTATCATCGAGGCTTTAGTTAACAAAGTAATTGTCAGCCACAAGCTGTATTTGACAGTTCGCTATTTCGATAAATACCAAAGAAAGTATACGTTCTATCTATTTTGTATAACCGTACATGTGCTAGGCCTACTTCTGCAAAAACTATGTGTAATGGTATTTATAAGTATGGCTTGTTAGTCCAATCCAACAATCTAGGAGAGAACCAAGTGTTATCTAATTACGTGCAGACATTTGGGTGTTGTTGAGTGAAACGAATAAACAAACATCATAATAATCCCATATTTATTATAATATAATCAGTCATCTACAAAATCTACGCCTATTTGGAGCTAAAAAGAATTTTGATAGTGGATTCCGTTTTGATCCTACACATATTGGAGATTAGTTTCAAAAGTTAATATACGACAAACATTTAAATCTAAAATGATGTTATATGACAAACTTTACATTAAATATTTGGTTTACGATATAAAAATAAATCATTTTGGTATTTTTCAATCTAGCGCTTTGTATTAAGAAGCAAGATCTATTTTCAAATATGACATATAATTCTCTTACGCAACATTTTAATTGCCAGTAAAGATCAAATTATTTCCCTTTTTTTGCATTTGAGCAACTTACTTAGTTCATTTTTATTGTTTATTTACTAGTAGAATTTCGGTATCAGCAATACAGACTGATTAGCAATTCATTTAAGCCAATTATTAGTCTTAACATTCGCCTAATCAATATATTAAAACACCTCATAATTTTAAAAGTTCAAATACTTAATTTATGACCTTTTTATTTAAAAATCTATAAATATAGTATTAAACTATATTATGTTTTATATAATATTATAAACATAGTTATATGATATCTAAATATTATTATATTATATTATTTGATCTTTACTCCGCCTAATCTAATAAAAATATATGATAAAGCCTTAAAGTGTTCAACAAACAGTTAGATACGTTGCATTGCAAAATATTTTATAATATTCAAATTCCTATAAATATTGCTTACAATGTTATGTGTAAATATTTTAATTCTAATATATTAACGAGTCTATAAGTATTTGCTTTTTATTTTATTTATCCGCAGATATAAGGATCTCGCGCCGCGCGCACTCACTGTACTCATTGTCACCTTTCTATATATTATTTTTCGGTCTCAATTATCCACTCTAAAGGTGATAAGACAAGTCCCATTCCAATTCGCGGCTAAATCCCCAACTAACGTAACGACTTATTAATTCTATAATAGCTACACAACAACCTAATTCCTTATCAATATTATGGAGTCTTGGGAAGAACGTTCTCAGACTAATTCAGTTTTATCGAGATATCGGTTCAGTTAATGAGGCTTTTCGGGAAATATAATAGGTCTTGCATATGGAGCTCTAAAGGTTTCATAGTCTGTGAAAAATATAAGCGATTTGGGTGATCTGCGCAACTCTCAACTCAGTTGCGTCACCGTCTTCTTAGAAAACCTAAATATTTTGAAGGCAGGGGTAAAATCCCCTTTTTGCCAGCGGCAATGCGTTACGCATACCCCACTGCTGGGTAAGCGAAACCCATTCAGCGAAAAAAATTACCCAAGGTCAGGTTAGTAAATTTTATTGTAAGGAACGTTATTATAGTCGTAATACATTTAAGAAGTCAAGGCCATCGTAATTAATATATTTAAGAAATATTTTTAACCTTGACTTGTCAAGGTCAAATTAAAACAAAAAGGGAACTCGCGGCTCAAAAGTGATCCGCTTAAATTGTGGTGCATGACCACAATTCGCTGTAGTAATTGACATTCAAACACGCTGCATGTGCACTCAATATAACAATATTGCGTATATTCTGTGTTATAAAGATAAAACAATTCCTTCGATGCTTTTATAAAGAACACAAACAGCTGACAATCAAATAACAAATGCCTCGGTAACACTTTTCATTCGAAAAACTGTAAAAGAAACTCTAAAATCACTTTTCGTCGTGAATGTTATTTACGTAATCGCCATTTTGTTATCAACAAAAGGACTACAATACAGCTCAACCGTGCGGACTCGGACGCAAATTCACGCCGTTTCGCTTGCGCTGCGTTACAGCGTACAGTTCTGTCTCACTCGCTCGATTGAATGTTTATTAACAGACGTGTGCGTGTGTGAGAGTTGCTTATGTAGTTGAGTCGGAGCATTTATTTGATGCTAGTATGTTTACCGTATCTTCCCTTTTTGTTTTAATCTAAGAGCCAAGGCGAAGAAATGTTTTCGTATTAGTTTTCTGTGTAAAATCGCCGTAACTGCACTACAGTTTTTGGTTCCATAATTCAACTAGAAACAATTACATCCCTCGCAATTTTCTTGTTTTTTATCAGTACTAGACATTCAAATCTCTCTCTATGCGACGAAATTTTAAAATATATTATTACTTTTTTTTTCTAAATGTCTACTCTAAGGCATCAATATTTTTCCTCGCTACAGTTAAGTCTCACTCAGACAAAAATTTCACAACAGACTTTTAGTACAGTATCTTTAAAAATTTTTTACTCGGTCTCGATTCGACTTTATGCACATATTAATAGGAATCAGTATCGATTTGTTTATTACAAAGTTTTCGTGTCTTTCTCTAGAAATTTATATACTATGTGCACTGGCCTCACTAGTTCACTGGCCCAAGCACGAATTTTTGTCAGCTCCGTAAAGTATATCGTTAACCTAAAAATAACCTTATGATATAAGTTTTGACCGCATTACTCGCTGAAATGGACGTCTAGTTTAGTGTATCATGTTGCAATGTCAATTTAATGAGGCAAAATTGGCGTTTAACCTAATAAATTTCCAATAAATCTCACTTCAAATTTGTGGTGTGTGTTTTGCAATATTCATAAATTATCGGGATGATTCGTTGTAGATTATACTAATTGCACTTCCAGTCAAACGTACGGTCATTGATACGTGGGTAATTAGAATTTGGCAGCACATTAATTGGATACCAATAAGAGCTATTTTCGTGGAGCAAGTGTATTTTCACAACCATTAACTTGGTTGTACTGACCTGTACGCTTCCTAAACTTGATTGCCTAAACTACTACTAATCATTCATAAATTATTAACTATTAGGAATGAAAACATGTTAGTCGACAAAGCAGGAATTGAGGTTAGGTTAAAGCTGCTTGTTAAAACTAGAACATTATTATTGACATACTAAAAAAAATTGGCAACGGTTCCAGTTAAGAAGCATCCGTGATTCGATTCTTGTCATCTGGGACCGTACAAAGACTCCGGTTGTACGAGTAATGAAATTTTGAAAACCACAATCCACTTCACTGTATATTGAATTTGCAGCATTTGAAAATCTAAAGAAAATTCTAACAAAAAATTATCTGTGCGCTCCAAAAAATCCTGTGTAATGCCTGGGCCGCGTGGATAATTAGCTAGAATAATTTAATTGAAATACACAATCTACCGCGTCTATCGCCTTGATTTCGACGAGGGTTCTATAGTACCGTCGCTGAGAAGAGATAATTTCGTACAATGACCCTACGCTACCCATCCTTCTACGTCACCATTACGAAATTATCTCTGCTCGGTGACCGTACTATAGTACCCTCGTCGAAATCAATGCGATAGACGCGGTAGATTGTGACGCGACGTGTTGGCAAGAAACGCAAACTTTGGGATACCATCAGAGTAAGGAAGGTCGCTTATCTAGGGCAAGTAATGGGACACGCAAGGTACGCCCTTTTTCAATTAATAATGATGGGCAAAGATGCTGGAAAACGAGGCATCGGTCGCAGGAAGAAGTAGCGCCGCTAATTATTCCATCTCGCTAAGGATATGGAGACGTATGCTAAGCTGTTTGTCAACCTTCGCTGTTCGGAGAGGCATTAGAAGAAGAGTGGGGTCATTGTACGAAATTATATCTGCCCGGCGACCGTACTTTAAGATAACTCCTTTTAGTTCAAGATTCGAGTGAAACTGTGCGATCGTGATTTCCGAATGCTTTCAAAACACGTGCTAAATAGTAACCATAAGTGCATTGTGTAAGCGTGTATAGGGTTTGGATACGAAAGATCCACTGCTAATCGGTCGGTTTGGTGTGTGTGCTACGTACGACGCTGTCGATCGGTTCGTCCAGGGATATGTCCTCGATTTCCCTTTCGATTTCCCTTTCGATTTCCTCCATGAAGTCGAGCGAGTTTTTGCTCAAGTGGCGTACGAATTCAGGCTCGGCCGTGGTCGAATCTGGCTCTGGTGGAGTGATGGTTTTATCAGCAGGCGTACTGCTCGCTATTTGACTTGTTTCAATGCTTTGATACTCCAATGGTTTAGGTTTTTCTCTGTAATTATAATATTTATTGATCTTTACATACAATATAGAATACTCGGTGTGTAGCTCGATGGCGCAAGTGGTTAGCGCGTTCGGCTCGCGATCGTTGAAGTTAAAAAACTTTCATCATTATATTTAAAATAGTCATTGGGTGGGTGACTAAAAAATTTACTATCTCGAGCTCCTCCGAGCTTCGGAAGGCGCGTAAAGCCGTTGGTCCCGACTGCATTTGCAGTCGTCAGCACCCACCAGTCCCGGGCCCGCGTGGTGCGTCACGGCTAGGTTTACCATTTAGTAATTTCAAAAGTCCTGACATTTAAAAAAAGTCCAGACTTTTTAGTCACAACATGGTACCATTACTCACTTAGTTACAATAGTATATTATTTAAATCTATATGTTCATTTATTATTCATATTCAATGTAATTTAAAAATAGTCATAAGACTGTCAGTCCCATAGTCTCTTAAAAGTTGAATGAACTTTTGTATCGCTTCTCGTTGGCCGTACTTTATGTTATTTTATGATGTGACATGACGAACGAGACCTAATGCCATATATACGAGATGAAAGATAGTCATAAGACTGTCAGTCCCATAATCCCGAAAAGTTGAATGGACTTTTGTATACCTTCCCGTTGACCGTACTTTGTGTTACGATATGATCTGACTTGAACGAACGAGACCTTATGCCACATATATGAGATGAAAGATATAGCTATTCAACTGTTAGTCCCATAGTCTCGTAAAAGTTGAATGGACTTATGTATCGCTTTTCGTTGGCCGTACTTTGTGTTGTGACTTGATGTGACATGACTGAACGAGACCTATTGCCATATATATGAGATGAAAGATGGTCATAATGTCAGTCCCATAGCTCTTAAAAGTTGGATGGACTTTTGTATCGCTTCTCATTGGCCGTATTTTATGTTATGATATGATGTGACATGACCGAACGAGACCTAATGCCATATATATGAGATGAAATACTATAAATAATACTTTAGCCTATCATTCCCATAGTCTCGTAAAAGTTGAATGACCTTTTGTATGGCTTCTCGTTGGCCGTACTTTGTGTTACGATATGATGTGACATGACAAAATGACACCTAATGTCATACATATGAAAGAGACATTAAAAATATCCGCTTCCATATTATTTTAGCCAAAAAATAACTTTAGGTAAATATGCATCCGATTATACTATTTCTAATTATGATATTATAATGTCACAAACCTTGAAGGTAACCGTGTGGGTGCCGTCAAAGCGTTCGTTCTCTCAGCGGCGAGGTCTCTGTCCACATTCGACTCGCGGTAATCTTCAGGGAACAGTTCCATGGAGCAGCTCTGATCGTAGCCTATCTCCTTTTGGAACTTCTCTAGTTCTAATGATTCCTATGTAAAACAATAATTATAATATGAAAGAGAGAGAGAAACATTTTATTGACCACATAACATCACAAAACAACATAAAAAAAATACATTTTGAAAATCAGAAAACATATAAAGAGTAAAAAAAAGAACCAAAAACAGATTAATTATATTTTCATTTATGGTCATTTAGCGCGTTCGGCTGCGATCGTTGAAGTTAAGCAACTTTCGCAGTGGTCGTTCATTGGATGGGTGACCAAAAATTTACTATCTCGAGCTCCTCCGTGCTTCGGAAGGCCGTTGGTCCCGGCTGCATTTGCAGTCGTTAGCACCCACCAATCCGCACTGGGCCCGCGTGGTGGGTCATGGCCCAATCTCCCTATTCCATCCATAGGGAAGGCCTGTGCCCCAGCAGTGGGGACATTAATAGGCTGATGATGATGATGATGATTATGGTCATTCAGGACCCTATCACACCATAATGCTAATGCTGCAACAACACGCAGTTGCACGTTGAGTTCCGATCTTTTAAGTATATAATAGCTACAATTTTGGCAGGCCGGCAAGGTGAGGATGGTTGGTGTAGCAGTTTATAACTGTTGGACTCGGATCGCGTTTGGACTTTATCACCACTTAACATCAGGTGGGGTAGACATTTGCCTACATCGCTATAAAAAAAAACTAGCGATTTTTTTAAACCCAGCTGTACTGAGTTTTTTTTTAAGATCCGAAACCCTAATTACTAATCAATATTATGAAGTCCCGCGAAAACTAATTCAGTTTTCAACCGAGAGACATTCAGAGGCTATTCGGGAAATATATGTCACTTGTTTCCGCCTTATAATAGGTCTTTCATATGGAGCTCTTATCTTTACAACACTCAATATCTGTCTGTCTTATTTTAAGCAAACAATAGTGACAGCATCAGTTTTAAATTAAGTATTAACTTTAGTCAACGTTTTATAATAGGGCGGCAAACGTTAACACCATACCTGGTAGCCAGGGAACAGGTTTTCGTACTGATCCGGATCTGCGAGGGCCTGACCCGACTTCTTGTTGGTGACGGAAGCTGCCTGACGCCATGACTTCACCACCTCTGACATCTTAGACGGAATGTATGATCTGGCAAGGTAAGGAAAAAGAAATAACATAAATATTACTTCAGATAATTAGCAAAGACATCTTTTTGCTCGAATGTGGGTGTATAGGATCCTATTAATATGATAAATGTGAAAGTGTGTATGTTTGTTACTCAATCACGCAAAATCTACTGAACTTATTCGGATGAAATTTGGTATGCATATAGTTTATGGATTGGACTGAGACATAAGATACTTTTTGTCCCAGAAAATTGTTAAGTTCCTGAGATTTTCAAATAACCAAAGAAACGGCGGACGGGGTTGCGGGTACCCGCCATTATAATAACGAATAAAAACAAATTATGGATGTTATATTTTTTTGTGAAACAATTTCTTTTCTAGGTTTACCTTTTTCTGACTCTGAATCAATATCTTCATACCTATTTAATTTATCCATATTTCTTCAGAATACGTACGTAAGTGCTATATTTATTTGTTAAAAGGCTTATGTAACTTATCAACTATCTCTTATCTATTAGACAAGTCCGTCCGTCCGTCTGTCTGTGGTGCTGTTTCAGCGGCCAAACCGTAAGAGATAGATAAAGAGAATATTTAGGTTATAAGTTAAGAATAGTCTGATCAGACTACAAACCGGATTTGAGTAACGTAGCACTTCCGGTTTTCGAGAAATCACCAATTTCAAACGAAACCACACAAAATCTCCGAAGTTCTCAATTAATTAAATACATTTTTTTTTTAGGTTTTGGTGAACATTTGGTTCACTGGTTTGATAGTCAAATCTAATAGCCGAGTAATAACTTTCACAAATGCTACTCAGTAATTTAGGAAAACTCACGTCACTAGTTGATAGCACTGTGACGGACGGTCTTTGAAGTTTTTGGCGCAAACGAGCATTAAAATTGATCCATTGGGATCTGACAAAATTCGTGAGACACCTGGTGTTCAATTTTGGAACTAATACCGGGGTGCATCGCTCATCAAAACACATAAGTTATCATTAGTGTCATTAGTACTTTTGAGAAATTAAACAAAAAATGACGGAAGAATTAGGAATATTTAACCCTCGCAAGATTTCTAAAAAAAGAATAAAGTGTTGTGTGTATGGATGTGGAAGCAGTTTTCAAAAAAACCGTGAATTAACGTTTCATAAGTTTCCTAAAAAAAATGCGCGTTGTGTTTACATCAAAAATTATTTTGGTCAAATGGAAAAAGTGGACCAATTCACAGCATGGAAGAACGCTTTGAAGATTGACTGTAAAATAAATCCTCACATGAAAGTGTGTTCATTGCATTTTCTGAAAGACGACTATATATTACCAGGTGAGTCAAATTCGTTTTTTGAGGTTAAGCATGTGTGAAGTAGCATTTTACAAGATCTCATTATTATTCCACTAAGAAAAGAATGGGACGGCAACAACATTAAAATGAAAGAGTTTCCTTGGTTTAGTTACCACAATTCAATAAATGTTTGTGTATACCACAATTCAATAAATGTTTCGCAGCTACCAGTCGTTCACCCTCTCGAAAATTGCGATTACTGGGCGTTGAACCGGACCATTCACAAATATCATTAATTGTTAAGACTATCATTATCTACCACTAATATTGATATTTAACTATTTTACGGTATTTCATCACGGTTTGACTAGGCAAATGCACCCCCGTCGGCGCCATATTGAATAGGCCACGCCTCCATGTCAGATCCCAATACACTATGGCGATACGCGATTTGACGGCTGTGTAGACCTTTCGCCTCAGTGCTGTCACCAGGCGCCCTTATTCCAGAAAATTCTTTAAAATTTGCGTTTTTGGCCGGTATCGTATGTTTAATTTGTTATGTTAAAACTTCCGAATTAATAATTAAGAAAACCAAAGAACGAGGATCTTGATGACACAGCTATAGTCTAGTCACGAAAACGATATATCGGAGCAATTTCTCTATCACATCACATTAACACAAGGATAGAAACCTGTGAGAAAATGGTTTTCTTTGGCTGTAGCGACAGCAGAATAACCCGACCAAAGACAAAAATCTTTTAAACAATACATTATACTTAGCAACTATATGCGTCACTTAGGAGTTCTGTACATCACCAAATACCCCATAGGGCAGACTTTTAAATCAATAATGATAACACTAACAGAGTAATAACGAAACGTCCACCTAAATCTCAATTTGGGACACTGCAATTTTGGGTAATTTTTCTACATTACATAGATTGCTGTGCCAGTACGAAACTTATTTAAGAAATCTGTATTAGATATTAATTCTAAGTTCACTGAATTAAGATAATGATTTAGAAATCCTTTAATCATAAAGAACCCATATATGTGCATGACTTTCCTTTGTGATTCTTTTTGCGGAGGTATTTAAATTAACCTTGAAAACTTTTGCGTAATTTACGCTACTTACGGGGTTGTTACCATGTACCTTGTTTTAAGCGAATTTCCGATATTTCGGCGTTGGTGTAACAAAAACAAGGTACATGTTAACAATCCCGTAAATAACGTTAATTATTGTAATGTTAGTGACCAAGAAAGTTTAAAACATTATACAGGTATTTCTGTCTAAGTTATTTATAAAAAAGCTTTCAAGTGAATAGTGCTTGTCATGGCAGTTTCTAACTAAGACCACTACATATGTTTACAATGCGATTCAACTAAGAATAGGACCGACTGGGCGCCATATTGTGACGTCATAGCTGTCAATTCAAACCAGTTAGGTAGAGTGAGCACAAAAGTTTATTTTCAATAAAATCAGATTATTAATGATAGATCGACGGCTATAAAGTAAAATATCGATTATTGTAGGTTTTAAAACGATAACTTTATTTAAAATAATAACAGTCTTTTTATTACCTGTATTTATAATAAAACTAAAGTTCTTAAATATATTTCCTTTTTCCAGTACTAATTTATAAGTGTTCCAAGATTTTTTTGCAAACCGTACTTTTCAAGCGACTTTTGACAAAATAAGGGCATTGGTTTTCCTATTCTTATTTGAATCGCATAGTACTGTACAACCATGAGAATTTTAACATGCTTAAGCGTGTGTTTTGTGAACTGTCATTTATTTTGAAATAAATCTCCTCACCTGGCGAAGAACGCCGCCTCTGGCAGCTTGCCCTTTCTCAACAACAACTGAAGGCAAGCGTCCAGCTCGTTGAGCGTAAACAGCGCTGTGAAAGCTATGTTGTCTGCGCCGTCTTGCTCTGACATTTTCGCTACTTCTTGTAGTAGCGCCCGATCGCCTAATGGATATACATATATACTAATACTAGCTGACCCAGTGAACTTCGTACCGCCATAAAAATAGGGGCAGGTGGTAGAAGAGAAAATTTAGAGTTGTATTTTTTAATAGGGGTGTGTAACGTAGTGTTCTATCAATTTCCTGGGATAACATTCCGCATAACCCATATGAGAACACTGCGTTACAATACCCAATAGTTTGAATTTTGGCGCGAAGGCGCATTGTAGGTTTCAGAACATTACGTTACAGGTGGAAAACCATTATCACTTAATGGTATGAATAATAGATAGTAGCCGATTCTCAGACCCACGGTATATGCATATAAAATTTCATAAAAATCGGTCAGGCCGTTTCGGAGGAGTATGGTTACTAACATTGTGACACGAGAATTTTACATATAAGATTATGATGCAGAAGTGTGTCTTTTTGTCTTACTGGCTGTTAGCTTTTCACGCTTAAACCGGTGTGCCGATTTAGATAAAATTTTGGTATAGAGATAATTTGATATTTTGATTCCTGGGAAAGGACATAGGATAGATTTTATCCTAGAAATCAACCTTTTAAGAGGGTTAAAAGGAAGTTGGAAGCTTGTATGGGAAACCAATGTTTCCACGCTGACGAAGTCGCAGGCTCCCATAAGTGGAAATATATAATGAGCTATAATATATCGAAATAGTTAGCAACATTAAAATTCAGGAAAAATAAACATACAGCGGTTGTATTACATAGTTAGAAACATTTCTTTTTATATCGGCCTGTGGAATATCAACAACTAAAAAAGAATATCTAGAGCCGCACTGGTTTTGTAAAACAGTACCCCTAGCACGAACCATTATCGAATTCGAATAGTATGCAAACTGAAATGTCAATGTCAAATTTTGTATGGAAACTTGAACAGCAGCGTCACAAAGTACGTAACGAAAATCAGTACACATTTTAGCATGACATTTCGGACTCGCAAACGATACGAATTCGATATTGGTTCGTGCTAGGGGTACAGTAATAAAAACTTTTCTGAAACGTCAAATCTTAGTTGTTAAAAGCGGACTCGAGCTGAGAGACATTTGAGAAATAGGTATTTGAAACAAACTATCACTGTCACACATTGACAAATACCATGCGATAGATACAACAGCAGTTAACAATGAAAACTGCGTACAAAAATTACAAAATTTCAACGATTTCCTCCTCGAAAATTTTATTTAAGTAAAACCAATTTCACACAAAGAATAATAAACAGTTATACTATGCCTCTGTTTTGCTTTTTTTGTAAATGCTTATTAAAATTCCACACTAGACGTCTTTAGTGGTAATAAAATATTTTCTTTTGGCCTTCGAGGCTTCTATTTTTTTTTTATTTTTTTGTTCTGTGGCTGTTTCCGTTTCACACAGAAATTGCGCCAATATCCCGTAGTGAGAGAGACACGGTATGATAGAGATTGCTCGGTATTTATACAATTTTTTTTTTTTATTTTTATCCGAATAACCCTTCTTCCTTGAGCTTTTATTATTGTTCTTCTGAAAGCTTAACACACACAAAGACAACACAGGTTTAAATTATTACTATATAAAGTGTAGGTAATTTAATCGGTAGAGAAAATAAAAAGGTTTAGCTATATTTAGAGGGGATAATAACGTTATAGTTTTATATTATATTTTTTAATATATTTACATAAACAATAAAAGCCTGGCTTGTCAGAAACTGTTAAAATAGTGTTAAGGTTAACGGGACGCTGAGTTTTGGGCGGAAGTAGAGGATATAGAGACGGGTGTTTCTGACAGTTAAAGAAAATGTGGTCTGTGGTGCCTTCTTCAAGACCGCATTCGCAGATAGAAGGCTTCTATTTTCTTTGAAACACAAATTATCGAAAAAAGGAAGACATAGGAGCATAGAATGAGTATAATCATATTTTATGTATGAAAGTCCATTCTTTAGTGATAAAAATCAGGGAGGAATCAGTCGGGAACGTTTGTATAGAAAAAACATTGCCCTTGTATCTTTGCCTAAGTATCTTGTTCCCTTATCGCTAAAACATGTAATGCCGGCACCTCGCATAACTATTCGTATTTGCTATTTGTAAACTTGTCAACAGTCTGTCCTCATCAATGTCTATACAGTATGATTAGGACAACATTCTGTCAAAATGAGAGATAGAAAATATAATTATTATACGTTAATAATTTAACAGCTATTATATTCTCAACTTATGTTGCACTAATGAGGCTCACATTCCCATGCGCCATTTTGGGTAAAATGTTTAAAGAAGTTCGACTCCCACGGTCGTCCAATAGCCCGTCGCTTGGCTATTCTGTTGTTAAATAAATCACCAATATGCTATGTTGCTCTGCCACTCATGAGAACAAACATGCATAATCACATATCACATTAAGTACACTCACTAACATGCACCGTACACACACAAACACACACACACACATACAAACGCGCGCGCGCGCGCGCAAAAGCACAGTCGGTATAAAACAAAAGAAAATTTAAATGTTTTCTTATTTTTGTAAGGTACTTTAGATGGTTTAAATAAGGTTAATTTTTGTGCATCCCCATGACAAAATATCATGGAAGGAGTCGCTGACGGTTGTGAAACAGTTAATACTAGTACAGCCGTCAACTAACCTCTTATATGTAAAAAAAATTTAAGATTTAATTCCTCTAATTAGTATATAAGAGCAATTGTAACTTTTAAGATAAATAAACCATTGTTATTATTATTCGTGTTTGCTATTTGTAAACTGGATAACAGTCTGCCCTTATCATGCTATAGAAGGAATGAAAAGGACAGACTGATGAAAAATTTACAAATAGCAAACATGAACAGCCAAGTGCTTCACTTGGCATAATAGATATATGGTAACATCATCGAGTTTGAGGAAATCACCTAGTTCGAATGGCAGGACGTTAACGCTAAGCAATAGTAAGATGATTTTTTTGTCAAAGCATACGAAAGTGTTCTTTAAGTGATAGGATTATGGAAGACCCGGTCCTTTAGGGTTTTCGTGGGTGTATTAGACCAACACGTAGAGGCCATTCGAAGTGACATATTATAATAACTAAGCTAGATGGCGCAGGTGAAACCGTAGAAATTAAGCAATTTTCGCACTGGTCGGCCATGAGCTGGGTGATCAAAATATCTGCTTCGGAAGGCACGTAAAGCCGTTGGTCCCGGCTGCATCTGCAGTCGTTTGCATCCACCAAATTCACAAAGGGCCCGTGTGGTGTTTCATGGCCCAGTCTCTTTATTTCATCCATTGGGAAACCCCTAGCAATGGGGACAGAATAACTGATGAGATATGATGATTATAATAAGCTATTTGACAAGATCTTTAACATCAATTAGCCTAGCCCCAAAGTAAGCACTATAAGGCTTGTGTTATGGGATGCTAGGGTAACGGATAGAATACATATCCTGTACATATATAAGTATATTTATAAAGAAAAAAATATTAAACATCCATGACTGGAGTACAAATGCTCGTATTCATCACACAAACATCTGCCCCCACCGGGATTCGAACCCGCGACCTCTCGAATCGGCGAAGCAGAAACGTCCAACAGAATGAGAAAAAAATCGAAAACTGATGTTAGGTGAAAATTACGAAAAAAATCATTAAAAATATTATAACTCGAAAACTACGCAAAATCGTAGAACATACATGGGGGTGATTTGGATACTCCTCATCATAAGGTATCTAAATTTTACGCTTGAACGTCAACTGCCCAGCCACCCTGTATATTAGCTATTATAATTCAAGAATTCCTGGACCGAATAGAATTGACTTACAATGAGCCATCTATGTAGTGTTATTTTAAATCTACTGAAAGGCATTTTTTTTATTGAATGTGGAATATTATTAAAAATTCAAATGCACACGTAGAAACAGTTATTTTTAAAACGCGTGGTTTTCGGGATTGTATCAATGACTAACCTTTTACAGTGTCTTGTATTTGTAGGAAATACCTCACGGGCAGTTTTAAACAAACAAACCACTCGGCCACGGAGGTCGTCAACGTTCATACTTTAATAGACATTTTTTTTATTCTGTTGCGTATATTAGTTAAAAAACTAACGAACATAAAAACTATGTTTTCAAATATGCCACGTATCTATCAGGCAGGTGACGTACGGTGGCTTTCATTGAAACGTCAAACAGTACAAAGTGACGTCATTTCCACAGCATATTCACAAGCGGGTGGCGTCTTTACCCGAATTCCATAGGCACTCGGGCTAACGACCAAGTGTAAATGCGCCATTACTGGTACTGACCTGTGCTGATGGCTAACAGTAGTATGGAGCTGTAGTCGCGCGAGGCTTGGTAGCATGCCTTCGTTAGCTCCGTGTCAGCGGCCGCCATCGCCGCGGCACCCAAGCGGGTCCATCTGGCACTACATGACCTAAACGTATAACATATTTCTTACAGTACATAGTTGGTATATACCAACCAATTAGAAATGATAAAGAATACGATCGGTACGTACCGCTAGCAGGAACCATTATAGAATCCGAATAGTTTGCAAACCGAAATGTCAATGTCAAATTTTGTATGGAAACTTGAACAACAGCGGCACAAAGTACGTAACAAGAACTAAAAATCAGTACACATTTGACAATGATATTTCGTACTCGCAAACGTTACGATTTCGATTTCGGTTCGTGCTAAGGGTTCACACAAAATGCGATCAAGTGGGCGTGTCAAAATTCAACATCGTTTATTTAGTCTATCATCTTTTATACAATCGATCCGTCCATCGTTTTCTCTTCAGTCTACATTTTCTACATATCATTTTTACAAGCTCGACAGACATCTCGAAACATGGTGGTTTTATGGACCTTCACCTTTTTCTGCACGCATTAAATACTCAACATTAGCGATTTTATAACGTATTTTGTATTTTCAACTTTAAATCCAACATTTAAACCCTTATTAATAAACCAGGAATAAGCTAAGACTTGTTACGCCGTGTTTTGTTTATATCACTAAAATGTCATTGGTCATTCGATGAACAAACAAAAACAATAGATTAACTAATACGAGCTTTATAAATAGATTACCTAATCCAAGCCTATTCTTCGTTTAAAAAGGGGATTGAAGTCGAAAATAGATCAAATAAAAAAACTCCCAATTGAAATAGCCATAATGGCAAAGATTGAAATCGTTAGATAAGCCCTGACACCGATAAACTGTGGCCATATTTTGCAATGACTATGATGATGGCCGTTTTGCCATATTACAATTAAATAGCGAAGTGAAAATTAAATGTGTTATTGAATCGCTAATGTAATTAAATGCGAGTCTCATCTAGATGACATTTTTATTTAATTATTTAACCAATATTGCAAGTAGTGGTTGCGTAAAAACTTACGAGAGAAATGTTACACCATTGGCTTTACTGGTATTTCTAGTATTGTAAGTGCATTTTCGGAAGGCATTTGGAGACACTTTTCTCTCGAAATAAATCACTGCAGTATTTTCATTAAAAACGTCCAACTGTCACTGTTTTCAGATGAATACTGATTACAGTTATGTGAGCTCAATTCAAGAGTGTAGACAGATTTCGGTGCGGTCAAAAACTTTGGTAAGGGCATATCTAACGATTCAAATATTTGTATCAGTGGTGACATTAATAGGCTGATGATGATGAAATCTTCACATAATGTCAGTAAAAACCGGTCGTCTCACCTGGAAGGCTCAGACCCCTCAGCAAGCGCGGCTTCTTCGGCCAATTGCTTAGCTCTCGCGAGGTCTCCAAGTGCAAGCGCTAGCTCAAACTGGTGCTCTGGCTCTGTTGATACTGCCAGAGCCTGTTGCTTGAAGCCCTACACCACAACAAGAGACATATGTACATTTAACAATATACCTGCTAAGGGAATATCGTTACGCATATTCGAAAGGGTTTTCTGAAGTGAGGGCGCCAGGTGGCAGCACTGAGGCGAAAGGTCAAATCCTGCGTCGAATTGCTTATGTCTAGTCTATGGATCAATATAATGCCCGTTCGATTAATTTTCACCAAAATTTTCATACAAAGGACCTCGCGTCACAGTGACGCCAATTAGTTAAGTTAAGGAATTTTCCTAATCACCGTCATAACTAGAGTAGCATTTGTGGAAGTTATTACTCGGTTATTAGATTTTACAGTTGATAAGTTACTTAATCCTTTTGACAAATTAATATAACACATACATACGTGACATGAAGAAACACAGATAAATTAAATAGGTATGAAACACACAGAGATATAAAAAGTCAAAGTCAAAGTGTATTTGATTCAGAGCAAGATAGGGAAACCTCAGAGCAAGATAGGGAAACCTAGAAAAGAAAAGGTTTCACAAAAAAAATACAACATCACGATTTGTTTTATTTATCAATTTATCATTGTAATACTAGTAGCCGGCCGCGGCTTCGTCCGCGTTCACTTTAATTTTTAGAAAACTCCTCCGCAACCTAAAGCTATTCCAGGATAAAAGCTATCCAATATATCTCAAAGCAGGTCATAAACTAGATACGTACCAAATTTCATCCGAATCCGTTCAATAGTATTCGCGTGACTGAGCTGACAAACATACAAAACTACAAACATTCACATTTATCATATCAATAGGATAATGACCGTAGCTGGGTACCTGTTTCTCTAGGAAGTACGCGACTCTGGTGCGATGATCGTGAGGCACAGTAGGCAGTACTCTGTCTGCCGTCTCGAAGTCACCGCGCATCACTGCTGTTTGGTACTCCAGTACGGACAGCAGCACCGAGTACGATACTATGTTCAACTCCTTGTCATTCAGGTACAACCTGCGAGCAAACACCACTCCAGTCGCTACGCAAAATTCAATCTCGTTTAGCCAGGCTAGGCTGGTACAAACACTTGTGAATGTTGAAAAGCTACGCCATCGGTTCGCAAATCTACGGCGGGAGACCTTGTACTGAGTACTATTATTATCATAATCTAACACGTTTTTACTCCTGCAACGGTCTGCATATATGGACTTAGTATGGGATTGATAGCGGCAAAAACCTACTGAAATCATTACACATGGAAATCTTAATTCAAGAATAGCCTTATAATAATGGTAAGCTTATAATCTGGCGAACAAAACAATATATTAACATACAATTAAAATTTACAGGAGCTGTACAATACAATACAAAACACTTTATTGTACACCACAGATAACATTAAATTTAGTACATAACCAATTAAAACTAGTGTAATAATGGGGGTCTTTATCGCTTTGAGGGATCTCATCCAGACAACCTTTGGATGGAGACGACAAGAAGAAAGTGGGAGAGACGGCGGCGTATATCATTTGAGTGATATAGGTGATAATATATACAATTATATACATACATAAATATAAATATATATATTAAATAAATACATACATACACATAAATAAACAAATATAGTTCAGTTGGTAGTAGTCACAAATAAGATTAACATCAAAAGTTATAAGGACAAATAATGAGACTTTACGAGGTTTTTAAAAGCGTGGATAGATTCTGCACGTCGTATGGTGACTGGAAGAGAATTCCACATTTGCACTGCAATCGAACGGTTATAAAATGTTGTAGCGTGTACAGGAGTCATGAGAGTAAGATTTTCTGATGACCTAAGGGATAACGTGTTAGACGTTTGAAGGAAATTAAAACATTCCTGGAGATAGCGCGCGTAAAGGAGAGCAATAATATGTGCAGAGGCGAAGACGAATAGGTAGCCACTAGCTGTATTAAACTGAATGACATGTTACCAGTGAGCTTCTGGCGTAGTTTTTAGTTTATAAATTTAGTAATTTTAACACTGTTTAGGCTAGGTTTGTTAGGTTTAATTGAAAATTAACACTTGTTAGGTTTTATTGAAAATTATTTGAGATTCAAATTCAACGGACCGGAAACCTTTAGACTGTAAAAAAAATTAGTTTAGACCAGATGCGTAATTACGTTTTGTTCGCCAGCTCCTCAATCGGTAAAGTGCTGCTGCACAAAGGCAAAAATCTAGAAGATTCACAAAACGGGAAACAAGAAAATGGTTGGAGTTCTCACGTTCTAATGGCGCAATTGCACTTGGTCGCTAGCCCGTATAATTCGGGTTAATTAATTTCGGCCAATGGAATTCGGGTAAACGACTAACTGTAAATAAACGGAGTCGAGTACGCTCCGGGTAGATTTCCTTTTGTTTACCCAACACCGTCTTCGAGCCCGTATGCCAGTGTAAATATTGCCACGGGTGCCCGAATCCGAGTAATGTCTTTCGCGCACCCGAAGACTGTGGCTAACGACCAAATGTATTTGCGCCATAAACCAATACATCTATCGAGCGGATCGCCCATCTCACGTACCTGTTTTCTTTCGCGACGTATCCCAGTATGTACATGGTGCGGTCCAGATGCGAGATTGTGACAATCTCCCCACCCACGTAGTAAGTGATGCGGTTCAAAGAGTTGGTGTAAATGAAGCAGTCGCCCACCCACACGCCGGTCTTAACGGTCTCATTCACCTCGCCTACCACCTGAGAGACGATAATGTTGAGACCAATTAAACTACCATTGATCACCCATCTGATGACAGGCCTTTGAGTATGCTGCTTTACTTTCGTAATAGGGTATTTGACAAGTTTTAGAAAACGATCTCACTTTATTTACTAATGTTTATGGAGTCCATATAAAGTGGATATTTTTAACTATGTTTGTGATTCAGTAAAAAAACTAAATTAAACATTCCATTTGACAATCATGACGGAATACGCCAATGACGAGAGTTCCTTAGGAGCTTGATGGCGCGGGTGGTTAGCGCGTTCGGCTGCGATCGTTGAAGTTAAGCACCTTTCGCAGTGGTCGGTCATTGGATGGCTGTCCAAAAATCTTCTATCTCGGGTTCCGCCGTGCTTCGAAAGGCACGTTAAGACGTTGGTCCCGGCCGCATATGCAGTCGTTAGCACCCGCCAATCCGCACTGGGCCCGAGTGGTGGTTCATGGCCCAATCTCCTTATTTCATCCATAGGGAAGGCCTGTGCCTCAGCAGTGGGGACATTATTAGGTTGGCAATGATGATGATATACCACCAGATTCTTCTTTAGATTATAGAAAGGAGGGAAGGGAACACATGCGCGGGCAAAGAATTACACTTACAAATTGTACGACTTATAATAATAATAATAATAAACATTTATTTCAGACTTTAAATCCATATAAAAGTGTTAGTAACAGACGAAATCTTATTCTAGTGTTAGTAAATGAAAAAAGTACAATCGAACACAAATAACAATATAATACATTCGGATTCCGATGGGACTCGTCTGTTATTTATAAATAATTATAATGATAGACTGGCGAATGTAGCTTAAGCCAGTGTCGCAATAGTGGGGAGTCCCATCGGTCAGCCACAGCGAGGCGCAGCGCTTTCTAATGATCGTGTAAAAGCAATCAATACGCGCCTCGGCAAACATAGACGACGCACTGCAATAACGCGGCAGACCGAACAACATCCTGAACGTGTTATTATATTGACTTAGAAATGAGTCACCAAATTTCTTTGTTTGTGTAGGAATAGTGGCCACAGTAAGTCGGTGGCAACGTAGGCCAGCGCGAGTGGTCCTCTGAAGAAAAGGTGATGGAGAGATAAGGGACAATAACTCCTCAGAACACTCGCCGTGGTATAGTCGGTAGAATGCGCTTAATTATTTGTTTCTTAGGTTTTCACGCACATCACTCATTAAATAAAACTAGTTTTTACGGGTTAATGCACGAAACTTTATTTATTTATTGACGTTTCGCAGCCTTTTCGGGTCTGCATCGTCAGAATAATGATTTTTTATTTAAAATTGTCGAGCTACCTTCGAAAGACTTATATTGAGCGTTCGGTTATTTCATTGGAAGATTTTTAAAATTTTATTGTCTGCGTATGAATTTATTATTTAATTTACTTAATAAAGTATTTTATTTAAAATTCTTGTTTGTAATTTTGAGTTTATTTATTTGACCCTAACTACCGTGAACTACCACCGGTTCCAAAATTGGGAGACCTTCCTGAGAAAAACCAGCGAAACAAACTCAAGAGAGGCTTTCTATCTCCTTCTTATGTTAAATATAAGTCTTTCGAAGGTAGCTCGACAATTTTAAATAAAAAATCATTATTCTGACGATGCAGACCCGAAAAGGCTGCGAAACGTCAATAAATAAATAAAGCTTCGTGCATTAACCCGTAAAAACTAGTTTTATTTGCGCTTAATTATGTTGATAAATTCGCGCACTAACCTCGAAGGCATCCTCAATTCCGTCCTCCGTGGTGTTTGTATTGGTCTCCCTGGCGCGGGTCACAACGGCCGGGTTATATTTCAGCACGTAGTAAGCATCGTCGGCCGCCAAACAAACTAGGTTGCCACTCTCCGACCAATATACGTGGCGAGGTTGGATCTCGATCCTGAGGGTGGTTAAAGAAACTTCATTTCGCATATAAAAACTATTTTCATCCCACCACCTCGGAAAGTGTAATTTTGCGCTTCGAAATCTGGCTGGAAAATTCTATTTTATTCGCTTGAGCGGCAAAGTAGATTTGAATTTAGAACATCACATATAATGAGTACTCAATATAATTGTAAATTCAAAACGTCATTAAACCTATTTAATGTAACCTCTATGGTGCCAAATTTATGATTAGAACTTTTTAAATTGTGAAAAAATTTAAATTTGGAACCTTCTTGGTTTCTTTGTTTTATTTGCGTGCTTCGCGCCATTCTAGTTTTTCACGTTTTATTGCTTAAATATTTTGTCATTATAAATTGTTTTCTTTTTCATTTTGTCATTTCCTCGCTGAGGTGGGATGAAAAGTTACGTATTGCACTCGAGTGGAAAGATTTTTCACCTTGTGCTCGTTTGTTTCCCTCGCTGACGCTCAGGATTCTAATTTAGAATCACTCGCTGCGCTCGTGATTCAACTTTAGAATCCTTCGCTTGCTCGGTCATCCAAATCGAGCACGCGGTTAAAAAGGAACTTTCCACTCTTGTATAATAAATAACTATTACAGTCGCTTGCATGAGAAAACATTAGTTAGGCAACAGTTATTTTCAACACATTTGCTCAAAAAATGCATTTACTGAAGTTGTATAGATTGTTAGAAGTTTCAAAATTACGGGCCATACAACGGATAGCGTGCGGGTAAATTCCATTACGCACGCTCCCATACATGGTACCGTGCGTATTCTTTACGGTTTTTTTTTTATTTCAATCGAACCTCTTCGGAAGCGCTTTTAGTCTATACCTATGTCTCACTTCAAAACTAAAAAGAAAAAAAAAACGATGTATATAGTTCTAGTTTTCACCACGGACTTTTTGGCGGAATCGGGAAGCGTCAGTTTCGCAGTTTGGTTTTTCATGTTAAAAATTGTGTTGTGGCGGATGTTAGTGTCTAATAATGGTGGATTATTAACCACTAAGTGTTCGGGAATGTGAGTTGGCAAGTGAAACAAAATAGCGGAAAGTGTCTTTCGACGTTCCCTCAAGAAGTCCACGGGGAGATTCCAGTAAATCTTCACACTTTTACTGAAACAGAGGGAAAGGGGGATGGAGATGACTGCCACTTACTTTGACTTGATTTATTACTTTGACCACGTGTGCTATAGTATTTGTAAACATTTTAACACTTGACATTGGCTAAATGCACAAGCCTTGCGAAGCCATTTAGAAAAAAAAAAAAGTTTACACCACCCGCACGTGGCGCCATTAGGAAATGCGCGCCATTTTATTAATGTAAAAAAATACCTTCATTTCTTAAAATATGTATGTTTTTTGGCAAATGTGTTGAAAAATATTGTATAACATTAGTGCGGTATGGTATTACAAACTGGTGACTATGCTAAGGTGTATCATAAATAACTATTGTGATATAAGTGCGGTAAGTTGGTTATTACAAACGAGTAGAAGAATGTGAGCCCCAGACGAAGTCGAGGGCTCACCATAGTTACGAGTTTGTAAATACCAACTCCCAGTGCCGTCTTTGACCTATTGGAGGCCCTGGGCATATTAGGATAATGGGGCCCCTATGACCTTTGGTGATCTAACAAGAACAAGGGACACTGTATTTGTGATCTGAGCTATCACGATCACTGGGCCCTGGGCACTTGCCCAAAGTGCCCACTGGGAAAGACGGGACTGCCAACTCCGCACGAATGCCATACAACATTTTTCAACACATTTGCGAGCAAACAGTATAATTTTAATAATCAAGCAAACTTTTTCTAAAAATGGCGCGCATTTCCAAGTGGCGCCACGTGCGGGTGGTCTTTTTTTCTTTTCTGTATTAAAGTGAGACAAACTTATAGATCAAAAGCAGTTTAGCGCGTAAATTTCAAATTTGAAATGCATTTTTTGAGTAAATGTGTTGAAGAAGTGTTTGTGTAGTCCACTCGTTAGGCGGCAGACGTAGTAAATAGTAGGTAGTTATTAGTTTATTCCAAATCATCAGGTATAATATTGTCACAAACGCTCTCGAAACAGAACCGCGAATGTGCCAGAGCACCGCGGGTCGCGATAGAGGTCGAGTAATGCGGCTCATTCTAAAATGAGCCTTATGCAGTGCGGCGTAAGGGAGAAAGTGCATCGACATCTGCACTTGTTTACAAGTTATGCGCGTTACCTGCGTAGGTATAAGTAGGTACTTTGTACTCGCGGGTGCTAGCTAATTCTCAATTTAACAGGTACTTTCTAGAATGCGTCGATCAGCGTATATAAGCGCGATTGGCGCCGCGCAGAGACAGTTGAGTTTCAACAGCGATTTCGGAGCAAATCCAAAGGCGATCAAAGTGCAACAAAAGTGTTCAAGTGAGATTGTTTAGAGACTTGTATAGTGAAATACAGTGTTTAGCGAGTGTTTTTTAATTAACATTGTGTGTTAATTGTGTGAACTGTGTGGTGAATGAGGACTTTCAAGCGTGAACTGGCATATAATTTCGAACCCCATCCCGACACGTAACAATATATTATATTCATCGTATTCGAGCTAACGACCAAGTGTAATTGAGCGATTTTACCACTAGTATAGAACCAGTATTGACCTGTTATTGGTACAGACAAATTAACATTTTAGGTGGGACCTATTTTTGGTTACCCACCCTGGTATTAGCGTTTAATTAATCTCCGCCAGTTCTGGATTTGAATACAATGATGATAAATAATCGTAAAAGACAACATGTCATTTCCAATTTGATATCATTCTGCAAACTGTCGATATTACTACTAATTTGGACGCTAAAAATTATAGGTTCAGAATGCGGACATGTGTTTAAATCACATAAATTATGATGGTCAAAAGTTTACACTATCACTATATGTGATCATCGTCATATTACCCCCTTTCCCATTATATATAGTGGACTGAATAGGTAATTTTAACTTCATAATACAAAATTAACTCAAAATATGTTATATTTTTGACATTGCATCATCATCAGCCTATTATCGTACTCTACCCTTAGCACGAATCAATATCGAATTCGAATAGTTTGCGAGTGCGAAATATCATTGTCAAATTTTGTATGGAAACTTGAACAGCAGCGTCATACGCCGTACGGACGTTACGGGAACAAAAAATCAGTACACATTTGACAATGACAATTCGTACTCGCAGAGGTTACGAGTTCGATATTGGTTCGTGCTAAGGGTACTACTGTTTGCTGCGATAGAAATACCTTAAAAATTAGCGCAAGGGACATATTAATATTAAATACCAAATATTTATATAACGCAGCTCAGCATTGTCACAGCATGAAAAAATCTTTCGCTTTGCACCAAGTATTATAAGAACACAGAGGCAACATCTAATACTCACATACATAGTTTAATGTCACATTTCTATTGCTGGGCTGTCACGATTTCAAAGCATGAGACAATATAGAGTATTTGACAAGTTTTAGAAAACGACCTCACGTTATTTACTAATGTTTATGAATTATAGCTGTTACCGGAATTGTTACTTCGTGATCATGGCGCTTGCAACAGTGCCGAAATATCGGTGACTCATAAAAAACAAGGTACATGGTAACAATCCCGTTAGAGTCTGTGCGGAAAGAGAATGGGATTTAGATTGGAAGGCGCTGTAGTGCTTTTCTACCGTATTTGTAAGGTTTTACCCCTTTTAGACATAATTAAATACAAAAAATCGCAAGAAATCACAACAACAAACAAATCCGTATCAATACAAAACTTTTATTGTTTTACAGATTGCTGGGTTTGATTGCCAAATAAAAATCTTAACGTTCCGTTTTGCGCCACGCTCATTCTATTTCCGCACAGACTCTAATAGCTACAATGTTAGTTACCATGAAAGTTTAAAACAATATAATGTTTATAGAGTCCATAAATAGTAATATTGGTACATTATTTTTTAATACAGTTAAATAGTCTAATTTCTATGCAATGAAACCGATTGGGAATTGTTTACATCTATCAAATTCGCCTTGCAATGCCTTGTTTAAGATGTAACTGATATCATTCGCAAATGCAATCAATAAAGTAACTTACATGTTTTTATAGCTCTCTATAGACAATTTTATTTTTAATAAACATATTTTTTAAATATTAAATATTCACTTATTTATTATACAAGACTTACGTGGCATTGGCAGAATTTGTAGCAGTCGCAATATTGCCAAAGAAAAAGGATATTTTAAAAAATTCACCTTTTGCGCATTAGCGCAAGTTAACAATTTCGCAATTGACCTAATTAAATTACAATATATTTAGGTTCCAACAGATTGGATAATATGTTTGCATAAAGGCATATCTATACCAATATTAGTAATTCAAAAGTCTGTCTGTCAGTATGTTACGTTTTCACACTGTAACAAATTGATAAAATTTAGATAATCATAAAAGGCATCTCATAAAAGGAAATAGACAAATATTTTGTCACAAAAATGAAACTTTAAGGGGATGAAATAAAGATTATTATGTACAGATGCATACGCTGGCACCCACGCAAGTAAAACATACGTCTTATCTAATATGTAGATGCGTTGGGCCTTATTCCGGCATCATTATCTAAGCTTACAAATAACTTTGACAGTTTTATGTCGTTATCATGCTCTGTAAAAAATATAAAGAAAAAAGCTGCTATCAAAATGTTTAGATAATAATGCTAGAGTTAAGTAGGGCTATTACCAATCATCCTCTTTTAAATATTTTTTTTTTCAACACACCAATTAGCCTAGCCCCAAAGTAAGTACTGTAAGGCTTGTGTTATGAGATACTAGGGTAACGGATAGAATACATATAATGTATAGATATTATATAGAAGTACATACATATTTATAAAGAAATACATATTAAACATCCATGTCTGGAGTACAAATGCTCGTATTCTTCACACGAACATCTGCCCCCACCGGGATTCGAACCCGGGACCTCTCGAGTCGGCAACACTATGAAACTCGGCGTATAAACCACTCGGCCTCAGAGGTCGTCACTATACATATATATATATAATACAAGTACAAAAGTAATATTCGCCAGTAGCCATATGAAACATAAATACAGACAAAGATACATAATAAATATAAAAAAAATCTATGCTATAGGACAGGCGAAGAAACATCATTATCATTATAAATATAATACACGCATATTCCTTTTCGCAATAGCTAGCATTGCTATAGATACAATTTAAGAAATGATAGAGCTAGGAACAAACTTGTTGAGCAAAACCACAGACAAATATACTTGCGCAGTAGATGGGTTTGTATGTAAAATTGCTACTGCGCAGGCTTCCTTGTCTATGGTCGTCTCTGTCGTTGGTCAAGAAGTTTGCCGGGTTGTATACCTACAGCCTACAGTGGTCGCCTTTGATGTAGACACAAGTGCCGAACCATCTCTACTTGTGTCTATAAATAAGCATAATTAAACAATTTACTCGAGGAGCTCAATGGCGTTAGTGGTTAGCGCGTTCGGCTGCGATCGTTGAAGTTAAACAACTTTCGCAGTGGTTGGTCATTGGATTGGTGACCAAAAATTTTCTATTTCGAGTTCCTCCGTGCTTCGGAAGGCACGTTAAGCCGTTGGTCCCGGCTGCATCTGCAGTCGTTAGCACCACGCGGTCGTGGTGGGTCATCTCCCAATCTCCCTATTCTATCCATAGGGATGGCCTGTGCCCCAGCAGTGAGGACATTAATAGGCTGATGATGATGATGAAACAATTTTCGAACCTCGTGCCTCGTACTTTGGCTCTATGCATTCTGTCTGTGATCATGAATATTAAGCAACTGCAATGCCTGGTCACAGAATGGGTGATCAAAAAATATCGCGATCCATGGGGACATTAACAGGCTGATGATGATGTATAATATCCTTACTCTATGACGCAGGTCTGATTAAAAAAAACAAAAATATATTTATTCATCCAGACAAAATTTTTACTTAGCTGAAAATTATACGGTGGTTTCGCGCACTGACGCTCGTAACACAAATACCTAATATTGCAGTTTAACTAAATGGTTGGTAAATTTCCAACACGTTGACAAAACACGGGAATTGAATTCTCAACCAATCAAATAAACAATCTAGAGATTAATACTGATTCTTTTCTGAACAATTTCTGTTATCACTCTAATATTATAAAGGCGAAAGTTTGTGAGCGTGTATGTCTGTTACTTCTTACGTCTAAACGGCTGGAGCGATTTTAAAAAAATCTGGTATGGAGTTAGCTGACACCCTGGATTAACACATAGGCTACGTTTTACTGCGGGAAAATATACCTGATAAACCGCGGGTAACATCGCGGGGCACAGCTAATTATACAATATGTAGTAGTACAATTTTAGTGATAAAAATAAATGCGGTTTTATCCGTTTCTTACCTTTTGTCGTACCCCTTATGAGAAAACGATACTCAGAAATAGCAAAGGCCTTCTTGCCATAGCAGCCATTTGCCATAAAGCGGACCATGCGAATTTCCGCCATTCTATTTACATAAATAAACGAAACTGACCTTCTGATTAATTCCAGATTTTCCCAGTCGTAGAAAGAGAACGCCATACCGCTAATAGATTTCACGCCCAACATGAACCCGCCGAATATACCTAGCAAAAAATAACAATAAGTTCAGTTGAATAACTCACTTTTAATTAGTTAGAAATTATACCTATAGAAGCTCCTAACAATTATATCAGTAAGAGCATTATATTCAACCGTTTCATGACTCAGAACTTAGAACAAAATATTAGTGTTAATAACTTTATTAACTTCTATAAATTTTTACCCAAAAGTTTTGACTCATGTAGCAAAGTCTAGCAAGAGTTTCTTTGACAACTTTTTGTAAACTGCCCTTTGCTTGTCACCATCTCTCTATCATTAAGAATTTAGCCGCCGAAAGACAACTACAATATGTACTCACCCTCAGCACCGTATTCTGGCTTGAAACTCTTCCTCTCCTTGAAGTTCTTGAACACTTTGATTGTACTGGAATTCTCCAAGGTGGCATATTCGGAACTGTCTAATGCCCAAACGAACTCTTGGGCTGTGCCGAAAGCCTTGTTTCTGAGAGCCATCGCCGTATAAATTATATATTCACCGTCACCGCAAACCACAACGAAGCGACCGTTGGCATTGTGAGCTATCGTTTGTGGGTAAATCTCACAGGAACCCATGTATTTTGCGACAACTGGCACCCTTTCGCCATCCTTGATCTCTGTACCTGATAGGAAAGAGTACATTCCACCTGAGTAAATTCAGACGTTCTAAATCATTCAGTAACTAATTCAGTCAAGCATTAAGACAGTTAGGATCCTAATTAGCATCCTAAAAAGGAAGAAGTGTGGCTTCTTACTGACTTAATCATTTAGTATCCCAATTAGAAAGCGATTTAGGAACGTGATAGGGTTTAGATGCTTCAGTCGCACCGCAGGCATCACTGCGTGACGACGTTTATTTGTCTACGCTTACGAATTACGTTTTTTACTTTATTTTATTTTTATCGAGCCAACGGCCAGGCCTACGAAAAGACCGATTTAGTGTTGCTTTGACAGGACTGGAGCCATTATGAAAAAGTCCGACTGAATTCGCCGCGCGCTTGCAACTTACTGAATCAGTAACTAAATTAGTCAAGTGTAATCAGAAGCTTTTAATTAGCTTTCTTTTTAGGTTCCTAACTAGGACGTCTGAATTTAGTCAGGTGGACGTATTCCACCTTACTAAATTCAGACGCTTAAGCAACTAGGATCAAACATGTAGCATATTTATGATAAATTTCAAGCGAAAATAGCCGTCTTTTTTAGAAGCAGTAAAGGTCAATATTGCGTTTACCATCCGGTAGCATCTTCAGGTTGACTTGCTGCATCTCAGAATGCTTGGCCCATATGATCTTGCCACCGTTCACGTCCATCGATATTGCTGGCTCATCCCTGCCTACCTTTATCATTATGGTGCCTTCGTCATAGCTGTGAAAGATATTTTTTTTTAAGTTTTTGTACAATCTTTATTTTATCACTATGGTATTTGTCAATATAATAAGGAGCTCGATGGCGCGATTAGTAAGCGCGTTCGGTTGCGATCGTTAAAGTTAAGCAACTTTCGCAGTGGTCAGTCATAGGATGGGTGACTAAAAATTTACTATCTCGAGTTCCTCCGTGCTTCAGAAGGCACGTAAAGCCGTTAGTAGCGGCTGCATCTGCAGTCGTTAGCACCCAACAATCCGCACCGGGCCCGTGTGGTGGGTCATGGCCCAATCTCCCTATTCCATCCATAGGGAAGGCCTGTGCCACAGCAGTGAGGATATTAATAGGGTGATGTTTTGACAATAGGGGTGACGACGGAGCAAACGAAATTATATTTAATCCGTTAGTTAGATTATCAAAAAATAATGGACAGGTACTTATTTCTTTGCTCAATCAACCAAAAAATTATAAAGATAAAGCGCGTCAAAATTTGGGAGTGGGGGGCTAATGATGTCACTTTTAAGCAAAAATACATGACGTGTTGCGACATTGCAAATCTATATGTCTCTGTCATGTTTTCATTGTGTGAATAAAAAAAAAGAGTCCAATGCTTTTTGATAATCTACCTGAAAGACGCAGAAAAAATAGTTAGTCGTCATCCCTATTGATGATAAAGGGGCAACATAATCAATATTTATTTAGGTTTAGTACAAAGCTCACAATCATTCTAAAACTTATAATTCTGTCGACAATTTTGGTGACCAATTAAAGCGTTCTACAATTCAAAATTCCACTTGATCAGTGTATTAACATTTTGAAAATTACTATTAGTCCGAATCCCGGTGGGGGCAAATGTTTGTGTGATGAATACGATGATACCAGTCATGGATGATAAATATATATTTTTTTCTATGTTAATATACTTATACTAGCAAACCTGTGAACCAAATGTTCACAAAAAAAAAAAGAAAAAAAAAAGTATTTAATTAATTGAGAACTTCGGAGATTTTGTGTGAATTCGTTTGAAATAGAAATCACGTGATTTCTCGAAAACCGGAAGTGCTACGTTACTCACATTCGGTTTGTAGTCTTATCAGACTATTCTCAACTTATAACTTAAACATTCTCTATATCTATCTCTTACGGTTTGGCCGCTGAAACAGCACCACGGACGGACGGACGGACTTGTCTAATAGATAAGAGATATGTACAGTATATGTATTCTATCCATTACCCTAGTATCCCATAACACATGCCTTAAGCGCTTACTTTGGGGAAATGAAATGAAAAGTCATTTATTCAGTCTAGGCTGTTACAAGCACTTGTGAAGGTCAAGAAGCTACGCCATCGGTTCGCATAACGACGGCGGGAGACCTTGTACTGAGAAGAACCGGCAAGAAAGGGGTTAGGCTAATTATTGTTAGTGTAAAATTATTTAATTTATTTATTTCTATAACTTACCCTATGGCTACATTATTGGATCCATGCATCGAGGATATAGTCCAGACCCGTTCGAAGCCATAATTCAGGGAGGACTCGAGGCGGTAGGTTCCCGCATGCCAGATGCGTATCGTGCCGTCCTCGGAGCCCGTCAACAAGATCGGCAACTCCGGGTGGAACGATACCGCCGATACATTCTGGGCGTGACCTTGGGGAACCATTACGTTATGACTGAATTATGGCTCAATTACTATATTATATACTAGTGGCCGCCCGCGACTTCGTACGCGTGGAGTTAGTTAGAAATAAAGGTTCACTGCTCGTTCCCCGTAGGTGATAGAGTGATAATATGCAGCCTATATATTGACCCGACTTCTTAGTAATATTCGTGCCAAATTTGAAGTAAATCCATGAAGTTCTTTTTGAGTTTATCCCGGACATACAAACAGGCAAAAAATCTTAAAACTATATTTTTGGCTTCGGTATCGATTGTAGATAACACCCCAGGTATTCTTTTAAAAAAATATTCAATGTACAGTTTTGACTTTCCTACCATTTTATTATATGTATAGATTATGGCTCAATTATTTACTTGGTCGGCAGCCCGAATTCGGGCACCCGAAGCAATATTCACACTGGAATACGGGCTAGGGACCAAGTGCAATCGCGCCATTAGATAGGTCAAGTCTTAATGCTTCTAGTTACTGGTGAATGTAACAGATAAAGATGGTTTGCTAAGTTATTTAATGGTTGTGTTTGTAGCAATTTTACAATAGCTAATGTGTTCTGATTGGTTAAAAAGAAACAGTGATTAAAATATGATTTACTAATTGATCATAAATTACAGGATAAGATTTAAACTCAATAATTAATTAAGACTTTAGATATAAAGACTAAAATAAAATTTAAAAAATTTACAAAATCAAATTTAAGGAAAACAAATCATATTTAAGGAAAAATTTAGTAAGGTACTCGAGGAGGCCTATGTCTAGAAATGGACAATGAATGGCTGAAAATGATAATGGTTATTTCAGGAAAACTATAATATAATTCGTTTGTTTCATCAACTTTAAATTAGTATGTATGTACTGTCCAAGTTGTGTCGTTGTAAAACATAATGATTTGTTAATGTTGTTACATTAAACTTTTAATGTTATGGAGTTTTTTTCGTTCGTTTATCTCCGCAGCTAAAAAATATGTCCATAACGAGTGGTAGGGAAAAAAATGTTGGACGATTCAAAAGAGTTGTACTATACATCCAATTTCAATAAAGATATATTGATTTCTGATTTTGAACAAAAATATGAAAAATTGTTCAACAAGATTGTGAGATGATTACCTTCTAATGTCTGTACGCATGTCTTGTTCTGGTAATCCCAGATCTTCACAAGGCGGTCATCGGCACCACTGATGAGGTAAGGCTTGTCACCGCCGTGGTAGTAGTCCACGCAGTTGACGCCCTTCTCGTGGCCTTCAAGTGTGAAGTTGGAGATGGATGAGCCGAGTTGCCAAACCTGTGCATCAATTAAAAAGCACAAATGCAAATTAAATATTTATTCAGTTTAGGCTTTTAAAAGGGCATGTGAAAGTCGAAAGTTACGCCATTGATTCGCAAATCAGGCAAAAGACCTGGTACAAGTTAATATTGCTGCTGCTTAGCATTAGAATTCTTTGGATGCAGTTGAGACACATTTGTGTACAAGCCTATTGTTAGTTTTGTAATACATTTAAAATGTTGATTTCATAGTTTAGTACACTATTTGCTAATGGTTAATAAATGTCAAGGACTAAGCAGTGACTTGTTCTGATAGCCTTAATTTTAATGTAAAGGGTATTACTATTGTACTGTCTCCTGTTTGATAAAAGATTTTTAACACTATATAGTTTGGAATGTTGATTTATTCTGTGTTAGAGTTGCAATATAAGTGGTTTTATTAGTCTCAATGTTTTTAAAGAAATGGATTTGAAAAAATGGTAATGACAGTCACGGTGAAAGGCAGATTAAATTAACATTAACCTTAACGGTGGTGTCAAGACTGGCGCTCGCGAATGTGTTATTGTCTTTAGGGTTGATGACGATCTGCATCACGTAGTGAGTGTGGCCCTCGAACACTTGCTGGCATGCCCAGTTTCGATCCCAATTCCACAATTTTATCAACAAATCATCTGGAATAGAAGCATCAGTAAAGATTTGGTACAACTAAAACAAATTAGTAATGTTTATGTTTTTTTAAATTAGGAATAGGTCGCGGAGAACTTCTTGAGGAAAACCACAGACATTTAAACTTGCGCAGTAGACGTTTTTGTATTTACATACAAAAATTGCTACTGCGCACGCTTCCTTGTCTATGGTTGTTGCTGAAGAAGTTTGCCGCGATGTATATCTTGCAAATTCAGCCCCTTCAGTTTTATTTTTACGATAAGAAGTAGCCTAAGTCCTTCTGGAAGGCTGATTCAGTATTCATAGCATAATTCATCAAAATCGATTTAGAGACTTAAGAGTGAAATATTAACAAACAATCATTTATAATATTAGTACAGACATACTCACCGCTGCTTGTGAGAATGTATGGTTGTGTGGGATGTATAGCTATGCATCTGACGTAATCTGAATGTGCTTCGAACGAGTGTACTCGCTCCAGTGTGTTGTAGTTGAACACGCGAATCTGCATGTCGTCCGATCCAGTGATAACCCAGTTCTTTCTGGGCACGAACTTTGCTGCTCTCACGGGTATGTCGCATACCTGTTGTGACATTTCGACTATATTGTTTAAAGAACATAACATTTAATTTTTATGCTTGGCTACTACTCAACGGATAGAATAATGCAAGACAAGTAGCAGTAAAACATTAAACGAATTGCAAGCCTTAATTGGGAGTGGGCAGGGCACATTGCAAGGAGAACTGACGGCTGTTGGAGCAGAAAGGTCCTCGAGTCGCGGCCGCGAGACTCAGCGTTGGTAAACTCCCCCCACAAGGTGGACCGACTATCTGGTGAAGGTCGCGGAAAGCCGCTAGATGCGGACAGCGCCAAACCGATTGATTTGGAGTTCCTTGGGGGAGGCCTATGTCCAGTAGTGGGCGTCTCTCGGCTAATATGATGATGATTCTTGACAAGTAGTAAAGTCTTTGAATAGGCAGATTAGTTATGAAAACTAGTGTAATATAAACAGTATTAGAGTTCAGTAGTGCTAAGTACGACCTCAATCAGGTGTAATTAAAGGACTTTATTTCTGTAATTAAGGGGGACTTTTGGACCAAACTGTGCATACTACCCGAACAATATGTCATCAAGTAAAATGTGTGTAACACTTTCCTGATTTTTTGCTACCCTACAATGGATACTATACAAAAAATAAAATGAAGGACTATATTTCCTTATGTAGATAAACACTCAAGAGAAGGTATTGCAGCCACATCATATCCAGACCTACAATGGCCATGTACATATAATGTGCATCACCATTGATGTAGTTTGTTGCATCACCAATGATGTAGGTATGGATGTGACGTCTGCCCAGAAAATCAAAGAAGTTATGCACTCAAACATTCATAATAGAATAAATGTTTTAGATTATAATTTTAGTTTAAATTATAATATCCACTGAAAACCATGAAACTCTCTCATACTCTTAGTATTCATACCCAGAGAGAATTTACCGTTACCATTGTGCCAGACCATGAAACTCTAGTTTATGGTAAACGGCTGGAGTCATATCAATGGGCAGAGAAGGCACGAAGCATGTTGATATGTAGCCACCTCCGTAACTACCAATTATTAATAGCCCAGCAATATGCATTAAAATCCAGGGCAGTTATGGCCCATTCACTGTCTGAGATTTTATCCATAGAAAATTAAAAGGTTGATGAGGGTAATTTAGACTTATAATATTAGTTAATGAACAAACACACATACCTTGCTTGTCTGAAAGTTATACTAATTCAAAAGACAAATAAATAACTACAACTGAAGATATACTTTTGTTTATAAACTACTAGTGGTGTACAGGGCTTCCTCCGTGTGGAATTTTCACCTCTCAATTGACCCCTTTTAAGGTTTTTTTTTTTTTTTAGGATTAAAAGTATCCTTTGGCCTATCCTGGGACTCAAACTATATCTAAACAAAATTTCATCTCAGTTCAGCGGTTTAAGCGTGCAAAGGTAACAGACAGACACACATTGCATTTATAATATTAGTATGGATGGTATGGATTAACATAAAAATATCGTTACAGGTCAAAACTAATCAGAGTTACAAAAAAGAAAGTAATGTCTTGATATATTTAAATGAAATTAGAACATTAACTCATTTGTGTCATCATGTACTTTAGTACACATTATAAGCATGACATACTCTGGTGCAATATCTAAGGTTTACAATGATTAAAAACCTTACAGTGAGCGCTAAAACTTTACAGTGACAAAAGTCATATTTGTTTAAAATACAATAGCTGCAGTTAAATGCATATATTATTATGTGTTTTTTATTTTAATTTGCTTTGGCTATAGCTATAGAAGCATCACTTTCTTTTCCTTTCAGAGTTCTGGCAGTTTTCACTAAATAAATATACCTAACATTAATTGTTTGCTTTCTATCTAAAGTACAAGCAAACATATACTATTAGCCTATTCGTGTTCTAACAAAAAATAAACTGAACACCGTTATTAATTATTATAAAAAAGTCATATTCATAATGAAGAGTCCAATTAAAAAATATATAATGAGATAGAGTACTTTTTTCATAATAATGCTACATTATCCTGTGCCTTACTAACTAGTTATATTCACTTCTATGGATTTGCATAACTTAAGCACAAATTGCACAAAGTAATTGCAATTAGTTCCAGGCTCGGAAGGAAATGCAAAACTTATGAAAAACATTTTATTTGACATGATTGTTGCAAACCACTGCATGATTGCGTCTATGCTATTTGGATTGAAAGGAATAAAATAAAGTTTACACAGTAAGTGGTGGACAGTGTAAATTCTTTACAAAGTGTATGTGTGAAATTGTAGATGAGGTACAGCAAGTACAAGCTCTCGAGTTACACGTACCTCAAATCTTTTGATCTGTGAATGTGTCTCGTAATTCCAAACGTTTACATCGCCGTTGTACAGGGAACACAGGAGCCATGGTTCGGTCGGATGCTGGTCTACGCATTTCACACGATCCGACCTCGCAGTCAACTTCCTCTTGATATCCAGTCTTAACGGCTTTGAAAACATAGTAAAACAATCCATTACCAATATATTATTCAGCACTTTAGGCTTATCTATAACGAGAAATCTTTAAAATTGTATCCTAAAGATGCCGACTAAGAATGATGACAAACCATCGAGAAACGAGTAAACACGTAACCCGCGGTACATAAAAGTATGAAAACAATGTGTGTTTTGCTGAACACTTTAAAGAATTCATAACAATTCTTACCATTTTCAATTAAACAATACCGAAAAGTAAAAAACAGTAAAATCCTAATTCTAGCGAGCCTGACAGGGTGGGTGGACGTGTCACGTACATAGAATGCACAGATTAGTATTATGATAGGTTGTTTTTAAAAACGTCAGAGCAAGTTCGGATACACACAATAATTCTTCGGCTAACACCGGTTTATGATTATTTTGATGTGTTTATTTCTAAAGTTCTAATAACTTCATGGACGTACCATATAAAAAGGACTGAGTAAAGTAAGGCCGCGTTGTTTCACGTCAAATATATAGTAATTTTGGCTAATGGTATTTTTTTCAATAGAATTTAAGGATTAACTTTTATCTATCAATAAAACAAGGCGGCTTAAGTAAATTTAAAAATAATATCTAAAAAAATATACCTTATGAATTTTATTATACAAAAGTAAATCACTTTTTTTTCAGTAGTAAAATCTTACGGCCATGGGTACATCGATGCATGATGGTAACATGGTAAAACCCGGTAATAGCATGTAACAACCCTAATTTAAAAAACTGTATTTTTTTTTATATGTAACTAATATTTGGGAGGCAAATGATGATTTTTACATAAACATTGGTGCCGATTCTAGCGTGATTCTCTAAACTTATAACTAAATTTAACATCAGTCTCTCCTTTTCATTCTGTATAGAGAATGACAAGGATGCACTGTTGTCAAATTTAAGTTTAACTTTAGAGAATCATGCCAGAATCGACATCATTTATGATTATTTTTCATTAATTATAGATTGAAATACAACTTTTTTATTTTGCAGATCGTTATGAAGACTGGCGCAATTGTTGCGCGTTCGGTTGATGATCGTGAAAGTTAAGCACATTTCACAATGGCTTATAGTATGGGTGACCAAAAATGTACTATTACAAACTCCACCGTGCTTCGGCAGGCACGCTTAGAATACGGCTCCCCCAAGGCCGCATATTTACGCCTTTTATTGGTTTCGGCTGTCACCGCAGCTGTGCCGGCTTTGCGAGCGGTCGCACACACGTGGGATGAGGCAACAGTGTCCACGCATGTGGCATCCCACACGAGTGACCACCCGTTTTTCCACGGGATGAGCGTCATACCATCGGGCCGCTTGCCATCGTCCCGGCAGATGCCGTTAGGTTCAAGTACTGCTGGCAGTCTGGCTCCCCGGAAGAGGCAAGGGCGCGACGGATGACGTCATTTAAGGCGGCATGGCGCGGAATGCGTCCTGCACTGCGACGACATGCTAAACCGTAATGACCTAGAGGATCGACGTCTACCCCACAACGACAGCGCTGGGGTTCGTGCCTCCGGGCCCCTAGCCGTAGGCTCACCGCGAAATTAAATGTAGTCCTCTCCAAAAGGGTACCAACGCTAAACGATGGAATGGCATTTAACCAGTATCCTGAGCTCACAACTGGCCAAGAGACGAGACCGCTCCGCTTCGTTTTCTGAAGACTGTAACAGTTGATTTCGGGTCTTCATGCAGAGTGGCTCATCCCACTGCCGCTGCGAAGTCAGGTTCAGGGGTGGGTCCGGACCGATGGCACTGAGCCAGGTATCCTTGGCCTCGGCCAAACAAGCAACCTCTATGCCGCAGTGCGACGGACCTTTTTGATACGCTGGGGAAATGCATTAAATTGCATACCACATGGTGGTTATGTGGGGCTCTCCTCCCCAGAAGGGGTAGGCCTACCCACTAAAACCCCAGCGATGGCCGCAATCAGGCATTGTACGGGGCCTCAGGATCGAGTATCGCATCTGAGGACCCGCAGCCTTTGTTCCCCCAGGGGAGCCCTTCTCGGGAGAGTCTTCGCAACCTCCCCCATTCACCCTCCTACGACGACACCTCCCGGCCATGCGGGGGTGTCGTCCCTCCCAGGTCACTTCCATGAGCACAAGCTCCGTCGTGCTCACCAGCGTCCCGCGGCGGCATATCAGGCCATTATCTGGCCCGACGCCACCTTCTTCCGGCCAGAAGGAGGCCGCCGAGCGGGATCGGGAGAGGCCAATTCTAGCTGTGCGCGCCAATCCCTCTCAGGCCTGTGCATTCCATGCGCGGGTTCTGGGGAGCTCTCCCTGTCTCCCCCCCGGTCGACATGTCGCGGCGCGTTATACATCACCGCGTACATGTTGTCCAGGATTTCGAAAGGGGGGGAGCGCCCCAGAACCGTCGCCGCCTCGTACGAGATTGTGCGGTAGAACCGCACAATCCGTATAGCCATTGTCCGCTGCATGCTCCGGAGAAGAGCTCTGCAACGGGAGGACCTCGTGCAGTCTCGCGACCACACGGGGGCCCCATACAAGGCCACGGACCGTACGACGCCCGCGTACAGGCGGCGAAGGCCGTCCCTCGGTCCGCCGAGGTTGGGCAGCAGGCGGTGTAAGGCACCCGCTACCCTTTTGACTCAGGGGACCAACCGCACGAAATGCTCTTCGAAGCTCCACCTGCTATCCAAGGTGAGACCAAGGTACTTAATATTTGGCCCCACCTGAACCTCTGTGTCACCTACCTGTATCCGGCAGCTGGGTGGTTCCCGTCGCCTTGGAAGGCCGTGGAACCATAGCGCCTCAGTTTTGTGAGGCGCTATTAGTGCGATGGACCTAGTATGCTACCAACGAGGTTAACCGAGCTATAAACTGAGGACAGGAAGGCTGGCAGTGCTACACTTGAAATTTTTCGTATTCCAAGACCACCATGGCGAATCGGCAAGGTTGCTTGGGCCCAGCACCTATCATTCAAAGGACAATTGAATGTGCAATTTGAAGGTACTCTTACTGTCTCATCTAATCCCGAGAGAAGGTCATTGTGGACCCAAAGCGGTGTACGGCGAAGCGTATCGTCTTGGGAACGAAGAGACAGTTTTATAATAAAATAAGCCATGTGAGGATTTAGGCATGTCTTTTAGGCGGCTGGAAGATTGCTGAAATTTTAATATTTGATCCCCTACAATTCTAGCAGACGGAGCGACTGGTCGTCAATATTTTTTTATAATAGGAGCCAAAACATTAGATTTTAGTTCATAACGAGATTGTGCCGGTAGTCTTTCGCTGAAATACAATTCGCATTTAGTAAAATTTAACTGTAAACCAATATGGATGAACGATTTTGTATTTTTTTCCAAATCTGATAAAACAGAAGCAGCGTCTCCACCCAAGGTCCTGTCGTCTAAATACCATAAATTGAATTTGGAAGTCAAATTCTTTATGTGGGTGTGTATTGCCAGACTGAATATTGCCGGTCGGAGAGGGTCGCCCTGCTGACAGCCGAAAGAAGAAATAAATTATGTATCAATGTATATATGTTATGGGCCAAGTGATTATTGCGGGCAGTATTCATAATGCCAGGGCAGTATGAATAATGCCCAGCCATATCGGGCTAAGTGATTAATAACAATCTAAACTCACCTATTTATCACATTGCCCGGCTATTATTAATAATGCCGGACGGCTCGTGGTTCATGTAATAAGTCAGTGTTTGAGATAGCTTGAATTTATCGCTTGGACCGGGCAGTATGAATAAATTCAAAACGTTGGTACTATTGTCAAAATGACAGATGTCTCGCCATTTTGTGTTTGTTTTGAGATCTTGGTAAATAAAAAAATATGGACTCAACACTCAGAAAAAAGGTAAATGTGGCTTTACAACAGTCTTTAATTCAGAACCGACTTGGTCAACCCCAACACGCCGTGGTCTTGGTCTGCCCTAACTCTAGAGTGTTTTTTAGAGCCCGGAGGCGCGGAGGAAGGGCAGAAGTACTGGTTCTTACTTCCCTAGTCCTTGCATCGTAAAAAATAGGGAACCTTAAATTCTGAACATTTAACAGATTTAATGAATTTTTCAAACTACATTGAAACTACAGTTATACGACTATAGTTTCTAAATGTAGCCCTTCGTAAATTGATCGAAGTAAAACCGAAGTCTGATTATTTAAATTTTAAAAATCAATCATTTCATCTCTTATCTATTAGACAAGTCCGTCCGTCCGTCCGTGGTGCTGTTTCAGCGGCCAAACCGTAAGAGATAGATATAGAGAATGTTTAAGTTATAAGTTAAGAATAGTCTGATAAGACTACAAACCGGATGTGAGTAACGTAGCACTTCCGGTTTTCGAGAAATCACGTGATTTCTATTTCAAACGAAACCAAACAAAATCTCCGAAGTTCTCAATTAATTGAATACATTTTTTTTTGGTGAACATTTGGTTTACTGGTTTGTTAGTTACTTATAATGCTCGGTCTATCTAAGTATTCATTTGAAAGTATTAAACATGCTTTACATCACTCTGCCCAATAGGCACTGGGCGTTATTCACAATGCCCGGGAAATGTGATAAATTTATTGGTTATAATCACATTGCCTGCTCCTATTGGGCATTATTCATATTGCCCGGGCTTTATGAATATTGCCAGATTAATCACTTAGCCCATAACATATACGTATTATAAACTATTGTGTCCAATTTTATACAAAATCGTTCAGTCATTTTTGCGTGCTTGAGGGAATAATACCAAACGTAGAAACTTTCACATTTCTAATATTTAGTAGGCAAATATTTAAAAAGTTTGTAGGGTATAATTTTGTTTGGTGTACTTTAAAAAACGGGCTGCAATATTTCAAGCCAAAAAAATGATTTTTCATTTCTCCTTAAAACTTTCAATACATTGATTTATTACTAGCTTCCATCCGCGACTTCATTCGCGTTAACTTTCGTTTATGGAAAATCCTGAAGGAACCTTTTTTATGTTTGGGAAAATTCACAATTCAAATCCCAGACAGGGGGAGCACGAAGACTCCTTCCCGTTCACTTCATCCAGCTTTGTAGCTCGCTGAAGTGAGCGGAGCGGTAAAAACCAGACGATACTCCTGTACCGGTCACCCAACACGCATTGTGGGGACCGAAGTTTCCTCAATGCGCGCAGACTGCGGGCGATGATGCGCTACATGATTTTCAACTGGCCGCGCGATCCCAAACGAACCTTATATTTCTGGAATAAACAGTATCCTCGCTCCAATCCAGGTAATAGGGTATATGATAAGTTTCAGAAAACAATCTCACTTTACTTACTTACTACTAGATATATTTAATTCTGTTGCATAATTCAGTAAAAAAAACTAAATATGTGACGTCATACGACTGCTGTTAAAACGTCAAACGATACAATGTAATGTCACTGGCTGGAAGTTTACTAGCGTGTAACATCATTTTAGTCTTGGCCAATCCCATGCGTTTCCCAGCACGTGACCATGGGTCAAAAAAATAATTTCTATTTACTGATTTATAGAAAACTTACTTAATATTTGTTCTTTCGAAATAGTAAAATCGCGGCTAATATTCATATTAAATTTATATGTCATTTAATATGTCAAATTAAGGAGGAGGAGGAGCTCGATGGCGCAAGTGGTTAGCGCGTTCGGCTGCGATCGTTGAACTTAAGCAACTTTTGCAGTGGTCGGTCATTGGATGGGTGACCAAAAATCTGCTATCTCGAGCTCCTCCGTGCTTCGGAAGGCACGTTAAGCCGTTGGTCCCGGCTGCATCTGCAGTCGTTAGCACTCGCCAATCCGCACTGGGCCCGCGTGGTGGGTCATGGCCCAATCTCCCTATTCCATCCATAGGGAAGGCCTGTGCCCCAGCAATGGGGACATTAATAGGCTGATGATGAATATGTCAAATAGCCTATTGTGCCAAAATTTCATTCAAATCCTTTCACCTTATTATGCGTGATCAGCAAATATACAAACGTGCATGGCAAATATCAGAAGGATTGGTAGGTGAACTGGAAATCGACCTTAAGCCTTGTATCAGTAGTTAGGTACTTGCCTATACCGTAAAAAGTAAATCTTTTTACTTTAAATTTATAGTTCTCTTATTCGGCTCTTATCACACTCATCAATGAGTAACTTATGCGGAAATAAAAATTTCTGTCAGAATAGTCCGTATCTCAAAAACTACTTAAACCTATAGCCTGCGCTGGGTTAAGCGCACTCGGAACGGGCGTACGCACCGCGTGTTTGTTTCATGTTATGTATTTTATGCGCGAGGCGGATCACCCGCGCATCAAATCTCTTTTTTTTGACGTGACAACGTCTTAAATTAGGTTGCGGCTGGGAGTCACTTATGAAAAAGTGTAACGCTCGGTAACGTTACGATGAGTCTCTCGTGTTAAGTTTAAGTTTACATGTACAATGTTTTAGTAAACAAAATATATTTCTATAGTTAAAATTTGTGCAATTCTTATTTTCATTCAATTCCTTGTTCCTATTGTGCAATTTAATTATATTCATATCAATAAATATTCTACCGAGAAAAAGACGTTGTCACGTAAAATCTTCGCCCGTAAAACCGACTTTACAGGCAACCATTTTTTTTATGTTATAGGGGGCATACGAGCAGACGGCTCACCTGATGGTAAGTGATCACCGTCGCCCATGGACACTTGCAACACCAGGAGTATCACAAATGCGATGCCGGCCTTTAAGGAAGGAGTACGCTCTCTTTTGAAGGTTTTTGGGTCGTATTGGTCCGGAAACACTGCTGGCGACAATATATTCCACAGTTTTGTCGTACGTGGTAAAAAAAATCGACAAAAACGCACGGTTGTGGACAGCCACGCATCAAGATGATGGGGATGAAATTATTGTCGCGATGTACGATGGCGAAATGAAATGACTTTAAAACTCCACACGGAGCGGACCCCTGCTCCGTGACATAACACACCGGAGGCTGATCGTTGGTTTTAATTAAACGGTTCTGTTTCCTAAGTTAAATTGCAAAGTCAGTTCTACTTATAGAAAATCAAGTGGTCAAACATGCAGTTTAGTAAGACCACATAGCCACATTCATATTATTTCATACACATGGTTCAAATTAGCTCATTCTGTATTGGTAAAAATATACAATAATAATAAGTAAATAATAAAAATATATCCCTTATATACTTTATTTGTTCATGACAAAAGTAATTAAGTTGAAACAAACAACAAAAAAAATATGGTTTTGAAATTGAATAGAATAATAGCCTATTGTAATATAATAAAGTAGGAGAATGAGAAAGGAGTAGATTCATCAAATGATATAGGTATATACCTACATACATATTTTCGAAGAAAAACCTCTTAACAAAACTTTCTGTTGAGGAGTACATTTTATGCCATTAAGGTAGCTAAATGGTTAACAAAGAAAGCTCTAATTATATTACAGGTATTACATTTAGATATGTTTTTATTTTTTAAGCATTAAACTGCTAGATGTTTAAATCTTAAGAAAAGTTTAATAGAAAAAATTCTACGCGGATCAGGCAGCAGACGGGACTCGAACCCGCACCCGTCGCTATCCGGGCGAATGAGCTGACCATTATGATACCGCGGCCCTGACGAATTACATTGCTTTATCCTACAGAGCATTCTTCCATTGTGCTTACGAAATGCACAAAAAAAAGTATGTTTGTTTTTTATTCATTCTTGGACCATTTAGCTACCCCAAACATCTCTTTGTACTAACTTTAACATGTTTCAAATAAGAAAAATGCATTCAGATTTTCAGGTAGCTAGTAAGACTGGCATTGGCATCAAATTCAATGTAAAATAATTTCACTATCATTTGTTTGAATACACTGTACTCCACATTTAGTCATAAGGCAGTAATGCATTAAAATTATACACAAGTATACAATGTTCACAGAATTATCATAATAAGTTTGAATATTAACATAATATTTAAAGAAATCCTTGCGATGAAATAGTATGCATTATGCAATAATGCAATACTAGCCTTAGACCATTTATTTTATGAGAATAGTGGCAGTGAGAAATATTATTTATTAACATGAGGAGCTGGCGAACAAAACGGTATAATTTTACGGAGGTTTCAGGCCCGTTGAATTTGTATCTCAAATAATTTTCCATCAAAACCGCTTAAAACAGTGTTAAAATTATTAATTTTATAAATTCAAACCATGCCAAAAGCTCACTGTAGATATGTCATTCAGTTTTATACAGCTCCTGTAAACTTTAATTTTATGTAATTATACCGTTTTGTACGCCAGCTGCTCATACAATGTGCCATTGTATATTTGGTGTTATAAATAAAAATCAGCGTCAAGATTTCATAAAACTTAATGTGCTAACTTAACAAGTTCTAGACATATAATTGATTTTTAGTTACTTACATATTTACATTTAACAGTACAATCAGTCAATAACTGTTCAAATAATAAAAAAGAAAAAATACTAAGTGCATGGAACAGCAAATTTAAAAGCTGTCGACAACTTGGTTGTCATGCACAGTCCACAAGGCCACTGTGTTGTGTTCCATGTTACCATAAAATAAATAAGTCTATATCAATCCATTTTCACGAAAACATTAAAATAATAGTTCACTTTACAGTATACAAATTTGTTACTTTATTTATTATAAAAAAAATAAAAAATTTACATTAATAACTTGCTCATATCAAGCTAGAATATGAAGATAAAATTATAAATAATAATAATAGTTTAAAAAGAGCTGGATGATACCTTCAGCACTAGTGGATAAACTTTTTCCATGATAAATAATAATTAAGAAGGACACAACAAATATAATAGTGTTATACAAGTGGACAGCTAAGACCACTTTAATTATTTTTATACATCTATTATTCGTTTAGGAAGATTGCCAAATTTTGATGATATTATTGTGACCTAAAACAACTAAAAGATCTTCTTGATATTCACATTAAGATTATTGAATTGACATAGACTCTAGTTACATTTTGGCATGTACATTTCTTAATAAACTATCATACCATCCTTAAATTCTCATATTTAACATACACAACAATAGCAAAAATATTCACCACCCTGTATCAAACAAGTGTTCTATGATTGCCATAACATTTATACAATATCATACTTAATGGACACATTAAATTGCTATTTTTTTAACTAACACTTTACACATTTTATTATAATTATTACACATTACTAGTAATTACAGTTACATTATTTTATAGTTACGCTTAATCTTGTCTTCATGTTGCTGCACATTATCACAAGTAATAGACAACAATCCCAGAATCCCGACATTTTAAAATGTTGTCCAGATATTAAGGCTGGACACAGTGCTCGACCAACGGTACGTCATGACCGGCAGCGCTGACCGTCGGTTGCGTAAATGCAATCAGTGCTACGCTGACGGCGCACGGCGACGCGTGTATACAGTTCACGAGAAAATACCCTTTTTCTGTGGTATGTATTTTTTGCGCCATAGGGTATTTGACAGTATTCAAAATAAAGTGCCAATTGTTAGCATCTGTGTTTAGAATGCATATTGGCAGGGGTTTTTACTATTTTTACAAAAAAAAAACATAATTTTACTAAACACCCACAAAAAATATAATAGTTTTCTTATCTATTGTCACGTGAACCTAAACGCTTGGGATTGGCGGAGCCTAAAATGACGTCACACGCAAGTAAACTTCCGGTTAAAGTGACATTACATTGTATCGTTTGACGTTTTAATAACAGTCGTGTGACGTCACACACTAGTAAGACGCCATATTGTCCAGAAAAACGTTTTCGCGGCCTCTCCAATCAATTCGGCAAAATCTCCATTTTCAAGTTGCCGCGAAAACGTTTTTCTGGATTTCGATTTGGTTATTTTTACTGAAATAGACAACAGAATGATGAATATCCACTTTTACGGACTCCATAAACATTAGTCAATAACGTGAGATCGTTTTCTAAAACTTGTCAAATACCCTATCAATAAATTAATTCTTTACAAACTTCTTGCCAAGCACCTAATTTAGCATCACGGTCGTCATAAAATAGACAGACGATAAATACCATATTACCGGACGAAGTCGCACTTCAGTGATAAGGCGCTCTGTATCAATATTCATTTTTTACTTCGAGTGTACGTACGCGCGCATGATCGGTCGCTCCGTCAGTGAAGCACTGAACGCATCCATACAATCTCATAGCTCGTCGGTCGACCGACGTATTCATAGACTTGCATAAATATAGCTACGCCGACCGACGGTCAGCGCTGACCGTCGTTCGAGCACTGTTTCCAGCCTCAGTCTTCTTGATCAGGCAACCCTAGACCCACCACGAGAGACCAGTACGAATTGATGGGTTCTTAAAACTGCAGATGCAGCTGAGACAAATGGCTCAATAAGTCATCTGCTTATTTCTCATAATAATTTTTTGGTCATTCATTACAGAATTGACAAACGGATGTTGAGAAAATTTTGCTTTACGCATTCATGTTTATAGAGGGAACGTGAGCACTTTCCCTAGATGTGCTGTCCCACTCCCTCGAGTGGGAAGAAGCCACTTGGTTCTGTTGTATTGCTGACAGTGAATAATGTTACCAGGTCTCAGGTTCTTCTAGTCTTTCATAGTAGAGTTAAAAAACATATCTATCTGCAAGTATTTTGTAATAAGATTTGAACTTTGGAATTGGATGAAGCACCAAAAGTTGATCGAGAATGAATTAGTGTCAATGAATTCCTTGATTTCAAATCAAGGAAGACCTTCATCATTACATATATCACTGTCCTGCATCATTTAATGTTTATGAATTTGTTGTCTAGTATATCTTTTTAATGACGCATAATGATCTAAAAATCTTGACTTCGAAAACATGCAGCACAATGAAGCCTATTTTAATATTATCAGTACATATTATTATAAAACTCACATTTTGCATTAAAGCTACTTTATGCAAATAAAAAGATTAACAACTTACAAACAAGTACTATGACGGGAATGTATTAGTATTTGTCAATATATTCAACATGTCAATGTAAGCTACATATTTACACCTATACTCTGTCCAACTTTCTAAAAAAGACTATCCATAACTATTAGGGTCAATTCACACTGGTTTGGCAGCGACGCGACGAACACACTATCACTATAAGTGGTGTGAAATAATTTTAACTTTATAACACACTTAAACTAATATCGCCCGTGCAGTCTTTTCACGCTGCTTTTAGTGAGAAAGGGGCTAGCCGGGTCACTGCCATTCCGGTGTGATTTGACCCTTAAGTAGTCACCCTTTGGAAGCAAACTAATTTTTAACATGGATTATATTAATTGGATATCTACAGTACACTCAAATTAGTATTTATATTTTATTTCTGGTTTTTGCTGATTACTGATAATTGAATTTTTAATAAACACTAAGTACATCAGTCCAAATCATTAAGGGGAACGCATTGGTGCACTGCATAAGAGAATTTACATTTGTCATCAGAACATACTTTTTGTAATTATGATAACCAATAGATAAACAGTAAATAAGAAACAAGTCCGCATAATTGTAAGGTACCTATTTTCATGAATTTACTAAAATGATCTAAATATTTTTAATAATTGATGAGTAAGTAACCCATTGTGGTAACTTAAAATTACTAAAATTTAACCTGAAATTTATTTATTCTCAAATTTTCGGAATTTCACATTTCTCAAATCCTTGCTTTACACTTTTTGTCTAATATCAAACAGATAAAATAGCAGTTATGTTGTCATTCTTATTCATTTTTGTAGTAGGTGATATTTTATTAAGTAAATAATTTTATTCGAGAATTGTAAACACACAAGTCCTTAGTCAATCAGAGTATAGTTTGTAATAGTGTGCACAATAAAGAAAAACAACAAAAAAGGTTACATGTTATAAAAAAGTTACCTGAAAAAGTAATGTTATTTACATCTGTACATGTTACTTACTATATTATATATAAGCACTTCTAGTGATATCTAAGTAAATAATAGTAGTTACTGATGCAATATTGCATCTAATGAACAGTTTTGTTCAACAACACTTATTATTTTGAGCTAACTCATGGATATTTGTTTCTTAGGTTTTCACGCACATCACTCATTAAATAAAATAAGTTGAGTAGCTCGACAAAGTAAATAAAAAAATCATTATTCTGTAGACGCATTCCAGGATAAATCAGTGCATCTAACCTGTTGAAACTTCTTTTATCTAACTCATGGATATAATAAATATTGATTTACTGTTGAAGTCATTGCCATTAAAATCATTTAAAAGTGAATTAAAATTTTAGCTAAAACGGAATTTGAATTTCACAGATCTAAAAATAATCAAAAGAATATTAAGCATACTGTAAGTATCATATTTAAGTGCAGTGGCTCATAGGAGCCATTCAAAGGAAGCCATTCGAAAAAATATAAGTTATGCAATAACGGGGTTGGGGGGGAGTGGGGGTTCATATCTTCAGCGTTAATTTTGACAAATGTTCCCTCGTTACTAAAAGTTTAAGAACCACTGTTTCAGTGGTAGAGGGTGCTTCAAAAACAATCGTTCCATGAGTTTGCTCAAAACTAGATAGTTACCTTTATAAAATTTCAACTATCACTTTCATTAAGAAATTACAATTAACTAGTTATTTAAAAACTAAAACAAAACTTACATGGTCAACACAATAAAAAACTCTTCTTCATTTGGTACACATTATTTCATAGCACACGTTTAGTTTGATGCGTAGCATTCATCGCACCACTGAACACTTCTCACATTGCACTCCTAAGTTGTTATTTGGTCCAATCTTCTTATGTCTACAACAGGTGTCCCTTGTGGTAAACAGTCTGCATGTAGGGTCACTTGAGATATGTGCGGAATAGTAGCGGCGAATGTGCAGTCTCCCTCTCTTGTTCCAACAGGAATACCATATCTCTGTGGTTTATACGCTTGAGACGCGTACGCAACGCCAACTGACTCCGTCCAGTCTAGTAGATGAAAAAAGTACTTATTAATACATAATTATTATGTATGCATAACAGAAAATATTCTCAAGTAACTTTAAAGATTAGAAAATGCAGCTTTAAAAATAATAACACTAATATTATAAATGCGAAAGTATGCGAGTGTGTATGTTTGTTACTTCTTCACGTCTAAACGGCTGGAGCGTTTTTTTATAAAATTTGGTAGGGAGTTACAGTGGCGTAGCATAGGTCACTAGCACCCGGTGCGGATTCCAAATTTGCCGCCCTCTTATTTTTGCAATCCATTATTAAAAAATTGAGGCATGGTAAAAAGAGTACTTTTATTGAATAACACTAACCTAAGAGTGAAATTATCATTTTTTGACATAGAGTAGAAGGTAGACTATCACAATATCACTTTTTTTTATATTTTTTTTTTCTCTATCTGCCACCTCCGCAGCGACGCCCCCGGCAAAGTGCCGCCCGGTGCGGACCGCACCCCCCCCCCCCCCCCCCCCCCCCCTATGCTACGCCACTGGGGAGTTAGCTGTCACCCTGGATTAACACACAGGCTATGTTTTACTGCGGGTAAATATGTTTTTAGGGGGGTAAAACTTACGATTCCCGTCTGCGTGTGAGGCGTTTGGTTGGAGCCTCCATCGCCGGCGCCCGCGGGTCCGTCGAGGCGCGGCTTCTTGCGCGGCCCTATGGCCTGCAACGCGGTAAGATTCGCCTCGCGTTGTCGGAGCTCCTCCAATTCCGCGCGCTGCATCTCCTTCGCCTGTCGGGTTGGGTTTGTTTCAATCAGTAAACGTACAGTATTTAAACATTAAAGGGGCCCATATACGGAACGATTGATCTGTACGATCCGTCGTTTCAGACCGATCGAAACGATGGATCGACAGTGTATGTCAAGATCGTTAACGATTTACTTAATCGCAGACGATATCGGAGATCGCAACAAAAAACCATGCAATAATGAATATCGTAAACGATCGATCGTCAGTGTCCCATATACGGTACGATTGATCTGTACGATCCGTCGTTTCAGACCGATCAAAACGATGGATTGACAGTGTATGTCAAGATCGTTAACGATGACGCAAATCGCAACCAAATCCCATGCAATCATGAATATCGTAAACGATCGATCGACAGTGTTTCGTGTATGTAGTGACATTTCTGAGCGATCGATCGTTGACGATTTCCTTCAGATCGATCGCAACGACGAATCGTTCCGTATATGGGGCCCTTAAAAGCTGTTATTATGGCGCGATCACATCTGGTCCTTAGCCCGAATACGAATGCCAATGGAATTCGGGTAAACGACTGAGAGAACGGAATCGAGTACGCCCGTACGGTAGTTCTCTGACAACGTCTTTCAGCCCGTATTCCAATGTATATATTGATTCGGGTGCCCGAATATCGAGTAATGTCTTTCGTGCACCCTAATACGGGCTAACGACCAAGTGCAATTGAGCCATTACAAAACCGTAACATAACTTAATACTTAAAGTGACAACATCAAATTTAGTCAAACTCAAATGTTTCAAGTTCAACAAGCTGTATCTCGTTCACCTGTTGCTTAAATTTGTTGAAATAAATAAATGATGAACAACATTATACGATTCAGATACTGGCAGCCGCACTTAACTTAATGCATAAAGTTACTAATTAACTTAATGCTTAAAGTGACAGCATCAACGTTAGTTAAAATAAAAAGTTGATTCACTTCACTGAGTGCATCTGTAAAAGAAATTGCAAATAAATATGAATGAAGAACAACCAATATTTTCTAGATGTCTAGGCTATGCCCAGGTTTCGAAGCCTTAGAGATTGTGCAAAATATGCATTTCATGTTCAAAGGTTATTCTTTTATTAACTTTAATAATAGCAATTTAAATAAGTTGTGGTGGTTATGGTGAAGATATAGCACACCAATTCCCTTGATTAATTAAAGGGGTCAAGTAGACTATTTCCATGGTGATTTCTAAACATACATAAGGAGTTCAATGTCGCAAGTCATTAGCGCGTTCGGTTGCGATCGTTGAACTCAAATAACTTTCGCAGTGGTCGGTCATTGGATGGATGACCAAACTTACTGTCCATAGCTCATCCTCGCTTCGGAAGGCATGTTTAGCCGTTGATCTTGATCACACTGGGCCCGCGTGGTGAGTCAAGGCCCAATCTCCCTATTCAGTCCATAAGGAAGGCCTGTGCCCCAGCAGTGGGGATATTAATAGGCTGATGATGATGAAAAGTACTCTCCTTTTCAGAATCCCTTCCTCTATCACGTACCTTGGCCTTCAGTTTGGCCTGCTCCAGGTCTTTGTTCTTGGAACGCGACTTGGCAGCCCTGAGCAGCACTTCCCTTTCAGAACCCTCTCCTCTTTTCACATACCTATGCCTTCAGCTTGGCCTGCTCCGGATCCTCGTTCTTGGAGCGCGACTTGGCAGCCCTGAGCAACATCTCCCTTGAAGAACCCTCTCCTCTATCTACATACCTTGGCCTGCTTCGGATCCTTGTTCTTGGAGCGCGACTTGGCAGCCCTGAGCAACATCTCCCTTTCAGAACCCTCTCCTCTATCTACATACCTTGGCCTGCTCCGGGTCCTTGTTCTTGGAGCGCGACTTGGCAGCCCTGAGCAGCATCTCCCTTTCAGAATCCTTTCCTCTATCCACGTACCTTTGCCTTCAGCTTGGCCTGCTCGGAGTCCTCGTTCTTGGAGCGCGACTTGTCAGCCCTGAGCAGCATCTCCCTTTCAGTACCCTCTCCTCTATCCACATACCTTTGCCTTCAGCTTGGCCTGCTCCGGGTCCTCGTTCTTGGAACGCGACTTGGCAGCCCTGAGCAACATCTCCCTTTCAGAATCCTCGCGCCTCTTCCTCTCCGCCCGATCCACTTCCTCCAGGAACTTGAGTTGGCCCTTCACGTCTTGCGTCATCTCGTAACGGGAGTCCGTCTGTGCAACGAAATGTATGATGATAAAATAGAGGAACAATGAAATAAAATATAACAATATCTGAAATAGATATTGATGTTCGACGTTTAGCACGTTGTTTGGGATGTTGAAGTGTTTTTGAAATTTTTCCCATTAACATACCGCTTTCATAAATTTTATGTATCTGCCTAAGAATATTTCAGGAAAATAAAAGAAACTTATCGGTAGTTTAAAACACTTTCTTAAACTTAACAAGACTTAATCGAGTCACGAGAGACCTATGATATGACGAACCCCTGAAGGCCCTAGTACGAGCACCGCGATATGATATATAGCAGGTTATTAACACGCGCAATTGTCAAATTACTATGGATTTTGTCAGTTCAACAGGATAAAAAAATATGATAAAATGTATAATGTACTGTACCCCTAGCACGAACCATTATCGAAATCAAATAGTTTGCAAACCGAAATGTCAATGTCAAATTTTGTATGGAAACTTGAACAGCAGCGGCACAAAGTACGTAACGAGAACTAAAAATCAGTACACATGTGACAATGACATTTCGGACTCGCAAACGATACGAATTCGATATTGGTTCGTGCTAGGGGTACTGCTCATGCTACAAGGACTGGGATAGTCGATTCCATCGTATCAGCTGTTTGAGGGGTATTTTTTGTAGTAAAGAAATAACGATAGATTGGCATTTTATAGAATTTGACTGATATGTTATCAACAGTAATCTTGACTCACAAGTAATGAAAATGCGTATTATAATTTGACGCAGTATAAAACAAAATCGCTTCTGCTGTCTGACTACGCGCTTAGATCATTGAAGCTACGCAACTGATTTATATGCAGTTTTCAGCAATAGATTTTGATGCAAAAGAAAGTTTTACGTGTATAATACTGAGTCGGGACTAAAAACTAAGTCTTCACCTATGCAAAGCGTATACAGGTCAATAGTTATAATAGAAAAAAATGTATTAAAATGCGAGGAGCTCGATGGCGCAACTGATTAGAGCGTTCGGCTGCGATCGTTGAAGTTAAGCAACTTTCGCAGTGATCGGTCATTGGATGGGGGACCAAATATTTACTATCTCGAGCTCCTCCGTGCTTCGGAAGGCACGTTAAGCCGTTGATCCCGGTTGCATCTGCAGTCTTTAGCACCCACCAATCCGCACTGGGCCCGCGTGGTGGGTCATGGCCCAGTCTCCCTATTCCATCCATAGGGAAGGCCTGTGCCCCGGCAGTGAGGACATTAATAGGCTGATGATGATGATTAAAATGCTTTGATATAATTACAGTTTGGAACATTAGCATGTTGCCGTTGGTAACAAATCATATTTTCTGTGTAGTTTAAAAATTGTTTTTTTCTGAGATTGTCTCACCAAATAGAACATTTCGCCCAGTGCAATGTTATGGCCTATTTATAAGAGAGGTAGGACAGAATTTCCGCCCCAATTGGAGCGTCCGTCTGAGGAAGTAACTTCCACCTTACAGAAGATCACATTAACATAAGACTGATACTGGTGGTGTTGTGTTTCTGTCTGTCTGTAAGGGTCCAGGGCTCCACGGGGTAGGGAATGAATTTTAATGATATTTTTGGTATCGCAAAGCGTCTCTAGGCTATAATGGACGCTTACCATCAGGCTGGACATGAACTTGTATGATACTGTTTTAACGTGAAAAAACACATCTGTCAATCGCAAATTTTATTTAATAACAATCGATTGCATTGCTTTATGTTAGAAATCATTCGGTTTGCACATTAATTTGGCTCTGGTAATGGCAAGTTCGCGTATAACAACAAATAATTTAAAATTACGGCTTATGCTTCATGGCCTTGCATTTCTCGCATAATTTCTGGCAATTGTTCAACTTTGTCATGAAAATTCGCAATAGTATATTATTTTAAGCGGTTTTAATTTTAGATAATGGAATTCAAATCTATCAGTATTCAATACTATCTAAAGGTATTTTTCAGCTAGAAAAGCAATAATTTGTTTCACAGAATATAGAGAATATTTCCCATAGCATAAAGTTCGTTTATATTTGGAACAAACGCCAGGCAGAACACTTAAAACAAATTATAATTATGTAAATAATAGTTTACAAATATTTATAGAATTTTGATATTTTCGCAAGCACAGTCTGCTTCTTGCAATCTCATAAAGGCGCATTTACATTTGGTCGCTAGTCCGTATTCGGGTGTACGAAAGAAATTCATCGAATTCGGGCACCCGATGGAATATTTACATTGTTTTTAATCGAAAACTGTCCGAATAAGGGCGTACTCGAATCCGTTCATTTAGACTTGGCCGAATTTGTAATCGTTTTCGGGCTAACAACCAAGTGTAATTGCGCCATAACTATTATTCGCACAGCTTTATAGCATTTATAATATCTAACATAATTACACTTTTATGCTGTCTGTTAGTAACACCTATTTAAAGTAAATACATTTATTCACTATCGCATTGCATTTCAAAATATTTTTATAGGTTCGTCAGATTCTGTGTTACAAATAGAAAAAATATATACAAATTGGAAATAGAATGCGCTTTTGTGAACACTATTAAAATTAAGCATTGATAAATCACAGTGAATGAGATCTTGGAGGCTAGCTTGATGAGGCACGAGGGACACAACTCAATGGCATAGTAGATTAAAAACGTTCGATCAGCTTAACTAGAAGTTAAGCAACATTTGCTATTGCTGGTCATCGGATGGGTGTTGTATTTTCTTATCTCGAGCTCCTCTGTGTTGCCGAGGTTACGTTAAGCAGTTGCTTCCGGTTGCTTGTGAGTGCGTTGTCAATATCCGTAATCGCCAAGTCTGCCCAAAGCTATACCAACATAGGATAGCATCTCCTTTCCCAGTATTCAGAAACACCGTATCTTGTAACTGGTACATACAATTAACAGGGAAATACTGATGAAGATGAAACCAAACCTTGATGACGAGGTCGATCCTTTGTTGAGCGAAGACTGCCAGCTTCTTCACCAGAATGCCGAAAGACCTGTATCCTCTAATTGGCACATAAAATTAACAAGCAGATACTGATGAAGATGCATACAGACCTTGATGACGAGGTCGATCCTGTGCTGAGCTATGACCGCCAGTTTTTCCACCAGGGTCTTCAGCCGGTCATGCAGTGCATGGGCCAGCAACGCCGCCACTTCTGCAGACGGCTCTTCCAATCCTAAACGGGAGGCGGCAGCCCTAGCTCGGGCTCCCATCACGGAAGTGCCAATTAGGTACTCGTCCTTGCACGATCTGTCATGTCATATATATCATCATCAGGGACAATATTCAATAGCCTGCGGGTTTTTTTTTTGATGATATATTATTACATTATAACATGTTCAACACAGAAAAACTAACAGCAAGTCACTGAATATTTAACTTAAATCATAAAAGAAAAGCTGTTTCAGAGAACACTGAACAAAATTAATAAGTTAACTGTTAAATTTGGACTCTAGTGTTTAGTAACAATATTCACGACTAGTCTGATGTCGGTAAGGTAAAATATACTAAGTAGAGTCCGTGCGGGAAGAGAATGGGCGTGATGAAAAACTGAACTAGCATTAAGATTTTTATTTGGCAATTAAACCCAGCAATCTGTAAAACGTCAAAATTTTATATTGATACGGATTTGTTTGCTGTTGTGATTTCTTGCGGTTATTTGTTTAATCATGTCTAAAAGGGGTAAAACCTTACAAATACGGTAGGAAAGCACTATAGCGCCCTCCTATCTAAATCCCATTCTCTATCCGCACAGACTCTAAACAGACATGCATTAATTCAGTATAAAAAAAATTAAGGAGCATGTGAAACCATATAATGCGTTTACCTTATTTGCGTGCCAATCATTTCAGTGGAGCCGAGAATCCTCTGGGTCTCCTCGGCCAAGTTGACGCCACCCATGGCGGCTACGTCATTGATGTCGTCATCGCCCGCCATTTTGTCGTCCACAAACGGCTGCGACGCGAACTGCATCGAGGATTTCTTCTCCTTATCCTTCAGCAAGGACTTGCCGGGCGTCAGTACTGTGGACAACGCCGCGGAAGGGACAGCGGCTCGCGGGAAGTTGGCCTTGCTGTTCACAGACATCGCCTTGCCGCTGCTCACTTTGCTAACATTGATCTTTGTGTGGACCGGTATGTTCTGTAGGACGGCTATCGTGCTCCCGGACTTGGGCGGCTTTGGCTGAGTATCACAACAAACAACATCAAAGATACGCCTAAGTTCGCTATGAATTCGCAACAAATGGTCGGGCACTACACAACTAGCCGAATTTATTCCTGACCAACCATTAGCTTATTTTCTTACATTCTTATATGAAACATTGAATCATTGTTATTTTGAATTGTTTATTATAAGAATCACAACTATTACTTGGCTTTCACTTTTTTTACTATACATGGTGTACTAGATTTTGGCGTCTGCAACATCTCAATGTGACATAAAGTTGGCGTTAAATTAATTAAAAGTTTAAGCCATAGGTTAGGATTTCGCAAATAGGTTTCCATTATGCCAGTTTGATCTAAACATTAATCTACTTCCTTGAGAACAAAGGCCAATTTTCAAGAATCATTAAAAAAAATACCTTTACTACTAATAGGTCCAAATGTCAATTATGGATTATTTAGAAGAAAGAAGAAAACTTAGTTTTTTTGACAATTTCAATGACATAAACATCAAAGCCTGTGGGACAGGAATCAATTTGTTCGATAGCCCACTATGCTCAAAAGTGGCGTGCTCTCGCAGATACAAAAGGACTTGCCAACTCTACATAAAAAGAAAAAAGGGAATTTTTTGTTAAGACTTTCTATATTTTGCTCATTTGTCTTATAGTTCTGTGCACGCCACTTCCGAGGCCACTACAATACTAAAGCCTCTTGAGTATTGCTGCGAATTTTTACCCAAACTGATATATATATATATATATATCCATACAATTTACAAAATTGGAATACAGTGTTATGCACCTAGGTGTTAAATTTTTATCACGAAGCAACTATCGTTGGTACGAACTTTTAATTTATGTTACTATATACAGCAGAGTTAGTTTACATGAAATAAAATCCACAACTAGGTGTACACAACACATGACATAAATTTAATCAAAGATGGATTGTAATAAATACACCTTGATTGTTACTAGACATTCACCATGCACTTGACATATTATTGATTTGTAATCTACAAACTTAATAAACATTTCAAATATCAACATAAACGCTGCTAACCTTAAACGATGACGAATAACCTCAAGATTTACGAAACGTTAATTCTTGTAAATTTACAAGCTAGCGAGACGACACAATCACTAAAAGGGAGACCTTCAATTGATGCCCAATTTTGTACCTTGGTAAAAATTATCTCAAAATACATCCTATAATTATACTTAATAACATTGAATTATTCAATAAAAATTGCTGAAGATCGGAATTAAAATAAGGAATCTGCGTATAAAGTAACGTTATAACATAGACGCAATTTGTCATTGAGTGACAGATGACAGCTAATACTATTGGTTTAAATTCATTTCCTGGACTCCTATTGGTTGTATAAAAAATTACTTGTTATTCGTAGCTAATTGTTATTTTTTCAAGATGTACATTTACCATAATGTTTTTTTCCCTTCGGCCGTTGCGTAAATTCGATTTATTTATATATCTTTCTCGGCCGTAGTGCCAAATTTTATGGGCATTTTAACAAAGCTGTCCTTATATAGTCTTTCTTTTTTCAAAAACAGATTTTTGCTTTTGGTTTTGAGAACAGAAACATTTTTCTTATTTAGCAACCGGTTTCAAATAAAGAAATATTTTTCTAATTTAAAAAACCGGTATCAAAAAATTAATTACCTATATTTCTTTTCTCGAAACTGCTTTCGAAAATGGCCGAAGGAAATATTTTATCTGTGTTGTCATTCAATTAGATGTTTAAACGACATTTAAATGTGGTAAAAGTGGATAATAAACTCCATTTATATTTTGATAAATTCGGCGTATTTTTCTACACATAAAAACGCATGATAATACTTGAGGTACAAAATTGGGCAAAAGTTTTATGGAGATAATAAATTAAAGATACACTAAACGCAAATAAAACTTACAAAAGCCAAAAATTAATACAGCCCATAGAGAAGAACATCAATCTAACATCAATATAGAGCCAACCAAATGAAGATATAAACCATGAAGTTTTATAATGTAATTTCAAATTGTCTAATAAACATATTGTGAGTCCAAAGAAAATTCATCATCATCAGCCTATTAATGTCCCCACAGTTAGGGCACAGGCCTTCGCCATGGATGAAATAGGGAGATTAGGCCATGACCCACCACGCGCGCCCAGCGCAAATTAATGGGTGCTAACGTGCCTTTCGAAGCACGTTGGAGCTCGTCATAATAAATTTTTGGTCACCCATCCAATGAACAACCACTGCGAAAGTTGCTTAACTTCAACGATCGCAGCAGAATGCGCTAACCACTTGCGCCATCGAACTCCTCCAAAGAGAATTAGTATGAATCTTATACAAATTAGAAAACACATCTTCTTTTATTTATTTTGTGTAACCTCAAGAAGCGCACATTGAGCCGGCCAGTGGCGGCCACTGAAACCATTCTTATGCTGCGGTCGAGTGTTTTCATACATTTTATATAGTATCTACGCAAACTAATTCCCGATTTCTACCTCCAAAGAGGAATGAACTAGGGATGTCTAGCGAAGCAGTCTTTGTTAACATACAATAGGATTGCTTTTTCACCGAACTAACTAGCTCATTTTTACTCTTTTTTCCGTTTTTGTCATTTTCGCTCGACACTCTGTTGGTGGAAATAGAAGTATGCATTTCTATTACTTAATGGGGATTGTCCACCTTCAGCGGAGCGAGACCATTAATGACTCCGTTTACCTCGTAATACAAAAATGCAAACATCTGTTTCCACAAACAAAGAGTCGAGCGAAATTAATAAAAATTAACTAGTTAGTACGGAACAGTTTCCCGATGGAGAAGCGATACTATTTTATGTACACGAAACCGCTCCGCTAGACATCCTTGTACATTCTTCTGTGACGATGAAAAACGGACTTAAGGGCGCTTGCTCGAGCCACTAGGGAGGGAGAGATGGTATTGTATTTCACAGTCTACATATTTTCTGTGTTATTTTTTCACTTTCTGTTTAGCGGGCCATTCGCCTAACGGGATTGCTTTGGGAAACGCTATCGCTTACTATTTCACTTTGTTATTTCCGAACGGGGAAGGTTTCCAAATACCTCACGCTCATTTTGTTTAATATTGTTATTACCAATGCAAAAGAAAAAAAAAGAGCGCGAGGCATTTGAAAACCTCAGGTGGCTAGAAAGAACAAAATGAAATCGTAAGCGATAGCGTTTTCCAAAGCAATCCCGTTAGGCGTTTGGCCCCCAGCCCCCGTAGCATGAGCACCAAAATTTACATTATATCACTTTTTTGATTGCGTCTAACTGTCAAACTTCATTGTAATTTGACAGATGAGCGTGATAAAAACAAGGTATATATCATATCTCGGTGCTGATGCTCAGCCTGAAACAATCTTATCGACCTATTGAGATGACATCCAGTTATTGAATGCGAAAAAAAGGGATTCAGAATACTAACAATAAAAGTGGGTATGATTACTTGTGTAAGCAAAAGCAAATACCCAACTAAATTGCCAGAAATGGTTGTCGCTTCAGCATAGTTTCAGCGTAATTACTATAAAAATGGGACAACTGAAAACACTAGTTGAAAACTTAGGAAGAGTTTAGTCAATATTCACATGATAAAGCCTTCAGAGACGGCGACGAATAGTTCGATTAACTTGGCTTGGTATAAATAATCACTTAGAATTAAAGCTGGGGATACACATGCCAGTAAATCGAGAAAGTGGCTGGCATGTACGAGTAACTGGCACACTACGGATACATTTGCAAGTAATACTGGCATGCAAGTTGTGCTATTGCATGTCAGTATTACCATCGCGTATACACAGGACAGTTCGTGAGAGTCACTCTTCCCTACCTATTCTTGCGCGCCAAACAAGGATAACAATAGAAGTGAATTAAACAAAATCGTGTTGTTACTAGCAATTAATTCAGATTTAATTCTTCTTGTATTTTGCTGTAGGCATTGGCACATACTATTTTGTTTTTGTGCTAGCGTGCTAGTCGGCTTCCAAAGACATTCCGCATTCTCTATACAAATGAATGAACTGTATAGTTCTCTCATCTCCCCATCGTGCCATGATGAAGAAAAAAACCACCAAAAGAAAAACTTGACCTCCGAAATCAAAACAAAACACGGCCACAACGAGTCGGCTACGGCTACTGGCATGCCCGTAGCTGTCGCGTCTGTTCACACGTGCCAGGTTAGCAGCCCCCCGCGGCCCCTTCCTCAACGGGCATGCAAGTAAATCAAATGTTGTGCTAGCTGCTTGTATGCCAGTATAACAGGCATGCCAGTTTGCGTATACACATGACAGTAGCTGGCACGTGCAAGGAGCTTGTATGCCAGTGTGCATGTGTATCCCCAGCTTTAATCCCATCGACAAGACGAGAGTCTACTCTCTTGTCTAGAAACTAGAAAAATTACAAGCATCGAGTATGTAGTTCTGATTCTGCTGTTGGGCTATCAGGGAGTATGCAAGTGTGGTAAATCATTATTCGCACTGATCGCGCTGAATCATGGAAGAAATTCATGAAATGAAAATAATCTAAAACGGCATACAAAGCAATTAATAACAACATATGATACTTGATAACTACTTTGAATTATATCAATTAAAAATAATAATGTTAATATCACAAGTTCATTCATATAACGAACGGGATTGAATCTGACGAACATCTATACACAATAGGCACATCAAATGAGCTGTTAAAGCGATGCAACAGTATAGTAAGCAGTCAGTAGGTTATTTAATAATGATATGATATTTTATATCCAGTTATATATTATCTAATCACGACCAGCGCATGGAGTCTCAAGTTTGCCTCGAGATTAATCTTACAGCTAGACGGTGAAAGCAGCTAAAGAAAGTGAGAAACGTAGAAAGGGCGTGCGGCGTTCCGACAAACCTGCGTAGAAGACTGCACCGTCATAACGTTAATGGGTTTTGGTGAAGCGAGGGGGGGCGCGAGGGGGGCCACGAGGGGGGCCGGCGGTAGCAACGTGGTCAGCGTGGGACTGCCGCCGTCTTCGTCCCGACCCGCGCCCTAATCAACACAACTTCATAGAAGCACAACCACCACACACGCACAGCTAGCCCCCACTAACTACCTCCGCGTACTAACCTCACAACCTCAGGGGCCAGCCGTGCCCATTAACCATTCAATACATGTCACTTTACACTAAGGACACTCATCTTAAAGCTTACAACTGGAAATGTCCAAAGGGGGTAAGGAATACGAAATAAATTAACTCAGCGGCCAAATAAGGAGTAACAATCAATCGAACGACAAAACGATCATACCAAGCCTTCTCACTCGCGAGGCTGCGAAATAACAAATTAAAATTAAGCTCGAGTTTAGAGCGGCCGACCGTGAGGACGGCGCGGCCAAGGGTGAAAGGAACAAAACAACAGCAAAACAAACAAAAAAAAACAACGTAAGTAATAATAAAAATAATAACAAAATTAAAACACCGAAAGTCCAAAGAGCTTGGGTGAAGTGGACTCATGCGTGAATCGAGCCACCATCAAGGTCCTGATGAGAAAACGACAAACCTGCACGGTGGAATGTACCGAGACAGCGCTAATGGGACTTGGGGAGTGCATTAGAGGCGCGGCTAGCGGGACCGGGAGGACCGGCGGCAGGAGAGGCGGTAAGTAAACCCCCTCATCGTTCAACTAAACACAGTGCAACACGTTAAACTATACGCACACACGCTCATAATACAGTGGAGGAAGATGGTGCACTGACACTGCGCACTCGATATCGTTAAATGATATAAACATTTCAATAGCTTGCCTAACTAAAAACAAAGTAAGGGTACATCTTAAAGTCCAGTACAATGTATATAATTGTCAGATAAAAAAAATAACAATATCTTAATGTTATTTACAAATGTTGTTAAGATATTTTAATGTAAACAAGTAACACATACCATTTGCACGTTGGATGTAGCTATGACGGGCTGCGCCGGCGCCGGGATGGTCGAAAAGGCCACATGTGGAGCTGGAGGGTTGATGCCCTCTATTACCAACTCTTTTGTTACCAGAGATTGTCGCAACAGTGGCAAACTTCTCTACAATTGGATGAATAATAAATAATTAGGTATCGAATGTCACCACAAATAAAAATTATACATAAACACCAATCTGGATCAAAAAGATTTATGAACTACAACCAAAGTGTGGTGTTATCTGTCATTTACATTCCTACCAAATTTCATCTTCATACCTCGACATATTATGTATAAGTTATGTTATGGTGTCGATTCTGTCATGATTCTCTAAACCTAAACTTAAATTTGACAACAGTGTATTCTTGTCATTCTCTATACAGAATGAAAAGAAGAGCGAATGGACACCAATTTCTCCTTAATCTGATTCCCCAATTAGGCTGAAATTAAATTTAGTGTAATAATAATAATATCCCCTCAGCTATGTAGTCATCCACTTTGTTTTTCACGGCCAAAATATCAAAGTTTGCTGGCAGATTTTCCTGTTATTATTCGAATTCTTCTGTACAGCCAAGCTTCATTTACGTCTTAAATCAATCCTGAATAGTTTCTCTACAAACTATCTATATATTATATATGTAAATTAAAAACCATAACTAAATATGATAAAACGCTAAATAGGAAAAATTCAAATATGAAAATAATTTCCTCAACGGCTGGCAGAAATCATCATCTTACACAGCCGAGGGGATAATATATTTATTATCTATACCCTTTATTAATAAACGAGGAATAACCTTCGCCGTGTTTTGTTCATAGCACTCAAGTGCTGTTTATGTCGTTCAATGAACAAAGACAAAACATAGAGTAGTCTATGTTTACAAATAAGAGGGTACTAGTCTCTGTTAAATTAGGGGTAATATCTGTGTGGTTTACTTCCCGAAACCGATATATGAAATTACAGTAATCTGATAAGGTTGGGAAAACTTGTAGTTAGGCAAAGAACCTAGGGGGCTTGGCAAACGCAGTCAAGTACTGTGAAGGACTTATAAGCCCTTTTGAAAACATTCTTAAAAATTTTTGAACAAGGTAGTATGTATTGTATATTGAATCAAATTATGCCTACTTCCCACTGAGAACCGGGGATTAGGTGGAACTTACTTTACTCAGTAAACTCTGCTCAGAATATATAAGTAGTCTATGACCCAACTTGGTTCACAGGGGTAAGCCAACATTAGAGTAAGCAAATACAATTTCTGTATATGTCATACATAAATACAAAAACAAACAAGATCACTCATGTGTCCCAACAGTTTGCAGATACAATTGAATCTCTACTTGCTGCATTGTGACACACCTCATGTACTTTCTTAAGATTTTATCAATTTATGCAGGCTGATCAGATTTTGATGCTTGTCACTTGTTGGCCAAAAGTTAATCTGAATAATTTATAAAAGGTAATTTATTTTAAACATATTGTTTTATAAAAATCAATAAATAGTTTGAACATAATAAATGGCGTGTAACCCATTCTAATTTTAAGGTTATATATACACTGCCTCTTTTCATTTGCAGCTATCACCCATTTTAAACTTCAAAATCATAAATTCTACAAACGCCTTCTGTCTAGTAAATAGTCTCCGAAAATGAAAGTTTGTTTTGTTTGTACTTACTACAACCTACCTTTAAGAACCCAATAAGACACGGTTGGGGGCTAGCATTCAGAAGACGCTCAAGCCTATCACAGAACTCTTCCGGTTCCACCTGAGCATCAATCAGTTCCTGGATGAGATTCCTCACATTCTTCTCTACAGACTTGGGCTCCTTGCTGGACAGGTCCAGTAGATTAGCAAGGAAGTTCCTACATTTCTCTTTGGTGTTGTCATTGGGTTTCTAGAAGGAGAAATGAAGACAAAACAAATTTTAATACTATGTCTGCTTATAAAGTGAACAACAATAGGCATGATGATGGGGTAAACTAATTGAAATTCTACTTAGTCCATAGGTGTTACATTATTAAAAATTAATGTTAACATATTTTTTCTTTAGTAAATCAACTTACAAAGGTGTTAAATAGTGTTGTGCCGGATCGTCAAAAATGTAGATCCGCGGATACGGTTCTGAGTACAGATATTTGGTGTCAAGATCCGCAGATACGGATACGGATCTTAACTTTCTTACACATTCGGTGTCGGTGCGCGCGATTTTGAGTTGAGACATGTTTCGACTTGCATTGCGCGGCGGGTTTTTTTGTTTTGTTATAGTTTAATGTGACACTGGGCAGCATAGATAACGCTTCCAACAAGTATTCCAAGTGAGAATTTTTTTAGTGCAGCAGGAATTGTTTATGATCCTCATCGTAACAGACTTTTGGGGGACAAAGCTGCTAAGTTACTCTTTTTGAAGTATAATTTACCATTACTAAATTTCAAGTTCCTCTAATTGTCATTGTGATTTTTATCTAACATTAACACTGTATGTGTCACGCAGTACTAGTTTACTTGATTAAAAAAATATTTAATTCGAATTTAAAATATTACGAAGATCTAAGTTTTGTTTTCTTAATAAAAAGTGATCTTATAACTTTTTATAATATTGATCTCATTAAAAAGTTAGTTGATTTAGTACCTTGTAGTTATATACTATTGGTATGATAATGATAACTCACTACGGCAAAGTTTGCAACATAAAGAAGCCAAATATTTGATTTTAAGAAATAAAAGAATATCTATATTATACTTAATAGTTTTTATTGCTACCTAATCACCTATTTAAGGCAAAGAGTAAGGCGCACTAGCGACGCCAATTGCTTTAAATTGTTAGCTACTAAACCAGATCTATTTCAAATAATTGTGGACCATCAGAATCTCGGAAATTGGCGTCGCTAGTGCGCCTTACCCTTGCCTTAGCCTTAAAGAATTTTATCTATAAATTTAAAATTAATAAGGAAAATAGATCCGTAAAAGATCCCCCAAAAAGTAACGGATACGGACACGGATCTTTCTTCTGTCTCGGATATCCGCGGATACGAATACGGATACGGATATCCGGCACATCACTAGTGTTAAACTAAAATTACAAAGGTAAAGAGCGTCATATATCTGTAATGTTTTATTATGTGATTAAAGAAAAAATATGTATCATATTCTTTTTGATGACCTTGTTGCTGATGACAACCTGATAGACGAAGGAATATAAGTTAGCATACTTGAATTCAATTTTACATCATTATTTTAAGGTTGACTATGATTAACCTATTCCTTTTATTACAAAGCAATACTAATAGAGTAATATAAGTTATTTACGGTATTGTATAATAACTTATATTACTATAATGTTAGTTACCAAAAAAGTATGTTAATATCCTCATTCTGAATCTATGTTGTCATTTATTAAATGTGAATTAGTTTTCTGTCTCCTTTTAATTATTCACTTCATATTGCTTAAAGACCCCTTAACTGCTAAACAAACTTTTTGTCAATATAAGCAAATATTCCAAGAATAATTCTATAGATATTCATAGAATAATGTACGACCAAGTATCACACTACATTTGTGTCATAACATTTGTGTTTGTAGTTGCGAGCATAATATTTGTATTAAATATAATTTTAAATCCACTAGAAACCAACAAGACCGTAATAAAATTCAGAAATCAGGACAGTGTCTACATAATGACATCTCAACATTTCTCTTTTTTTATTAGTACATTGCTCCAGTGCAAAGCTAGAATGGGAAGAACTATATCTCATGTAAATGAATGTCTTTCTTTACCAAAACCAAACCAAATTTTTCTTCAGCTTCATAACAAGACTAAATTGTAAGGTAAGACAACATTTGCTATGGAATCGTACCTGCGTAGTGACAGTCGGCGGTTGCGGTGGCGGCGTGGCCGATGAGACACTGGGTGGCGGCACAACGGGCGCTGCCACGGGCCCCGTCGGCATCGGCCCCTGCATCTGCCCGGGCGCAGCCACGCTCGTCGATACTGTCGCCACACCAGGGTGCTGCCAAAAGAACCCACCCACTGAGACACATATCAATACTACAGAAATCGCATCAAATTGAGAAAAGCGCCACACTAAGCTGTAAAGTGTCCATACAGCAGCATACAAATTAATGCTTCAATACATTGAACAAAAACTATTATTGGTAGATGCACTTAAAGGCTCAGTATGTGACTAATGTAGGTCACTCTTTTATAACTGTAGCATTATCAGTGCACCTAACAACAAAAAAATTGCATATCCAGGGTTAATAATACACAGTGACATTGAAGTTTCCAATTATGTCTTACCTTGTTAATTACCTTTTAAACATGCACCTCCACCACAATAGTACATGCATGATTTATTGTGTGAAATTGAACAATGCCAGAGAGAGAGGTGAACAGTTGTCCAATTTCAGTGTCATCGGGTGAGTAGCAAATGGGTGTGCCTACTTACTGCCGGCACGGTCGACAGCCGGATGGTCTGAGCCTGCGGCGCCGCGAGCGTGCTGGCCGAGGGCGCGGGCCCCACCCTCAGCAGCTGGTACTGACCCGTCTCAGTCTTTAACAACAAATGACCCTGCTGCCCGGGTTGTAGACTTTGCAGAGTTTGCAGCGTTATCTAAAAATGAACGCCTCCGTTTCAATTTCTCTACAGCAGCAAACAGATCCAATATTGTACAAAATAATATCATAATTATGCATATTAAAATGATCTTGATAGAATTTAATATATGATTCTAAAGCAGGTCATTTGTTAGATATAATTTTATTTTGTTGAGGATTATACAAAACTTCGAAATGAGGGTGCAACATTTATGTATGATACCGTGCTAGAGGTGAATAATTTACTAGCTTTGATGTTAGGTTGTTGAAGCTGGGGTGAGAATTACATAGGTGGAATCGCCCACACCAATGTAAAACTGCATTTAGATAAAAAAAAATATACATTTTTTTCCCTATTCAACATTTAAATCTGTATCCATCAATTGCATTCAAGGCACAATATTTAGTGATAAAGGTGATGGTGACACATCTGGAAATGTTCAGGACCATACAACATTCATAATAGCATATACAGTAAGAAATGAGTTTTTGCTATCACACAAAATGACATTATTATGGATAGAATTTAACAGATTTTAGTGCATTTATAGGTTCATCAAATTCAAGGATAGTGAAAAGAATCTCAGAAAGTTGTGATGCTTAATGGATGGAGGCATTAGATGGCAAAATCTTAGACATGTTGCATGCAACATAGTTACATTTCCAGTTTATAATCAAGATAACTTCTTATTAGAATTTCTTTTAATCAATGAATGTAATGATTGATGGACAATGCATTATTTACAAGCCAGATATTATAAGACATCCATATTGTCTGTCAGGATCTTATGCATTTTTACAAAAGCAAGTGTTTCAGTGACCAGATTAATAACCAGAGAACTAAGCTTAGGAAGTTTTAGAACAATTTTATATTTCAACCTTGCAATTGAGGGACAGTGTGTACAAACTAAAATGATACTTCTTAAGCGAAGCTCTGGTTAGTTTTAGTTATGATGGGTTATGAGGTTTGATGATTAGCAGTGAAATTTCAGAAAACACTCACCCCTGGAGCTGCAGCTCTTGCTCCGACCACCTGTGGAGCACCTATCACCACTCTAGGAGAAACCGTTGCCACTGATTTCTGTGCAGCAACAGCTGGTGCCCCAGGTCTCATGTTTAAAATCTGAACGTTAGGAATTATTGTAGGTTGAGCTGAACCCAAATTCTGAGTAGTAACAACGACGTTTTGCCCTCCTGGCTTATTGATAGTCATGACATTGGGTATAGATCCAGACATGCTGGAGTTGACAGTCATGGGCACCGTCACCATTCCAGGTTGCATGCCCACCTGGCCGCTGCTCGTGCCTTGTTTGATGACCAACGGCGGTTGCATTGTTACCGTTTTGCTGATCGACTGCGGTATAACGCTATTTCCACTTACTGTATGAAGAATCTGATTTTGTGACACGGGTAATCCGATGCAACCGTTGGCAATAGATTGAGCAGTAAAATTAACACGGTTGTTGGGGTTAAGACCTTGTGTTTGTGAATATATAACTTTTAACGAATCACTGGAATTTGAAACCACTCCTGTTAACGCTTGCGAAACAAAAGTGGCAGACGATTGCACATTGTTAAACGAGGCACTGCTGTTTACGATTGCTGGAGATTGAATTCCAGTCACTATACCACCGCCACTGATTTGGTCCGTGTTGTATTTTTGTACACCGAAAGAATTTGCACTCGACGTAATGTTAGTTAACTGCCTTGGAACTCCGTTTATGTAAATGTTCTGTGAAGAGGACGTCGTAACCGATGTAACTAGCTGATTTTCGAGAGAGCCTACAATTGCGTTCACTGCGTTCTCATCAACGTCTGTGGACAAAGCTTGCTCTAGAAACTCGGCTGACGCCATTTTATATAAATCGACGGTCATAGGATAGGATGGCAGAAACCGGTGACAAAAAGGAAAACCGATTATGAAAATAAAAGATTGTCAGACATTATTTAAACAAAATTGTAACTTTAATTATAATATGATTTATTCAGGATGTAGAATATCCTAAAAAAATAATAAAAATGACACGTGGATGTACTATATAAACTGGGCAGGACTAATGACTGTTACCTTGGCTAATGGGCAGGACTAATGGACTATGAAATGGGATGAGTGAGAGTTACAAATAGAGGTCAATTATCACTTTTCTAATAAAGAGATCATGTTTTTTGGCATTCAAATTTTATGTCTGAATAGGCCTTTATGTATTTCATTTTATTAGGCCAAAAATAATTAAATTTGATTACCGACTGCTCGCATCTTGAGCCTCAATAAAATAATTACACATGCCAAATTTCAAGAAGGTTGGATAACATTTAGAGACATACAGCAACGTAGCCAGGCCGCATCAGCCGTGTTACTCTATGTTTAGAGCAGTGTTGCCAACTCGGATTTTGAAAAAGACGTAGGTCCACAGACACCTATGTCTGTGCGTAGGTCCGGTGAGAAAATTACGTAGATTTAGTAAAATTTGTATATGAAAGTTCGTAGATCTACGTACTTTTTTTTTTGAGTAAAATGAAGAAGTTAGGTTAGGTAAAACCGAATAAAACGAGTATTTTGTTATATAATTTATTTAAAAAAGGAAGATAGAACATAGAGTTCTTGGAGAAGACGCTGCATTGACAACATTTACCATGCTGTGGTAGACATTTACCATCGGGCACAGACACTGGTGACTGTCGATTCCTGGCATGATTTTCTAAACTTAAAACTTAATTTAAGATCAGTCTCTCTTTTTCGTTATGTATAGAAAATGACAAAAAAATACACTGTTGTCAAACAGGCTAGTTGGCACTTTTTGAAAATACGTTTTAAATGGATAATTATTGTTCAATAGTTTTTTTTTCAGTCTATCAAAACTGAAAAAAATGTATTGTATTTTTTTTTTGACCTAGAAAGCTACAAAACTTTAATTTTACAAAAAGAGTTCATGGACACACAAAAACCCTGTTGGCCATTTTAGTCTATAAATTTATCTATGCTATGACGTCAAAACCATTTGTAAACAAACACTCGCAAGCACGTAGGAAATAAACTTTAGAAGTTTATATTAGAAAACCAACCACCAGCTAAAAGATTACATAAAAAAAATATGGGTGCGTGTACTTAAGTACGCGCGTGAGAAGTTATACTTCTTTTTGGAATTATTAAAAAATAGTTTTTAATTGCATGCAGATAATTAATTACAATAACATAATAAAAGGATTGGAAAAGGATAGTCAACGCAGTCAATAAAGTTCAGTTTTAATTTGAAAAATTTAATAAATAATCAAAATATTCAATTTAAATCACTACTGAATAAAATTTATTAGCACAAATAAATTTCGCATTTTTATAACATTACAACACGTGTTAAGAATATAGAAACTAGAAACATGTGGATAAATATTATAAATATGAAAACAGTGATCAGAGGCGACGAGCGTCCCAACATGTGCGACTAAGAGATCCTATTACTATTTTTTGGAACCTTTTTTTCGAGACTTACTAGTAATATGCGGTTTAGCGGCCGACTTCATAGTGTTGAGCGCGCGTCTTAAAATTTCACTCTCATCATTTTATCATAACGCGCCCGTGGCTAACTTCATTATGTTACTTTTGTGTTACAGTGATGCGCGCGCATCTTAAAATTTCACTCTCATATTTTTTTCATAACGCGGCTAAAGAAGTATAACTTCAAAAGTGTAATAATTATCATGAGTAAAATAATAAAGACTCCAAAAAAGTTGTGGTTTAAATTGCCTAGAGAAACAAATATACCTACTCATGAACACATGTTTAAAACTTGCTTAATCCTATAACTTTATCGACTAAAAGTCATTTCTTTTTGCAGAGATCATTTCGATGTAAGTATTCATGAATAAAAATTAAAGTTTAAAATACAATTTGTAAGGTTATGAATGTACCTACTAAGTCGAAGAGTTTTGTCGTTTCTGCTTTCACAAATCCGGCGTCGAACATTAATTTAGTCAACAAAAAGAATAAACGTAAACTTTTCTACAAGATATGAGTTTTTAGATATATTTTAGTCTGACGAAAGAAACTATAGTACATGTTACTGTGGTTTCTTTCGTCGGACAATGACGTTTAGTTGTTTACAAATATTGTGACGTCACAATTATAGTTGAGAGCGTTTTCTGTGTTTAAAAAGTATAGACTGAAGTGGTGGCGCTGGCCGACCACTCCTGTCATGTTTGGTTGCGCTCAATAAATTTGCTCATAGTCCAAAGACTGATTGCAAATAATATATATAAAAAAAAGTATAGACTAAAAAACTATTTTTCAAATTAAATTACTACAGTCATCTTCTAATTTTATGAAGTGAAATCGATGTATTAAGGTTCCTCATACCAAAAATTATAAGAAATATACATTTGTATAGTTTTTAAGTGAAGTAACGGAAAGTATGCTACTTTATTCTACTGAGTAATGTTATTTTGCAAATTTGTACAAATTAAAAGAAAATACGTAGATTCTGGGACTGAAATTAGTAGGTTTGCAGAAAAGGCCTAAAATACGTAGATCTACGTAAAAAGACGTAGAGTTGGCAACACTTAGAGGTTGCACCAAGGAACTTATATACTATCTGGAATGATTACGAAACAATATTGGATTTCAAAGTACATTTTTGTTTCTATGGGTACGGCCAGAGTACACTCAGATTCAGATTCAGATTCAGACTCCGAAAACAAGCGCGAGAAATAAACAGTGTAGTTAAAGCAGGGTGGCCATAGTGGCAGCAGGCAACCTGCTTAAACTACACTGTATATTTGGTGAACAGGACTAGTTCTGTTTTACCCGGGTTTACCTTTAGTCCATAGTCCGAGCACCATATCTCTACCACTCTCAGTGCCCTTTGTGTCACATCGCAAACCGTGTCCGCAAACTTACCCGGAGAGAGAAATAAACAGTGTAGTCTAAGCAGGTTGCCTACTTTTTCTCGCGCTTGTTTTCTGAGTCTGAATCTGAATCTGAGTGCACTCTGGCCGTATCCTAAGGGTGCGGCCAGAGTGCACTCAGATTCAGATTCCGAAAACAAGCGCGAGAAATAAACAGTGTAGTCGAAGGGTACGGCCCGAGTGCACTCCTGATTCAGATTCAGACTCAGAAAACAAGCGCGAGAAAAAGTAGGCAACCTGCTTAGACTACACTGTTTATTTCTCGCGCTTGTTTTCGGAATCTGAATCTGAATCTGAGTGCACTCTGGCTGCACCCTAACTTCGTAAGAGGGAAAAAAATCCGCAGGACAGCGACAGAGACAAAAGTGGAGTTTGTCCCTTTCTTGCAATTGTCAGTGTATAAAAATAATCAAAAGGTAGTTTTCACATTATCACGATCTATATTAATAAGAATTATAACATACAGTTTGAAAGTTTTTGGATTTATGTTTGATTACAGTCAATTTATTGATATGAATGCAACCAAAAATGAGTATATTATTATTTTAAAGAATAACATAAGTATCTAATAAAATTATTTAAAATGGTAGTCATTAGTAGTAACTTGCATTTATGCATGAGAACACTTGCGATGCTTCCAATAAACAATATGGCTCATATTCTTCCGGATTGAAACCCTATTATTGCTAACTACAAATTATTTTGGTCAAATTCTTGTGATTTGCTGGTGCAAAATGTTTATTTTTTTATACATAATGGTGTAAAAGTGAGGCGTATGCTGGGTGTGGAATTTCATTAATAGGTGCGTTTTTGACTTCTGTTTACAAATTACATGTGTAGGGTGACAAAACATTTTAGATTCTCTTACGGAAAGTATATGTCATCGTAGGGATGTCGAAAGTTGAAAAAAATATCGATATATCGATACATCGATATTTTAAAAAATATCAATATCGGCTTCGATATATCGCGAAAAAAACATCGATATATCGATATATCGGACCAATTTTCCCAAAAATATCGTAGCTCACGAAATATGACACGCGGAATAATAATGGAACGAAAATTATCTCCCTAAAAATAGACCCTATTTTCGAATGATGACATAGACAATACTAAATACAGCACAGATCATAGATATGTTGAATATCATTAATCTGAGATCCAGTTACGATTTTTCCAGATACGAATTTAGTTAGATCGTGATATGCCGCTAATAATAAAAAAAATATCGTTTTTGATACGAATTTCGATATTGGTTATTTTGTATCGATGTATCGATATATCGAATCAAAATATATCGGCAAAAAATATCGATATATCGAACAAAAAATATCGATATATTTTCAACAAGCCTATGTCATCGTCATCATCAGCGTATTAATGTCCACTCGTGGGGCACAGTCCTTCCCTATGGATAAGATCCACCAAGCGGGCCCAGTGCGGATTGGTGGATGCTAACGACTACAGTTCCAGCTGGGACCAACATCTTAGCGTGCCTTCCAAAGCACAGAAGAACTCGAGTACGTATGAATAATTTATTCTGACATGATTCTCTAAATTTAAGATCAGTCTCTCCATTTCATTATGCATAAAGAATGACAAAGATAGCCTGCAAGCACGAGAGGTTGCCCACAAGGTGGAGTACTTTCACCAATACTTTGGGATACAGTTGTGAACGACCTCATCACAAGACTGAACAATCTGCACTACCTCACAAAAGGATATGCAGATGACCTGGTGATCTAAGTCCCGGGTAAGTTTGCGGACACGGTTTGCGATGTGACACAAAGGGCACTGAGAGTGGTAGAGATATGGTGCTCGGACTATGGACTAAAGGTAAACCCGGGTAAAACAGAACTAGTCCTGTTCACCAACAAAAGGAACCTGGGCAGCTACCGTATGCCAGTATTATTCGGCAAGACGCTGTGTTACTCCAAGGAGGTGAAGTATTTACGCATAAACCTAGACGCCAAACTCAACTGGGGAACACATATTGACAAAACCATTAAGAAAGCCTGCATCACTTTGTACCAATGCAAGAAGATGCTGGGTAAGAGGTGGGGCTTATCCCCCTTTATAACAAAATGGCTATACACGACGATAATAAGACCCATCAAAGGCTATGCTGCGCTTGTATGGTGGACGAAAACAACGCAGGTAACAACCATTAACAAACTTAAGTGCTTCCAAGGGAGGGTCTGCCGGGCGATAACGGGCTGCATGAAAACCACCCCTACTGCAGCACTAGAGACGATTCTGAACGTAAGACCACTACATTTCTACATTCACTAAGAAGCAGCATGTGCGTCTACTAGGCTCCAAATGCTGGACTTGTGGAGAGATGACAATACGCCACATACTTGTATTCTAAAAGGTATTGAGGAAGAATACCCCTTCTTTATGGCGAAAAACGACATTAACCCTAGACAGTACGTATTTGACAAAAAATATAGAATACAACAATATGAAGACAATCCTGACCGAGGACTGCACAAGGAGCTCAGGGTATACACAGACGGCTCCAAAACGAACTCAGGTACTGGTGCAGGTATGTGCTCAGAGCATATCAACATTAATATATCACACAGCCTGGGTATCCTCAATACGGTCTTTCAGGCAGAGTGTATAGGCATTGTCAGAGCAGCGGAGGCCATCACACGACGTGCAATCAGGGGTAAGAACATCCGGATACTCTCTGACAGTGCCTCGGTACTCCAGGCGCTAGACAACAATATAATGACGTCCGGCTTGGTTTTTGAATGCCACTGCAAACTTATGGAGGTAGGCAAACAAAACGAGGTCATACTCCAATGGGCAAAAGGACATAGTGGGTCAAGGGGCAATGATGCAGCAGATTGTCTGGCCAGGAGAGGGTCGGACACTGTGGTATTTGGCCCAGAACCAATCGTACCGATCCTATACCGGCTGCTGCGAAGTTGGATTAGGGATGAACGGTACCTGCGACAACACAACGAATACTGAGCTGGACTTGCAGACTGCAGGCACGCCAGGGAGGCCATACCTAAGGTAGACCCACGGCTAGCAAGTAAGTTTTGCAAGTTACCAAGACACGCTTTGAAACAAATAGTGAGCATTCTCACAGGACACGGACACTTTAATAAACATCTGTTTAAAATAGGTGTCTCGGACAGTCCTCTGTGCAGAGCCTGCATGGAGGAAGAGGAGACGAGCACTCACGTCCTGCTGCAGTGCAGAGGTGTGACCAGACATCGGATGACACACCTGGGCAGCTCGCAGACGCTACTCGAGGCCTGCGGAGACACCAAGAGACTGCTGAGCTTCTTGGTGGAGTTGGGATGGCACGACTAAGGCCATCCTCTCACGCAATATAGGCACCTAGTGTCGAGTTGCGGAAAACACCCACCGTTAAGAAGAAGAAGAAGATCATGCCAGAGTCGACACCATTTCCACAGATGGTCTTCATCAAGGATTACAGTCAACGATATTAAAAAAAAATATCATTGATTACAATGCTTGTTTTGTTACAAGTTCTCAATTAATTTGTAGCTAAATGTTTTAATTTCCCTCATGCACTGTGCTTACAAATGCTGAAAAACTTTTAAACTAATAAAAACTAGCAATTTGGATATTTCTCATGGCTCCTACACACAATACCGGCGGCAGTAGCCGCCAATGAATGGAACTGTTAGTATAGATAGACTGCAGACAACATAATAATTTTCTCAATATTAATATTCTTTGCAAATTGACATAAAAACACTACAATAATGAGTTGTCGCATTTACGAAGTTCCTGGTTGTGGAGAACACGGTATCTAGTCGAGCGAAGCGAGACTAATCATTTATCTGTTAATTGTTCGTTTGGTTCACAAAAAATCCACTTTCTGCGGCGTAGCATAACACCGTGTCTTTCTTTATTTGTAGTAAAAAAAAATGTGTGAGTCAGCTCCGACGCACGACTGGAGTTTACTCCTTAAGTTCGATAGTCTAACCAGACGCAAAGAGAGTTTATTTAACTTAAAAAAGATTGATATTGTATGAAAGGGTAAATTAACAAATTAATGAAAACAATATACATATATAAATATATATTTATTCATTTCATATACATTTATTATAACTAATCGACGAAATATTTTACATTAAACTTTTTACAATAGTCATAAATTTATTATTTTAAGTTATTGTACATCTTAGTGTTTTTATTGGAGTTTACTCCTTAAGAATCGATTTGCATATATAAGGGGCCCGGTATGAGAAAAATGTGAGGAGTAAAATCTATCGATGAATGACCTCGTTACGTTTTTGGTGCGCATCCTATGTCGCGCAACTTTGACAAACAAAGATGATGGATTGACATTAATAAAATTTTTAAAATCTGAACTGAATTTGGATATTGTTTCTGATAGAGCAATGGGGACAACGCGGTATGGTACAACCACCACCAATTGATGCGGTATTTTCAAGATTCGTGAACCACGTATCTACGAACGTCCATGTGTCTTATTTTAGTTACCATAAACCACTTGTCACTGTAATTAATAATGCAGACAATGTTGATTTAATTAATATTTACAAAAATGATAATAGTCTGATAATAATAATTACATAATTTATCAACATTCCTAATGATATATTTAAGCACATCTGAAATTGACTATTGTAAAAAGTTTAATATAAAATATTTCGTCGATTAGTTATAATAAATGTATATGAAATGAATAAATATATATTTATATATGTATATTATTTTCATTAATTTGTTAATTTACCCTTTCATACAGTATCAATCTTTTTTAAGTTAAATAAACTCTTTTTGCGTCTGGTTAGACTATCGAACTTAAGGAGGAAACTCCAGTCGTGCGAGCTGACACACACATTTTTTTGTTTTGTTACCTTAAGTCATGGTGGGTGATAACAGAGTCATGTTGTTAAGTTAAATATTTGTAAGGACAAATCTCAGTTTGTCCTTGGTGGGCGATTATGTATACGCCATTTGTGCATTTAAAATTTTAGTTCATATGTATTAAAATAGATGGCGCTGTAGTTCGTTGCATCACGCTTACTTCTAAATATGTTTGGAGCTACTTAAGGTAAAACGTCACCTAACTAATAAAGAAATCTATGGTCTAACAAAATACATTGTAGTTTCAATTTAATTCTTTTGCACCTAAGCTCTCGGATTTAAGATTCATTTTGGCTCGAACAGGATGCGCACCAAAAACGTAACGAGGTCATTCATCGATCGATAGATTTTACATATAAATACTACTCTTTGGATTTTACTCCTCACTTTTTTCTCATCCCGGCCCCTTATATATGCAAATTGATTCTTAAGGAGTAAACTCCAAAAATATGTAAGTCTTATGGTTTTAGCGTATCGAGAATCTTCGTCCAAGGTCGTACCTCCACTATAATTTTATATTACATTATTATTTTATTTTTTAAACAACTTCTATTCTCCTAGTACGCATCGGTCTATAGACACTTTTGGTCATTCAAAGAACTACGACGGAGCCTGATCTCTAATCCAGGGGTTCTCAAACGTATGAACCTTTATTAAAATAAAATAATTTCCGCTGAATCATAGCTGCACCCCTGTATTGTCATTTTTTATGTTTCAGATTTTAATTAATCAATAAAAAAAATGTGGCATGGCTGCTATTGCTCAATTTTTGTCGTATAACCTAATAAAACCAAACCTTATTTCTTTCGTGGAACTCCCAGATGGGGTTTACGGTTTAACCCTTAGGTTTCGCGAAACTCAGTTTTGGAACCACTGCTCTAGACCACGGTGTTTTTATTGACTTATCTTGGACATTGTATAAAACATAATCTACGATGACCATTAAAAAAAAATGGTTGCCTGTAAAGTCGGTTTTACGGGCGAAGATTTTACGTGACAACGTCTTTTTCTCGGTAGAATATTTATTGATATGAATATAATTAAATTGCACAATAGGAACAAGGAATTGAATGAAAATAAGAATTGCACAAATTTTAACTATAGAAATATATTTTGTTTACTAAAACATTGTACATGTAAACTTAAACTTAACACGAGAGACTCATCGTAACGTTACCGAGCGTTACACTTTTTCATAAGTGACTCCCAGCCGCAACCTAATTTAAGACGTTGTCACGTCAACAAACCTCTCCTGTTAATTGTAGTTACTCGTTTGCAGGGTTGCCAGGTCTTCCGATTTTACAGGAGATCTCCTGTTTTTCAGAAAATTTCTCCTGTGCTTCTGTTATTCTACATCAATGTACTGTTTTTCATAGAGTACGATTTTCTTTTTTAAATAGCATGTGGAGTTGCATTTTCCACATTTAAGAATGTAGGTAACAAAAAAAACGAGTTTTGAGGGGTGGCAGAAGCCACATGCGTTATGGGCCTATACCTTGATTTGATTTACCAATTCTAAGATGGATAGGGGGGCGGGGGTGTAAATCGGAAAATGTACGCCTCTACATCCACTGTTTTTTCTTGTAACTCGTTCCATTCATCTACTGCTCGTTTGGGTTGGAAGTGTTGCTAGGTCTCCCGATTTTAGAGGAGCTTTGAAATTTCTTCTGTTCTATTGTTTTTCTACATGAATCTACTGCTTTCTTAGAATACGTTTTTCTTTTTTAAATTGCATGTTGAGTTGCGTTGTCCGCCATTAATAATGTAGGTAATCTCTTGATTTGACCTACCAAATCTGGGGGGGGGGGGAATTGTAAAAAGTACGCTTCTACATCTACTGTTTTTTCTTGTAGCTCTTTCCGTACATCTACTGCTTTTTTCTAAAACGCCTACCGATTTTGACCTGGTAGCACTGACTGGATTCCAGCCAGAATAAATAAAATAAAAGCTAAAGACTAGGCTGGATGGGCATTGTTCCCCTTGCCTTCCCAGAAAAGGGAGAACTACTAAAACGCACTAGAAAAAGGAATGGATTCCTTCGTAAAATGTTGAAATGAAAACTTGTTTAATTAGATGATTAATTAGTCGTTTTTATTGGTACATAATCGAAACAGTTGTGCGAGGAACCTGCTGTTGCTCCCTGTTGGATAAAAAAATGCATGGATTTTGATAGGTTAGTATTTTAGCTGGTATTTTTAAACCTCTCATAAATGTCTTCGCCACTTGATTTTTACTCTGATTGCTAATATATTTACTTTTATTTTGTTACTGTTAATTGCTTGCTTGACTCCGAACAAGACGTTAAACATTTTTGCCCTGTGTCTGTCCTGATCAAAGTTATATCCAAGTGATATTAAGGGGGCGTTAAATATTTAGCCGATCATCGCCGTCTAGTCGTAAATTACCAATAAAATTAATCAGTGCTGTGTGGCAAGTGTAGGTACGTTATATGTGCAGTATTTTTCCACTTCCTGCCTGCGTATTTTCACTGTAGAGTTTACCCCAAACTTTTTTATTTGACTCCCTAATCTTCTGTTAGCCTTACAATATTAGGAAAGCGTCCAATACCAAATGTAAAGTGTCATTAGAACTATAAAAAATTGATAATTTAAGAATTAAAAATAAACTTATATAAAAGTTTTTACTCTTAATTAGTTACAAAGTTTGTCAAACTTTTTACCTACTTGTTGAATTACATAGATACTTAAACATCCAATGATCATTAAATAAAATTTGATAAATTATTTAATATTTGTATCACAACAATAAAAAAGCCATAGAGTTTTGTTTACAAACATTCTAACCATGAGTTAGCTTTCTCATATTACTTGGCAGTAGCTTGAGCTGTGACAATTAATTGAGCATTCTATAGCCATGAAACCCTACACTCTCATCAATTTCTAACGTTTCATAAGCATTGCATGCATGCCTTCCAGCTGTAAGTGGCACTTATTTTAGGATGTGACTAATTGTGTCTTGTAGTTGTTTGTGGAAATTCTTGGATAAATTGTGGATTATCTTATTGAGAATAGATGTAGTTGTTAGTGGAAAATTCTGGGAAAAATAGTGAAAATCTTATTGAGAATAGATTTTATAAATCCTTGTTAAAAAGTGTGTAGCATACTGATAGACTGTCAGCTCAAAAAAATAAATGACATCTAAATTTGAATGAAAATTGCATATATTTTTGATGGAGCCCGGTTTTTGATCCCATTATATTTCCGAAAGTGTCAAAAAAATATTTTAAAGAAACTTGTTGCTGTAAGCTTGAAATTTTTATACAAAGTAGTTTATTCATTTTTAAATTAAAAAAAAAATGCCAGACGTTTACAATGAGCACAACTACCTGCCAGACGAACCAGAAGGTGTGTAATATATACATAAAAATAAACTTTATTCTGTAAAGTTGAAATTTAGTTATGTGTTTGTTATGTTTGGCATTCTACCTACTTACTTTAAAGCGATTTAAAGTAAGTAGGTAGAATGCCATGCGGTTCTGGCTAGCAAAAGTATTTGCCTCGTGAGGGGAAAGATGCTATGGAAGTGTGAGTAAGCGGCTCAATGTGAACTCCGTGGTGCGATTGAGACAGTTTATCTTACTGGAAAATAGGTCCTATACCTGAAAAAAAACTGTTGGAGGTAACAACGATTTATCTATGTAAAATCTTACGCAGAATTTCAGTGTTTTATATTGTGAAGTATTGTTATGATTTAAATTTCAATTAAATATTAATATTAATTGTGCAGTTATTCTTGTGTACGTAAGTTGTGCCATCGAGTATTCGTAAATATTGAATAAAATGGAATCTGCAAACGTTGATTGTGTGATTTGCAAACAAGATATTGATGTCAAAACTGTAAAATTTACAACAAGTACTTAAGACAAAAGCAAATCAATATTAAAAATTAGAAGACAACATAATTTAAAATTTAATGACATTTCTTTGCCAGAGGATGTTCATGGTAATACAGGTTATCATTTGAAGTGTTACAAACACTTTCTTGCTGTAATGAAAAAATATTGCCAGAATAAAACATCAACTTCATCCAATGTACCAGTATCATTGGCAAGTATATTTTTATGAACTTACATATTCTTTATTTACATCTAAGTATTGAGTTGCATTTTTTCAAATTGGTGACTTCACGGAATCATGCACACTACTAAATATATATTAATTAACGGTAATTAATTTCAAATTATGAGCAGTTTTAAGTTATGTAAGTTTTCATACTACGACTCTTACTCGCACTGCCGCAGCATCTTTCTCCTCGCCTGGCAAAGACTTTTGCTAGCCAGAACCGCCTGGCATTCTACCCACTTACTTTAAATCGCTTAAACAAATACATATATAAATTTCAACTTTACAGAATAAAGTTTATTTTTATGTATATATTACACACCTTCCGGTTTGTCTGGCAGGTACTTGTGCTCATCGTAAACGTCTGGCAATTATTTTTAAATTTAAATATGAATAAACTACATTGTATAAAAATTTCAAGCTTACAGCAACAAGTTTTTTTTAATATTTTTTGACACTTTCAAAAATATACGGCTTGATGACGTGCAGGGCTGAGGAGTGCCAGACGATGCTTACCGTACTAAGCATGTTATGGCTCATCACCATAAGAATTTCTAGCCTTACAGACAGACCGTTACACGGAGGGTTCAGTAGCTCTCCTACTATTATAAGCCTATCGTTGCCAACTATGAACTTATGAATACTTTCTCTGCGCCACCGCTTGTCTCCATGGCAACCATTTATAGGGATTTCTTACTTTGAATCCTCTATTATAACAAAACTATGACTTATTGTAACAAAATAACAATGAAATCGTATACAAATGACTTATACCCAACCAATCCATGTGTTTTTACACTTATGAATGCATATTTCGATATTTCATAATTCAAACTGTTATAGATGGGGCACGTAATCTTTATTTCTCGTTAGTCTTGGTACATCAGTTATAAGGCGGTCTTCTCGTACACAAGTATTTTTACTGTAGCAGCGCAATGTCTTTTGAGTATTGGTAATTTGTTTACTGTTGTAGTATAGAAATTAAATAACAAAAACTTTAAACTAAATAGTGTCTAAAATTTTAAATACAATAACGTTATTGCCTACTTAATTAATATATTATTTACAAAATAATAAAATATATCACCCCCCACGCCTCCATCAGGATTTGTGACCAATGGGCTAATCTGTTAACCAAGATAGCTGCCAGCTTTAAATTATTGATAATTTATAATGTCGAACAATAGTTTTATTATATATATTAAGGGATATATAGATGGGTGCAGCTTCATATACAGTCAGGTACCTGAGTGTAGTTGAGCTTTACTAGTAATTTTTTTCTTTAGAATAATACAATTACAACTTACAGAAGTACCCTATTATAAAATGTCAATATATTAAATTATGTGGAATAAGTTTTTCATATTTGCCTTCAGTTTACATAGCACTGAATCTATTATTACAACTATAATAATGAAGTTACTATTTTGTTCCTGCTCCTGAGCTAACTGGCTGGTTGCACATGTATGGTTTCCTTCATTATATGAGGACCTGCCCTATTAAACTAACCAATGTCCTTACAAGTTGAATCATATTCTCTTTAAGAGAAAGTAAATATTTATTAAAACCAATCATATTGCAATTCATAATATTCTCATACTAAAATAACTTAATTGATGGAGTACTTGAAGTATTAAAATAAATTTATTGTTAATCTCCTTAGGTAGGCAAGCAAATCAGTGAGGTATGCAATTGATATTGCACTTCATTAATAATTGATGTGGTAACATGCTCTGAAATATTCAGCTGATGTAAATACTATAGATGCTTGCTCACACTATGAACACTAAATATGATGTTAACACATTTTTTTTAAACTGTCATGTATTTTTTAATACACAAGAAGGATAGTTGTCTCAGTTACATCTGTTTAAAACTGGAGTGTTTTGAATTAAAGCAGGTACATAAAATAGGCACCAAGTTTATTAAATTTTTATTATAATGATTTTTTTTCTTCCAGTGATGAAGCCATGGAACGTTTTCCGCTGAAGTCTTCCCCGCCTAAAATGAATACGACGTACCAGTCTGTCTACAAAAAGGTAGGAAGTTCGGAGCACATTTTTTTTACTCGCACTTCATGTTTCCTTCCGGCTATGCAAATTGTCCACATCTTTTAATATTTTTCGGTCTCATTAGATGTCAAAGCTTAAAATCTATTGCACTATGATAATATTCCATGTAGGCCATTATAACCGTAGAGTTATTTAACTTTGTAAAGAGTAGGCAGCACACAGTGAAATGTCTTTTATGATATCTACTGATTTGGTTACACAGTAAAAAATAAATAATTATTATGGACTTAAAATTCATAATCCTGCATAAGCAATAGTATATCATGGTCATGAGATATTGTCGATGATAGAATCTTGAAATAAAAAATCTCTACATAAGGACATACTACAATGTCCTGTGGAGACGAGGGACTTTTTTCCGCCGTACACAAGGAATTAAAAGTACAAAAATTACCCCAAATGCCGAGGACGCCGTGAGATCGGACTCGACAAAGTAACGGGTCAGTCCTTGAAAAGTGAGCACACAGCGAACTTGTCTGCGTAGCGCGCTCGATTCGATATAAAGGGTAATTCAAACGTTTTCCCTTTTTCCTTAATTTCATGTTGATTACAAGTAAATGTAATTTAAGAATATTCGCTTCCATAGCATGCCATTTTCTAAAATTCCGGGCAACTAATGGAACACAGTGTGCGTTGAGTTCGTGGTAAGTTTTTGGTGGACATATATTTCACGATTTTTGTCTTCCACAGACAAAAGTGCCTCATTTGTGTAGGCCACAAAGAGGCTCGTCTAGTGCTGAAAGCTAAGCTTCTCTCTTATAGATTAATTTAGAAAATACTATCGCGGTTGGTCCTGTTATAAGCTGCGTGCCTAGGTAGGACTTACACTGTTCTTGCTACATATTCTGCTAATTGTATCTAATCTTGTCACTAAATGTAGCATGTATTAATACGGCTATAACTTAAAACCGAGCACAGGAAGCTTTAAAAAATATTTAGATTTCTTGTAACCCATATAAATGCACAAATTTCATCTGTGTTATATTCAAACTTAAACTGCTGAACGTATTTTAAAGAATTTTCCTGTGAATTGGACATTGATTAGTTTAGAACTTGAAGAAGCACTTTATGTTACTTTATGTAAGACGACCTCCGTGGCCGAGTGGTTTGTACGCCGGGTTTCATGGTGTCGCCGACTCGAGAGGTCCCGGGTTCAAAACCCGGTGGGGGCAGATGTTTGTATGATGAATACGAGCATTTGCACTCCAGTCATGGATGTTTAATATGTATTTCTATATAAATATACTTATATATGTACAGTATATGTATTCTATCCGTTATCCTAGCATCCCATAACACAAGCCTTACAGTGCTTACTTTGGGGCTAGGATAATTGGTGTGAGTGTTGGAAATATTTATTTATTTATGTTGTGCAAATAAAAGTGGAAGGGAGTGGAAAAGAATTCTGATAGTTTATTAATGTACGTAGATTAAATTTGGTTAGGTAGTTAATGTTATATTTAATTATTCCAAGTGATTACTTTGGCCTTATTTGTGATAGTTTAATACTAAAAAAATAGATTTATCGTTTTTCTTTAAAAATAATACTACGTTACATTGCTTCCACAAATAGCAAAATTTATCGAGCGGGTCCAGATGACCAATTTCAATTGAGCATGTCATCTGGACCTGACTGAAGAATCGCGGCCACAATGTCTTATTTGACAACTGCTCATAGAATTATTGTCTTTTTTGTATGCAAAAACGTTTTAAACATTTACCATGATTACTTTAATACCTTGGTTTAGTTCCCAGTGGGAATGCATTATCGTTGATTTATTCTTTGTGAATATCAGAAAACATAAAGTCTTTTGATTCACTGAACGAATAATAAACATAGTATTCAATATTTTTTATGATCTATGCAAATCTATATGGAAGTTGACCTCAACACATGTTTGCAAGTTTGATGTCAACTTTCAATTTGACGACACTGTATGAAATAAAACAGCGAGAAAAAAGCAGCCCTTGCTGAATTTCCTGTCGGTTCTTCTCAGTACAAGGTCTCCCGCTGTAGTTTTGCGAACTGATGGCGTAGTTTTCGACTTTCACATGTGCTTGTAAAAGCCTAAACTGAATAAATGATTTTCGAATTGAATATAGATGAGTATAAGTCAAAATTTTGCTATTGCATTAATGTTGTTGTTTTACAATATAAAAGAGCTCTAGACATTAATGCACATAGAATGATATTTTTTTATAATCCTAGCACCTCGCATAGGATGAGGGGCCTTTCAACTGTAATAGCTATGCAATTCAGATTGTTAAGCCAACAATTGCTACAGTTTATTCACTATGTATAAATATGTATGCACTATTATGTATATATAAGAGATCGGCTAATATTGCAATGAGACTACACGGTTTGCTAGTTCGTGTGCATATTTTATGCTTAAAAGGTTTGTATTCATATGATACTCAAACATAATTATATAATTAATATGTGATGTAAATAAATTCAATCCAAATCCAGCTTTCACAGCGTAATATAATTTGCGTTGGTCCTGGGAATAACAGGGTGAGAGGGGGTGCCTCCCTTACATCCGTCTCGTTCTCTCCATCCATGGCACTGCCGGATTTAGGGGAGGGCAACCGGGGCAAAAGCCCCGGGGCCTCCACAAACGGGGGGCCCCCATAACAGAGACTTCGGAAAAAGAATCTTTCTAATTCCAACTAGTAAACACTACTAAACATCTTTTCCTTTGATATTTTTTTTTGCTCTTTTACCTTTACCTACAGCCAGGGCCGAATTTAAGGCAGGGCAGGTGGGGCTGTGGCCCAGGGGCCTCCACAACAGCTTAAGAAATAACAACATTTCGATGGGTCAACAAGCATGCAAATCCTGTGTGGCCCGGGGCCTCCGCAACAGGATAAAAGATAACAAAATTTCGATGGGTTAACAAGCATACAAATCCAAAGTGGCCCGGGGCCTCCACAATCCTAAAGCCGGCCCTGATTCATGGGCTCGTTTGTCCTGAAAGTGTGCCGGTCAAAAACTCGCACTGGATGTAAATACAAGCTACATAGGCTATGTTGTCGCCAGCTATTTAAGTATTACCACAGTGTAGTAATCAAATCCAGTAGTTCTGATTTTTTGCAGATTTGTTTATGATGATGGCCCAATGAATAATCCATATTTCTGACCTCGAGCATCGAACGTAACTATGACAAAAATCTCAAAATCCGCGAAAATGTAGTATTTTTTCAGATTTTGGATTAGTATATCACTAAAGGACTAGTTTTAAGTAGTATCTTCTCTAAGTTTTTAAAGTGAAATTTAGTTTAAAGACCTAAATTTTCTACAATATGAGACTAGAATTAAGAATAATATTCTTCATTTTTAACACGCTTTTATTAGGTCGACCTGTACGTAACTGTGTAATGGAATCTAAGGTAACTAATTTAACCATCTATCAAGGATCATAGCGTAATGAAAATTGGCAGTTGTATGTAGTTCTAATGACAATACAATGAAAAAGCACTGCGTATTTATCCAACAAACGACCAGGTAGAGAAGCACAACAATGAAGTTTCAAAAGAAAAGAAAATACATAACAATGAGTTTCTTAATTTAATTTTACCAACGAAAGGTACTCGAATGTACTACATAAAAGCTCAAGACCAACTTATTGCCGCAACCTGAAACCTTAAAAAATACTTCGTTGGAGTCCATTATTCCCAGCGATATAAATAAAACGGGTGGACTAACGAGTAAATAAGGATTTTTTAAAGGGGATAAAATCATGTTGCTATCCAATATAATAGACGTGGGACATTTGCTGAGAAATCAAGATATTGGTAATAAGATACTCATTATTATAATGAATAGAATATCTAAGTAAATACTAGTCGTGCTGCAACTCCAGTTACTGGAGCGCCAATCGGTGTAACCCGCTTCCCGTAACATCGCTCAACTTGATTTTGCTTGATTGCTTTATTGCTTTATCAGCAAGTTATACAAAAAGTCTTTTCTGTTCCAGCGCCCCACGCTTTTACAATCAAATAATATATATGAAAGCACATAGTTTACACTTCAGCCCAGAAATAGAAACAACTTGAATGATCCTTAATTTATTTATGGTTATTACGTGCATATTTGTTTAAACTTAATTCTTACACAATTTACAAAACATGACAACTTACTCTAACATAATAATTTTATATGGGGACAGTAAATAGATTGTGAGATACTGGTGCCTCAACAAGGCTGAACGCCTGTCACTCATAGCCAGGGCAGGATTTACAGGTATGAGAGCCCCGGGGCAACCCCGGAGGACCCTAAAATGTAGGACGGGCCACTTACGATTTGCATTAGTGAGCAAATGATAAAGTCATTGGAAAGACATTGGTCATTTAAATAATATAGCGCGTAGAATTCTGATTCTGAATTCCTGATGAATTGAATGTATGAATGATGAAACCGAACCAGATAAACCTTATATGGCGGCCCAGTCTTAATGGCCAAAATCTGAAGAAAAAAGTAGTCGAGAAAACAGCGAAATTTTCGCTGTTTTTTCTATTTTAAACTAAGTTGCGTCACAAACTTGGATTATGCATTGGGCTAACATCATAAACAAGTCTGCAAAAATTTAGAACTACTCGTTTTGACGCATCTAGCCCATACTTTCAATCGTAATTTTACTTAGTCAAGTACTACACGGGCGTCGATTCAACTTTTCAATATTATCCTTGTTACTAAAATCAAATAACATTCTAACACCTCCGTGGCCGAGTGGTATGTGCGTCGGGATTCAAGATCGCTTACTTCCGGGTTCAAAATCCGGTGGAGCAAATACTTATAAATAATATAATGAAATAAATACAAATGGCGTAAAGAAGCACCATGCAGGCCGGCAAGGTGAGGATGGCTGGTGTGGCAGGTAGAACTGCTGTACCAGCTATCTTCACGTTTGGACTTCACCATCACTTAACATCAGGTGGGGTGGAGTTATTTGTCGGACCTATCT